ACAATTTCTAATTATTTCCAATAACAATTAATAACACTACACTACACAACTATAAATTACTATTTTTTTTCGCATTATCAAATGTGCCAAATTTGTCAAAAACTGACAAGACTGACATTTCGTATGACATAAATTTAATAGAGGTGTGTATAAATTTTTGCTATAGAGGTGCAGCAACGACTGTTACAAAATAAGCGTTATATTTCTCAAATATCTGAGATTACTCTACTCTATTCAAAATGAATTCAATCTCCATTTTACGGACAATTTCTAATTATTTCCAATAACAATTAATAACACTACACTACACAACTATAAATTACAAATTTTTTTCGCAGTATCAAATGTGTCAATTTCGTCAAAAACTGACAAGATTGACATTTCGTATGACATAAATTTAATAGAGGTGTGTATAAATTTTTGCTATAGAGGTGCAGCAACGACTGTTACAAAATAAGCGTTGTATTTCTCAAATATCTAAGATTACTCTACTCTATTCAAAATGAATTTAATCTCCATTTTACGGACAATTTCTAAGTTTCCATTTACTCCATTAGGAACTGTTATAGTTTGGAAGGTAATTCCGGTGCACGGAACCGCTCCGAACAAAACCAATCAATAACACTCAACAACAAAAAAAAATACAATTATTATTAGTCCCCGGGATTTTTCTCCGCCGCCCCCCCAGCGATTGGTTTTTCCGCCGGCACGTCAACACCAAAAGACCAATTAATCCGGATTCCATGGAGCTTTTATGGCGCTCGGGGGCGTAGGCGGGCGCCGGAGCGAAAATTCAACGTCGAATTATTCAATATTCGCGTTAACAAAACGCATTAAATAATTATAGAGGAACAAAACTCGCGAACAGTGCAATAATCAGGAACACGCACCGACAGCGTGCAATAATGAAATAAACGTCAATGGCAGGTTTCGGGGGGGGCGGCACCTGCCCTATACACGTTCCCCGAACGAATTACGAGTGTATATACATAGTATAGAGGGAACAAGAGGGATATGTTATACAGTGAGGACCAAAAAATCCGTCGCCTCCCCCCTTTAACTTTGGAATGGTAAGAGCTTTTGTCGCGAAATTTGGGATGTGTATATTGGAGTAAAAATACTATTTTTTGACGTAAAAATGACAGTTGAAACTTTCACAATGACAGTTAGGCGCCATTTTGAATTTTTTTTTTCTTATGGAAAGGGGGATCAAGTGATACCTCGTTTTAAAGGTAATTTCATTCTTAAGTCAACCCCCAAATTTAAAAACATTTTAATAACGCGTATTCACTTGAGGACCAATTTAGTTTTAACCTCCGGGCATATTGATACATTTAAAAATTAATTCTAAACGTACTATAAAATGTTTCAATTAATTGTTGCTATGGTTTCTTGGCTCTGACATTTATTTGTCAAATTTAAAGTTGATGAAATTGGCAATGGCTCGTTCTTTAAACGAAAAAACTCCCTATTTTGTGAGGTCCTTACTAGTGTCCATTATATTAGATTTTTGTTAAATTCTATCAAGTACTTTAGAAGATATTTAAGAAAAACCTATTTCCAGCGGCGCATTTCTAGGACTCATATTTTCGTAGGGAGGGCCTGTAAGGAAAAACTTTATAGAAACTTCTCATCATATTTTTTCATGTTCTATATAGATCCGAGAGATTTCCCACACTTTCAGGGACACCCTGTATGCACAAATGCAAGCCTCTTCTTATTATAATATCCAGCCAATTTCACAACTTGTGTAGGTTAGGGTAGGTTTCAAACCTAGCAAAGCCTCATTGAAAATAGATCGCGAATCCGCCCCTGATTCGAATACACGCCCGCCTCGAACGAGGTGTAATTTCGAAAATACAATGAAACCGATTAGCCGACCGGTCCCTCTTTCCCGCCTCCGCCCACCCGCCCTCCACCTACACAGAATTAATTATCGAATTAAATTAGAAATTAACTCGTTCAATGGGGAGCACCGGCGGAGTCGACGACGCCGCCAGACGGATTTTTGTTTGTATTAACTTCTCGACTGAGATTACCCAACGCGGTCCCGGAGAGAGCGGGAGATTTTCGATTAAATCTCCGGGCTTTAAAGTTTTCAATGGGATCCGTAAGTGCCTCCCCCCCATCCGGGGCCCCCCCTTATTTCGTACGCCCGGATTCGCTCTAATGAACGCCGGGGAATTTTATTTTTATTGGTGGATACACGAAATTTATTCACTTAAGTAGTACTGCTTGTGGGGGAATTATTAGAGGTTCTTGTGGGGCTCAAATGAGCATGGGGATTTTGTGTTTATTGCACATACAAAATTTGTTAACGTATGAATACTTGGGTACTTCTGAGGGGATCAGTAGAGGTTCTTGTGGGGCTCTAAATAATTGTGGGAATTTTCTTCTTGTAGACCCTCTTTTTTATCTTCAGATACTTAGGTAGCACTTGTGGGTGGATTATCTTCTTGTAGACCCTCTTTTTTATCTTCAGATACTTAGGTAGCACTTGTGGGGGGATTTTCTTCTTGTAGACCCTCTTTTTTATCTTCAGATACTTAGGTAGCACTTGTGGGTGGATTATCTTCTTGTAGACCCTCTTTTTTTATCTTCAGATACTTAGGTAGCACTTGTGGGGGGATTTTCTTCTTGTAGACCCTCTTTTTTATCTTCAGATACTTCGGTAGTACTTGTGATTACTGACTAAGATTACCCAACGCGGTCCCGGAGAGAGCGGGAGATTTTCGATTAAATCTCCGGGCTTTAAAGTTTTCAATGGGATCCGTAAGTGCCTCCCCCCCTCGGGTGCCCCCCCTTATTTCGTACGCCCGGATTCGCTCTAATGAACGCCGGGGAATTTTTATTTTTATTGGTGGATACACGAAATTTATTCACTTAAGTAGTACTGCTTGTGGGGGAATTATTAGAGGTTCTTGTGGGGCTCAAATGAGCATGGGGATTTTGTGTTTATTGCATATACAAAATTTTGTTAACGTATGAATACTTGGGTACTTCTGATGGGATCAGTAGAGGTTCTTGTGGGGCTCTAAATAATTGTGGGAATTTTCTTCTTGTAGACCCTCTTTTTTATCTTCAGATACTTAGGTAGCACTTGTGGGGGGATTATCTTCTTGTAGACCCTCTTTTTTTATCTTCAGATACTTAGGTAGCACTTGTGGGGGGATTTTCTTCTTGTAGACCCTCTTTTTTATCTTCAGATACTTAGGTAGCACTTGTGGGTGGATTATCTTCTTGTAGACCCTCTTTTTTTATCTTCAGATACTTAGGTAGCACTTGTGGGGGGATTTTCTTCTTGTAGACCCTCTTTTTTATCTTCAGATACTTCGGTAGTACTTGTGATTACTGACTAAGATTACCCAACGCGGTCCCGGAGAGAGCGGGAGATTTTCGATTAAATCTCCGGGCTTTAAAGTTTTCAATGGGATTCGTAAGTGCCTCCCCCCCATCCGGGGCCCCCCCTTATTTCGTACGCCCGGATTCGCTCTAATGAACGACGGGGAATTTTTATTTTTATTGGTGGATACAAGAAATTTATTCACTTAAGTAGTACTGCTTGTGGGTGAATTATTAGAGGTTCTTGTGGGGCTCAAATGAGCATGGGGATTTTGTGTTTATTGCATATACAAAATTTTGTTAACGTATGAATACTTGGGTACTTCTGAGGGGATCAGTAGAGGTTCTTGTGGGGCTCTAAATAATTGTGGGAATTTTCTTTTTGTAGAACCTCTTTTTTATCTTCAGATACTTGAAAGGTAGCACTTGTGGGGGGATTTTCTTCTTGCAGAACCTCTTTTTTATCTTCAGATACTTAGGTAGCACTTGTGGGTGGATTATCTTCTTGTAGACCCTCTTTTTTATCTTCAGATACTTGAAAGGTAGCACTTGTGGGGGGATTTTCTTCTTGCAGAACCTCTTTTTTATCTTCAGATACTTAGGTAGCACTTGTGGGTGGATTATCTTCTTGTAGACCCTCTTTTTTATCTTCAGATACTTAGGTAGCACTTGTGGGGGGATTATCTTCTTGTAGACACTCTTTTTTATCTTCCAGATACTTAGGTAGCACTTGTGAGGGGGATTATCTTCTTGTAGACCCTCTTTTTTATCTTCCAGATACTTAGATAGCACTTGTGGGGGGATTATCTTCTTGTAGACACTCTTTTTTATCTTCCAGATACTTAGGTAGCACTTGTGAGGGAGATTATCTTCTTGTAGACACTCTTTTTTATCTTCCAGATACTTAGCTAGCACTTGTGGGGGCATTTTCTTCTTGTAAACCCTCTTTTTTATCTTCCAGATACTTAGGTAGCACTTGTGGGGGGATTATCTTCTTGTAGACACTCTTTTTTATCTTCCAGATACTTAGCTAGCACTTGTGGGGGCATTTTCTTCTTGTAAACCCTCTTTTTTATCTTCCAGATACTTAGGTAGCACTTGTTGGGGGATTATCTTCTTGTAGACACTCTTTTTTATCTTCCAGATACTTAGGTAGCACTTGTGGGGGGATTTTCTTCTTGTAAACCCTATTTTTTATCTTCAGATACTTCGGTAGTACTTGTGGGGGATTACTGACTGAGATTACCCAACACGGTCCCGGAGAGAGCGGGAGATTTTCAATTAAATCTCCGGGCTTTAAAGTTTTCAATGGGATTCGTAAGTGGCTCCCCCCATCGGGGGCCCACCTTATCTCGTACACGAAATTTATTCACTTAAGTAGAACTGCTTGTGGGGCTCAAATGAACATGGGGATTTTGTGTTTATTGCACATACAAAATTTATTAACGTATGAATATTTGGGTACTTCTGAGGGGATCAGTAGAGGTTCTTGTGGGGCTCTAAATAATTGTGGGAATTTTCTTCTTGTAGATCAACTTTTTTATCTTTAGATACTTAAGTAGCACTTGTAGGGGGATTATCTTCTTGTAGACCCTCTTTTTTACCTTCAGATACTTAGGTAGTACTCGCGGGGGGATTATTGTAAACGGTTTTCAACACGGGGGATGTTTTTTATTGCAGGTGTGGTTCCAAAATCGCCGGGCGAAGTGGAGGAAAACGGAAAAGTGTTGGGGCCGCAGTACCATCATGGCCGAGTACGGACTGTACGGGGCGATGGTACGACATTCGCTCCCCCTACCGGAGACGATACTGAAGAGCGCCAAAGAGAACGACAGCGTCGCCCCTTGGCTGTTAGGTAATGTCTGTATTAATTTTATCGAATTAATGGCGATTAGATAACGACAATATACACCGGGTGGTACCGCTCCATTGATATACAATCGATAAATTTTCTTGTGTGATAAATTTTATATTGTGGTTATTTAATTGCCAATAATAATTGAACCGCTTTGATTTGATTTTGCTGATCGAAGTCGAGGTTACCAATCATATTAAAATATATCCCTACTTTTAGTACTACAAATATTAATGCAGTACTTGCACTAAATGTACAAAGTGTCCCGTGACTCGATGGACGTAGGAAAAAAGTGTACAAAGCTTAGATCATATTATACTAACTTGGATAAGTCGACAGCGGTAAACACGACGTACTTTTATCACCCGTCCTTGTTTGACACTCGCTAGTTTCTAACAGTATGTCTTTGTCTTGGAGCCTTTGACAATTTTGACGTATAAAGTTAGCGCCAAATTTAAATATTCATGCTTAAAAACTATTTTAAGATGGTTGTTGTTTACCTCAGTGTTATGTATAAACCGCAAACACTAAACACAAACCAATCCAATAATCAAAAATCCAAATATAATAATATTACGACGCCATGACAGTTATGAAGCAAATGTCAAATGTCATAGTGTCAATGCCAGTGCCAGAAAAGGACGCATCAACATTGTCAAATGTCTAATAGCTATTTCTTATTTCTACTTTTCTTTTACTACAAATAAGTAATCGAGCAGCTGTTTTGTACAATAATTAGTTATTTAAAATGTATACGCATTTAAATAGTATTACTGCATTTCAAAACAATTATTTTAGATAATAAATAAAAATATTTTTATCGTACATCGTACATATTAAAAGAGTGAAAAATTACAACAAATGTGTGAATTTGGCAACAAGGGTGAGTTTCCTAATGTATCTGTTGTTTACTAATAAATACGTTCAGATTTTTAAAGCGCATGCTCAATTGGCAGACCAAAACAAAGATAAATCTATGCTGAATTCCATAGAGTAAAAAAAGAGAATATAATTTAGGCATGTTGTAGATGTTGGCAACAGGAACGTCAATGTAATTCTTATGACATTGATGCATCCACGTTAGTATATACAGGTTGCTCCATTTTTTGATCGCAACATAGGTTATATAGGCCATGGGTGCGATAAAGACAACTTCCATTCGACACTTATAAAGGAAAAGGAAAGAGTAACATTTGTGTCATTACAACTTTTCACTCTGACAACTGTCATTTTAATAATCTTTCTTTGTTCCACTCATAGAAATGACCATATTGCAATCGGAAATGGTGTATAGCAAGATCTAAGATACAAATTATACAAAGTGTATCTTTGTATAAAATGTATAAACGAGTACCTACATGCACTCTTTTCAGCTACGTCTACCGAATTAACGGGACACCTTGTATAAACTTCTCAACGGGTACTACTACAGGTAGTACCTATAACTAATGATAGTACTACAGGTAGTAATATCGTTTATACACATATGGGTTCGTGGTGTGGTAATAGAAATGTTATATTTGTAGCGTTAAGAAAGACTTCGATCGACAAATATCAAAAAGCGGGTACTATCCGTCGGGATGTCGTTTCAGGAATGCACAGGAAGTCCCTCGAAGCAGCCGAACACCTAAAAGACGACGGTACCGGCAGCGATCACGAGGAGACGACCTCGATGCGCACCGAAAACAGCGACACGAGCGCCGCCTCCAGCCTGCCGCCGTCCTCACAGCAGGACGCCAAGGAACCGCCGCCGTCGCAGCCGCCGCCGCCGCCGCCGCCGTCGGGCTATCCGGACGATCCGGAGGCGTTCCGGAACAATTCGATAGCCTGTCTGCGCGCCAAGGCGCAGGCGCACAGCGCCAAAATCATGAATCACAATTTGATGATGCAGCTGCAGGGCAGCCCGACGGGTTGCGATGCGAACGCCAACAGTCTGCAGCAGGTCGGGAAGGCCGAGACGCCGGGGATTTTCTGACAGGATGGCGGCCAGCGGGACGAGATTATTATATAAATATTTATGGATTTTTTTTTATGGATTCTTTTTTTTTGGCGAAGTTTGTTGCAATTGGTAGGCGCTGGAACGGGAGTTGGTCGGTTCGTATTGAGATTATGGGGAATTTATGTTGATTTATGTTGATTTACAGGGTTGTCCAGAACTCACGCACAACCGGGAAATGCCTTATAGAGACGACCAGTGTTGTTAAGTAATTAATTACAAGTAATTGAAAAAGTAATTGAATTACTTTTATTGTAATTGAGGCGGTAATTAATTACAAGATCCTCAATTGTAATTCATTTGTAATTCAATTACTCCTTTCGTTACAATTACATTTTACAATTACATTTCAATTACATTGGACACAAAAGTACTTATTTAATATTTTCAATACGTGGAAAGTTTAATTCCGATTGCAAATCCCTAAATAATTATTTAAAACTGACACCAAAGCAAAGTAATTGTGATTGTAATTGTAATTGTAACTTTAATTGTAATCGTAATTACATTCGCAAATTTTGTAATTGTAATTGCAATTAATTACAATTTGCCAAAAGTAATTGTAATTGTAATTAATTACATATTATAAAGTAATTTTAACATCACTGGAGACGACAATGGAGATGCGAAAACTGCAGCCAAAAAAAACATGAAAAAGTTATTCCTTTGGCAAATAAAGAGGTTCAAAATCGACCAATCCCAGTAGGAATTCAAATCCACGAAAATGACGTGAATTAGCTATACACCAATTTGACATTATTGAAAGATTCTATTTCCTTTATACTTTCAAGGTTAACAAAAGGTGCCAAAATTAGCTGTAACTATTGATCAAAGATTTGCTTTAAAATCGATCAAAAAATGGATTATTCGATCCGAACCACTTTTGAAGCAATAAAACATTCTGTAGGTTTGATATCAGCACGACGAAGCTTCTGAATGATCGATTTAAAAGCAAATCTTTGATCAATAGTCACAGCTGATTTTGGCAGCCTCTGTTAACCTTGAAAGTGTAAAGGAAATAGAATCTTTCAATAATATCAAATTGGTGAATAGCTAATTCACGTCATTTTCGCTTATGTGAACTGCTACTGAAATTGGTCAATTTTAAACCTCTTTATTTACCAAAGGAATAACTTTTTCCTGCCTTCGACTGCAGTTTTGGCATCTCCATTGTCGATTCCGTAAGGCATTTCTCGGTGGGGCGTGAGATCTGGGCCACCCTGTATAGGGTATTAATTAATTGAATGCCGATACTTCAGGATGTGAATATTTGGATGATTTTAAGAAGAAAAGTTTATATCAATGTATGTCCTAAACCTCTTAGTTTTCGAGCTACGGGGTGTTAAAATTTTAGAAAAAAAAAATAACTTTTCTATCATAATTTTCTTATTTTTCTAGTTATTTTGTGTTGTTAAGTAGTTAACTATGCAAGTAGTTAAAAATGTAGTTCAACTACTTTTAATGTATTTAAATAACCAACTAACTACTTTTATAAGCTCAGGAACTAAAATACATTTAACTACATTTTTTGTAGTATTTAACTATTTTATTTAAATACATTTTAAAATAATTTTATCCTCCAAAAATAAAAATTATTTAGATAGATACCTGTATTGTTGTTTATGATCTAAACTACAAAGCTTATATAAATCTCTTTGCCCTGGTAAATGCCCAAATTACCTGGAATTTTGTCATTACAAATTTAGTTTTAAATACTTTTAACTACAATTCCGATGCATTTAAATACATAGTTAAATACTTTAGAATAAATTTTATTCAAGCCGCATTTAAATACATTTTTTAAAGGCAGTTGTAATTGTAGTTAACTACATCAAAAAAAAGTAGTTTTAACAACACTGACACTTTTTAATTATTAAGGAGCATTTTTTGAGGCATAAGTTTTTTTTTAAATATTCACCAGTGGCGTCCGTACGGGGTTTGAGCTGAATATATTTGAAAAAAATTGTACACCACTGCTTTTTCTAAAAACTAAAATTATTTTTAAAATCCTCATTTATTTTGTAGCAAATTCGGTCAGAAGATTTATTTTCGTACGACGCACCATTTTTGCGTAAAAAAATTAAAACCAAAACCATTTTTCCCAATCTCATTTTGAGACTATTGATATTTTGTTGAAATTTGATAGGCGCCCACCATGCATAAAACACTTTTTTTGGGGATAAAAATTAATTTTCTACTATTACCAATGACGTCAACGTCCGAAATTTCATAAAAATATCTGCCGCAATAAGAAAATTATGATAGAAAAGTTTTTTTTTTTATAATTTTAACACCCTGTAGCCCGAAAACTAAAAGCTTTAGGACATACATTGATATAAACTTTTCTTCTTAAAACCATCCAAATATTCACATCCTAAAGTATCGGCATTCACTTAATAAACACCCTGTATACAGGGTGTTCCTAAACATCGTGTACATTTGTAATTTCAACACCCTGTAGATCGGCAACGAAGCGTTTGCGGACCCACATTTATATGAACTTTTAGCCATAAAATAAGCTAAGAAATCACCCCCTTTCGGATGTACACGATGTTTAGAAACACCCTGTATATCAAAAAACAGAAATCGTTTGCTTATAGAGCAAAGGTTTATCTCGCTGTTAAGTACCTACCAAATATATATACCGGAGAGTTGTAAATGTACGGGTGTAAAGCAATAAGTTTTCGCATAAACAAAAATTCCCCCCGTAAGTTCGCATTTAATACCGTTTTTTCGGTTTATTACACAGTCTTTCCTGCGGGGAGAGAAGAAAATTTAACTGTAATAAAACAAAGCCGGCATTTTGGTTGTGATAGGACGTGTTCGTAAATAATTTCCGTTCCCGTTCCTTCGCCGGTGTCCCCGGAATTCGAGTCAACGAAAATCGAAACGTCGCTTCGAAGTAATTTAGCCCCAGCGGTTTGTAAATTTTTCAAGTTTCTATCTGATCTACACATCGACATCGAATATTTGAGTGAAATAAATGTGTTTAGATGTCCCGGAACCTTTTACTACAATGTGCGAAACGTGCAATAGATACCTTTAAGGCGGGAATGTTTTCGCTATCAGTCAGTCAGTGACGGTTGCGATTAAATTTATTATAATAAAGATATGTTTGTTGTCAAATTGCTCGATTTATTTACTGTGGTGTTCTAGTTGAAAATGTTCCCGTTCGATTTGTAATATTATTTGTAAATATTTAGACGGTTTTTTTTTTAGAATTTTTTAAATTATTTGTATAAAAACTGTATAATATTCTTCTACGTCATTATAAATGTGCGTTACACTGTTTTAAGGTTGGAATTTTTGGACAAAAAAAAAATATATTTTTTATTCTAGTTTTCGAAAAATTCACAATATTTATACTGCTACACATTTTGTAATCATTGATTTATTTACATTGTGTTTAAATTAACTAATTCGCAATTTTATAAGTATTCTCTAAACTTAAGTAGGTATTATGTTCCTTTTTCTTCATTTGCAATTATACAGTGTGTTAATCAATTGAATGTCGATACTTCAGGATGTGAATATTTGATTGATTTTAAGAAGAAAAGTTTATATCAATGTATGTCCTAAACCTCTTAATTTTCGAGCTACAGGGTGTACAAATTTTAGAAAAAAAAATAAATTTTCTATCATAATTTTCTTATTACTCCAGTTATTTTAAAGAAATTTTGTATACACTTTTTAATTATTAAGGACCTTTTTTTGAGGCACAAGATTTTTTTAAATTTCACCAGTGACGTCCGTACGGGGTTTGAACTGAATATGTTTGAAAAAAAATGGTACGCCACTGGTTTTTCTAAAAACTAAAATTATTTTTAAAATCATCATTTATTTTGTAGCAATTTCGGTTAGAAGACTTATTTTTGTACGAAGCACCATTTCCGCGCAAAAAAATAAAAACCAAAACCATTTTTTCCCAAGTTCATTTTGAGATAGCTTTTGATATTTTTTTGAAATTTGATAGGCGCCCACCATGCATGAAATCACTTTTTTTTGGAGATAAAAATTAATTTTCTACTATTATCAGTGACGTCCATGTCCGAAATTTCAAAAAAATATCTGTCGTAATAAGAAAATTATGATAGAAGTTATTTTTTTTTCTAAAATTTTAACACCCTGTAGCTCGAAAACTAAGAGGTTTAGGACATACATTGATATAAACTTTTCTTCTTAAAATCACCCAAATATTCACATCCTGAAGTATCGGCATACAATTAATTAACACCCTGTATTGTGAGATTATCGGTTCGTAAAAATTAACCATTTTATGCACAATAAAACTAATAGATAAAAATAGTAGATATTTTTAATTTTCGTAAATGGACAGTGGAGTTATCAAAAATAATTTCAGACTCTAAAAATCCAGCTTAACAGTACAAATAATATATCTCGATCGATTTCGAAAAAATCGTTTATAAAAATTTGATAACTCCACCGAATTGTGAGATTATTAACGTACTTATGCAAATATTAAATACTTAAGTAAATTTTCGAAAAAAAAAGTGCAAAGTGTTAAATTTAGTTTGTAGATTTAGCAAAAATCTGTGTAGATAACGTACTTATAAAAATTATTAAAATTAGGAAAACGATGCGAATCCTCGTTGAAAAATTCTCCACGATAAAAAAATAATAAATTCACTTACAAAATATCTACCTAGTAGGTACTTAATACTTAATTGGTACGATCGAACGTTAATTATTTAACGAAGATTCGCGATGGGACTTTATTATGCAATTATCTAATATTGCATACCTACCCATTAATAACGAAATATATGTACCGATAAAACCATGTATAAAAAAAAAACCAGTATTCTAGTTTCATGGATTTCATTTCGCCTGCCACAAAACTCACCTTCCATTTTACAGTTTATTTGATTGCAACGCCAGAAATTTTAACACGTGAGGCGCCACTAATTCCGGTTTATCGTTGTGCACGTCGTGATTCCCTTCGGCGAATTTTATGCGAACGTTTCTTCTTTTCTTTAATTCCTGGATTAACGGACTGAACAAGATCTGTTGTGCAGTCGATTCGGTTCCCAAAACGATCAAAACCGGACAGGTTACCGGATTTAGTTTCATTACCGTTAATATGTTTCTGTAATCAAACGTTAACAAGTCTGATATCGATACCGAAGGTGGATTATTTTTGATGTTATATACAAGGTGTTTTAGGTTCGAGGTGGATTATTTATGACGGAAATTGAATTTTCGGGGAATTGTGCGGTGAAAGGTTCGTTCGCAGGGATTTGCTCGTTAGAATTTAGCCTAGGGCCTCCGGATCACGGCAGGACCTTTCATTTTTAATACAATTTTGTAAAATAACTTCAAGTATCTCGAAAACTAAACGAGATAGGAAAACGAAATTTTCGTAAATTTATAGAAAAAACAATTCTTTACAACTTTCACAGGATACATTTTTTCTCAAAAATCCTGAATTTCCGAGTTAATTTGACTGTTTTTGTTATAAATATTTGAAAAAAACAATCTTTAAAAAACTTCAAATATTTCGAAAATCAAACGAGGTAAGAAAACTAAATTTTCGTCAATTTATAGAAAATACAGTTCTTTACAACTTTCAAAGGATCAATTTTTTCTCAAAAATCCTGAATTTCCGAGTTAATTTGACTTTTTTTGTTCTAAATATATACAAAAACCCAATCTTTAAAAAACTTCAATTATCTCGAAAACCAAACGAGGTAAGAAACGAAATTTTCATCATTATATAGAAGAAACAATTCTCTAAAACTTCTTAAGAACAAAAATTGTTCAATAACCCCCAATTTTCCAAAAAAATTCGACTTTTTTGTCATAAATAAAAAAAATGTGTGCAATTTTTTAAAAAACTTCAATTATCTCGAAAACCAAACGAGATAAGAAAACGAAATTTTATCATTTTGTAGAAAAAACAATTCTCTACACCTTTGAAAGGATCAAATTTTTCTCAAAAATCCTGAATTTGCGAGTTAATTTAACTTTTTTTGTTCGCAATATATAAATAAACCCAAATGTGTGCAATTCTTCAAAAAACTTCAATTATCTCGAAAACCAAACGAGATAAAAAAACGAAATTTTCATCATTTTATAGAAAAAACAATTCTCTAAAACTTCTTAAGAACAAAAATTGTTCAATAACCATTTTCCAAGAAAATTCGACTTTACTGTCATAAATAAAAAAAAATGTGTGCAATTCTTTAAAAAACTTCAATTATCTCGAAAACCAAACGAGACAAAAAACGAAATTTTCATCATTTTATAGAAAAAACAATTCTCTAAAACTTCCTAAGAACAAAAATTGTTCAATAACCCCCAATTTTCCAAGAAAATTCGACTTTACTGTCATAAATAAAAAAAAATGTGTGCAATTCTTTAAAAAACTTCAATTATCTCGAAAACCAAACAAGACAAAAAACGAAATTTTCATCATTTTATAGAAAAAACAATTCTCTAAAACTTCCTAAGAACAAAAATTGTTCAATAACCATTTTCCAAGAAAATTCGACTTTACTGTCATAAATAAAAAAAAATGTGTGCAATTCTTTAAAAAACTTCAATTATCTCGAAAACCAAACGAGATAAAAAAACGAAATTTTCATCATTTTATAGAAAAAACAATTTTCTAAAACTTCTTAAGAACAAAAATTGTTCAATAACCACCAATTTTCCAAGAAAATTCGACTTTACTGTCATAAATAAAAAAAAATGTGTGCAATTCTTTAAAAAACTTCAATTATCTCGAAAACCAAACGAGACAAAAAACGAAATTTTCATCATTTTATAGAAAAAACAATTCTCTAAAACTTCTTAAGAACAAAAATTGTTCAATAACCCCCAATTTTCCAAGAAAATTCGAATTTTTTTGTCATAAATAAAAAAAATGTGTGCAATTCTTTAAAAAACTTCAATTATCTCGAAAACCAAACTAGGCAAAAAAACGAAATTATCATCATTTTATAGAAAAAACAATTCTCTAAAACTTCCAAAGAACAAAAAAACCTTCAAAACCCCCACATATCCAAGATAAATCCACTTTTTTGTCACACAAAAAGAACCTACCAGCAACCCCACCAAACCCCATACATCTACACAACCACCCATTTCCCCACATCTCCAAGCCACAAACCTCCAATCCTCCAACCCCCCAAAAACACCCTCCAAACAAATTACCTGACATCCCTCAGCGGATTGATAACATTCTTAACCCTCTGATCCAACGTGAACCGGTACATCCGGACAAATAAAAAAATGTGCAATTCTTTTAAAATCTTCAATTATCTCGAAAACCAAACGAGATAAAAAAACGAAATTTTATCATTTTATAGAAAAAACAATTCTCTACAATTTTCAAATATTTAAAAATTTCCAAAAATCCCGAATTTCCGAATTAAATTAACTTTTTTGTCATAAAAAAATGTGTGCAATTCTTAAAAAAAACCTCAATTATCTCGAAAAACAAACAAGGCAAAAAACGAAATTTTCATCATTTTATAGAGAAAACAATTCTCTACAACTTTCAAATATTTCAAAATTTCCAAAAACCCCGAATTTCCGAATTAAGTTGACTTTCTTTTTTGTCATAAATAAAAAAAATGTGCAATTCTTTAAAAAACTTCAATTGTCACGAAAACCAAACGAGATAAGAATACGAAATGTTCATCATTTTATTGAAAAAATAATTCTCTAAAACTTCTTAAGAACAAAAATTGTTCAATAACTCCCAATTTTCCAAGAAAATTCGACTTTTTTGTCATAAATAAAAAAATGTGTGTAATTCTTTAAAAAACTTCAATTATCTCGAAAACCAAACGAGATAAGAAAACGAAATTTTCATCATTTTATAGAAAAAACAATTCTCTAAAACCCCCAAAGAACAAAAAATGTTCAAAAACCCCCAAACTTCCAAGATAATTCCACTTTTTTGTCACACAAAAAGAACCTACATTCCCCCCCTCCAACCTCGACACACCCCATACATCTACACAACCACCCATTTCCCCACAAACCTCCAATCCTCCAACCCCCAAAAACACCCTCCAAACAAAATTACCTGACATCCCTCAGCGGATTGATAACATTCTTAACCCTCTGATCCAACGTGAACCGGTACAACCCATCACCGGCCGGCTCCACGGCCCTCTCTACCAGCGCCTCTGCCGCCTCCTTCGATATCGGCGCGTAACTCCTACCCCGCCACGTCTTCTCCAAAGCCTCCTCCAACGTGTACGCCGGCCGCCGCCCCTCCGCCAGCTTCCTCTCCAGCTCCAAATGCGCCTCAACCGCCCTCCTCACAGCGCTCTTGAAGTTCCTCGTCGACACCGGAAACAGGCTAATGGTATCGAACATGGCGAGCTTCGCCACGCACTCGGGGTACAATTGGGCGAAGAGGAAGCCGATCTGGCCGCCGTAGCTGTGCCCCAGGATGGTGAGTTTGCGGCCGAAGTGCCGGTGGATGATTTTGTAGACGAATATGTAGTTGAAGGTGTGGACGGGCAGGTGCGGGGGGAAGTGAGAGGAGCGCCCGTGGCCCGGCAAATCGATGCTGACGTAGTAGAAGTGGTCCGGTAGGAGCGGTATGAGGCGGTTGAAGGTGCCCGCGTTGTCCATTATGCCGTGGACGCAGAGGATCAGAGGATCGGCCGGTTCGCCCCATGTCTTGGCTAAAAAAACGAGTGTTTTATATGCCTGATTTCACCAACCAGTTCCTGAAGTTAGGTAATACCTAAACCGGATTTGGGAATTCCTAAGTACAATTTGCGTTTCACCATGCACTAATGCCTGATTTCACCAACCAGTTCCTGAAGTTAGGTAATACCTAAACCGGATTTAGGAATTCCTAAGTACAAATTGCGTTTCACCATGCACTAATGCCCGATTTCACCAACCAGTTCCTAAAGTTAGGTAATACCTAAACCGGATTTAGGAATTCCTAAGTACAAATTGCGTTTCACCATGCACTAATGCCCGATTTCAACAACCAGTTCCTAAAGTTAGGCAATACCTAAATCGGATTTAGGAATTCCTAAGTACAATTCGCGTTTCACCATGCACTAAGTAATACCTAAAGGTAATAGGAAATGCCTAAAGTTAGGACAGCTGACTGGGTTTGCCTAAAATATTTAGGAAATACTTAACCATACTTTCCATGTGATTTCATGTGACTTAAGTCTTGACTGTCTTTAGACTCTTTAGATGAACATTTAAAATGGGAGGAGAGTTTTTAGAAACTGGACGAAACTGATTTTTTTTCGCCTTTTTCGATATATAAAAATACAGCATTACAAATATTAGAATGAATTGAAGATGATTTTTAATTTGATACACAGGAAGTTTTTGGAACTATTGTCCGTACACATGAATGTAAATATCCATAGTCCTGGAGAAGAAGATGTAAAAATATTTTACAAATCGGAACGGTTATTTTTTTAATAATGTACAGACTACATACATCTTCAGCAGATTTAAAAATAACTAACATAGTTTAAAGATGGCCCGGATCATCAACATCTCTTCTTTTCTCTCAACATATTCAATTTCGATCCCCGCTTATTCGGTTTACACGTCAAAATTAGCCAATGCTACCAATAAAATTCAAAAAATTGTCGAAATCAAATTTTTACCTAAGGTATTTCTTAGCAAGGGATTTCTAATGTTGGTGAAATTCGATTTAGGTAAGTATTCGATGTAAGTAATTCCTAACTTAGGAATTACTTACTTAAGAAATGCCTAAGAACATATTGGTGAAATCGGGCATTAATGTACATACAGCATTTTCCAGGGCATGCTTATTTCGTTTGTTCTCAACTAGTACGAATAGAAGGGAAATCCAATAATTATTGAATAAATATTACTTAGCTTGGTGTTTCTAAATATCATACTTGAAGATTATTAATAAATTGATTATTTTTGTGGATGAAACAACGCTAATTAAGGACTTTTATATTGGTAGTGCACCAAAAATATACGCATTTTCTTGTTTTAGATACATTTTAGGTTAGGAAGGGGATATCGAGATGCGGTTTTCACAGGCTTGTTTGGCAATTATTTGACTATTTTTCTCCAAAGAAAAAGTTATATAGTTGTATTTAAATTTTTTGAGAAAATAGGTGTTTTTTGGAGTAATGTCGAAAAACGCCATCTTGCGGCAAAGCAAGCAATTAAAATAATATCTTATAGACCAAAGAAAGCCTTCTTCAAAAATTTCATTTTTTTGAAAATCGGTTCAGCCGTTTAAAAGTTATTAACACTTATTTGTCAAAATATTCAAACCATCCCCATCACTTTATTTTAAAATATATAGTCAAAAATATATAACAAAAAATAATCGAAATTATCTTAACTATCAAAATAAAACATATTTTTGATACCTTTATTTATAATGACTTTTAAAAATTAAGATGGCGAATAATCCCCCTTAGCGGCCATTTTAGAGGCCTGAAAATGATTTCCAGCATTTTCTTTTGGCCGATTTAGTCATAACATTCTTTACCGCAAGTCTCTATGACAATTAGTTTGCGATATATGGCCGAGAGCCATCCTTATTTAGCCACCCTGTACAATTTAATTGTATTACAACTTCGCTTTTTGGAACGTTAGGAATTCGCAGAGATAAGGAGCCACCCTCTCCGGGTAGTTGTTGTGCACATCGTGGTCACCGTCCACTTCGTGGATTTCGATGTTACTAAGAGTTTTGAAGAAACTGATCACCGGTTCCATGTATTTGATTTGATAGACGTTTTCGTTACCCAAAACGATCAAAACGGGGCATTTAACCGGACAATTCTTCACCGTTTCGATGAAATACCTGTAGTCTCTAAGCGGATTTATGAAGTTCTTGAGTCTTTGATCCGTCGTGAATTTATACAAATCCCCCGCCGGTTCGATTGCTCTAGTTAACAACGCTTCAGCGCTCTCTGTCGGCATGGGCTTGAGGCTCCTCCGGCCGGTTATCAACTTCTCCAAAGCCTCTTCTCGAGTGTACAGAGGCGGCCGATTACTCCTCAGGTTGTTGGCGATCCTGAGATGATCTTCGATTCTTTCCGCCATGTAAACATCGAAGTAATCCGTCGGCACCGGATATGACGTCAGCGTGTCCAGCATAATGAGCGATTTTACGTGATTGGGGTATATTTGAGCGTACATAAATCCTATTTGCCCGCCGTAACTGTGGCCTATTAACACGAACTTTCTGTCGTCGAAATGGCGTGTTACTTCTCTGTATACCAGCAAATAATCGGTAGTGTGTATAGGCAAATGGGGTGGAAAATGGGTGGATTTTCCGTGACCCGGTAGATCGATGCAAACGTAATAGAATGATGAAGGAAGGCGTTCGATTAATCGATCGAATGTTCCGGCGTTGTCCATTACGCCGTGTACGCACAAAACTAACTGGTCATCGGGTTCGCCCCAAGTCTTAGCTGAAACAAGAAAGGCGCCGTTTAATTATACCAAGTTCTCGCTTACTAGATTAAATATCAGTGAAAGACCTTCTTGAATCAAGTAAGATTTAAGATCTATTGAAATGGTGAAATGAGACTGTTAAAGTGTGTTTTTTACCTGCTACGTGGCCCCACGGAACGGGAATTCTTATTTCTCCGATCTTTCTGTTGGTCGCAGCCATTTCTTCGGTTATTTAAAGTAATTCAAGTTGAAGCCAGCACGAAATTTTTATGTGTTGTAGATTCTAGAAATTTATTACGTTATTTAAACTAACTATTAATTGATTCTGTAATAATTACGATTAGATATGTTAATTTTTACTGAATTTGTTCATTTGACCTTCGAATTTTTTGAACCTTTGTACACGAATGAGCGAGTTAAAGTTCATTAGGTAATTAAAAATTAAATTATATACATTAAAAAGTACATGATTAATCACTATTTACTGCTGTTTTTTCATATATTTTATTTGCCACTTTTATAACGTTAATGTCTTCTTCTTTTCTTAGAAGATAGGTTAATTTGCTGTCTTACCTACATAGTTACAGTTCTGTCAATATTAAAAAATGTGACATGTGACTTGACTTTTGACTTGTACCTTCTACCTAACTTCATTCGGTCTTCAATGCAAATTACAATTCAAGTCAAGCAAGTTTAATTTTCATTTTCAAATTTTCAAAATTTCATCAAGTCAGAATAACCATGTCGGATTCATTCGATTCGTTTTCGTCGGGCTTAGAGAACAAAAGCGGAGATAAGGAATTGCAGGAATTTCTGATGGTAGAAAAACAAAAGGCACAATTCAACGCACAAGTAAGCATACATTTTCGCTGTTGAATTACTTGTATAATTACAATAATGTATCTTTAAGATTCACGAATTCAACGATTTCTGTTGGGACAAATGCGTGGATAAGCCCTCCAACAAATTGGACAGTAAAACGGAGACGTGCTTGACTAATTGCGTGGACCGATTTATAGATGTATCATTATTAATTACGAACAGGTTTTCGCAGTTATTGCAAAAGAGCGGTGGCATGTAAATAGTAAAAGCCGTTTTTATTAGTAAAATGAGTGGGTAACTTTGCTCGAAATGAGTTGTGTTTTTTATAGGTTATGTTCAATCTCAAATAAATTTATTGATTGATTATAACATGTGTAATGCTGGTTTGTTTAATTGAATAGTGTATTTGTAATTTACTCTTCTAATTTGAGTATTTGTTTATTAAAATATATGGTAAAAAAAAGTAAATTAAATTTCTTCTGTTTTTTGTGTATGAAAATGGAAACATTTGACTAGTGTGTTTTTTGTTTTTGCCAAGTCATGTCGATCTGTCATTGTCAAAATTTGACACATGAAGGTTAAAATTTAAAGAAAATAGAACAAATTTTTGGTCTTTACGTTTTAATTTAAATATGTTAGAAGTAAACCACGCCGGTCTAGAGCCTTCCCTTAAAAATGTGATCGAGCAAGAAACCCTGAGATGGATATTCGTCGGCGGTAAAGGTGGCGTTGGCAAAACGACATGCAGGTAAACGAACGAATTTCTACCATAACAAACATCATTTTACTACTAAACGATGTTCTATTAGCTGTAGTTTAGCGGTACAATTAGCAAAAGTCCGACACACCGTGTTAATTCTATCAACGGATCCCGCTCACAATATATCCGATGCATTCGATCAAAAGTTCACTAAAGTACCTACGCAGGTAAGGGGTTTTGATAATCTGTTTGCTATGGAAATTGATCCAAATGTAGGTTTTAACGAATTGCCCGATGAGTACTTCGACGGTGAACCGGACGCCATGAAAATGAGCAAAGGTGATTGAAATAAACGATACATTCCAATTATACACGTATTCTAACAATTCCAGGTATCATACAGGAAATAATAGGAGCCTTCCCCGGCATAGACGAAGCCATGAGTTACGCGGAAGTAATGAAACTGATCAAAGGCATGAATTTCTCCGTGGTGGTCTTCGACACCGCTCCCACGGGCCACACGTTACGTCTACTGTCTTTCCCTCAAGTCGTCGAGAAAGGCCTGGGGAAACTGTTGAAGCTTAAACTGAAGATATCCCCGCTCATATCGCAAATCAGCGGCCTTCTAGGACTGCCCGATTTCAGCGCCGACAACTTCACGTTGAAAATGGAGGAGATGCTGGGCGTGATAAAGCAGGTGAACGAACAGTTCAAGAATCCCGATCAGACGACGTTCGTTTGCGTGTGCATCGCCGAGTTCCTGTCCCTCTACGAGACGGAACGTCTCGTGCAGGAATTGACCAAGTGCAAGATCGACACGCACAACATCATCGTCAATCAATTGCTGTTCAACAAAGACAACAAGAATTGCCAAATGTGCGCCGCGCGGTTTAAGATCCAAGAGAAATACCTCGATCAAATCAACGATTTGTACGAGGACTTTCACGTCACCAAGTTGCCGCTGCTCGAAAAGGAAGTCAGAGGCCACGAAAGCGTCCTGGTTTTTTCCGAACATTTAGTTAAACCTTACGCCGAACATTCGAATCAGACGGTTGAAAAGGCTTGATGAGCGCAAACGGGATGCTAACGATTTCCAATTATTATTTTTTATTTCCCCGATTATTTTGAGTTAGTAGAATCATTTATTAATAAAACACTTTATACAATAAAACATCCACTTTGAAAATTATTTTCTTTTTTGTTTATTTAAAGCTTTATATAAATATATGAGATACGATAATTAATTGTGCATAATTTAAATTAGAGATTTCTCGAGGTTTCGCTCAAGTGAATCCAATCGGGTAATCGTTTCTCTTTGAAATAAATCTCCTTAGTAACTGCTCTCATATTTAACAGTTCCGTCGCGCCGTATATAGCACCTAGAAATAATTATACATTAATTAAAAAGTAGTTTTTTTGCGGAATAATAGCATCGTTTACCTCCCAACCAAGCCGCGTAGTTTTCTTTGCAAGGCGGCGAATGGAAGGCCAATTTTTTCAAATGCAACTTGCCGTATCTCTCGTTTTCCAGCTGCCCTTCCAATTCCTCTTTCAATCTGGCTTTGAAGCCGGCCGTCATGGCCGTGCCGCCGATGAGGAATATATTTTCCGCTAATAATTGCCTCAAATTGATGTCCACTTGCAGAATGGCGTCCAGTATCATCGTGGACAGACACAAGTGGTCGTTGTCTTCCTCGTACAATATTTCGAAGGCCTTTTCTCGCACTTTGCCGCTCACGATTATACTTTCCGTTCCACCTGCAACGATCGAAGCTCGATTAAAGTGTAATGTGAGGATTTGTTCGTTATACCGATGGGGTATTTGACGTCCGGACAAAACTGTATGCTTGGTTTCTCCGATGCAAACTGCAGGGCTCTGGATTTTTCCGTTACGAAACAACACCTCACTTTTATGTCTTCCATTACGTCCTCTCCTAAATTTTGTATACCCGTGTTGTTGCTACCGAGTAATTGTCTCACTTTACTGAAACGATAAACGGTTAACGATCGATTACTACATCGAAGGATGGAGTAGTTACTTGTGGATCGCTTGGGCACCTAAAGGTAAAGCTTGCCATGCTTGTAACATCGGAAGTCCATGGCATATCGGTATCACTACTGCTTCTTTGTATCCTACATCTACTACTAATGCAGTATCCACCGCCATACTAGCCAAGCTAACTAAATGCGACGGTAAACAGAGCATCATGGATATTTCAAAGTGCGAAAATAACACCTACGAATTAAATAACACGGTGTTATTTAACGGATATATACCTCGAAAAGAGGTACAAACCTTTGCTAACGTTTCTCTAAACAGCGTAGGACACAACAGCGATTCAACGATTATTATCGGCTTGTCCTTCGGACTGAGGATGGCGTATTTGAAATAAATGACGTGAATGAACTCCACCAGCAAATCGTAAAGGTCCTCCGGCGATTCGTAATCCCATATTCTCCGAAGTCTGTCGGTTCTTTTGCACCTCACCGTCGATTTCATAATGTTCCTCGGGGCGAATTCTCCAGCGAAACCGAATCTGAAATATGTACATCAATCGGGGCGTATTTGGGGCCAGTTTTGCTTACTTGGTGTACACGGTGCCGATGTCTAAAACCACCGTGAGTTTATCGCTGTTTAATGTTTCGTAGATTGCCATTTTGGTAATTTAACAATGTGGAAACCTGCTAAGAATAATGCCCTACTAAATTAAAATTGTTTTCTTATTTTTTGTATCAAAAATTGTAACCAAACATTTCAAAATGTCAGAATTAGGTCGAAAATCGCCTAAATGTCATATGTCATTCATTTTTTTTTGTTCAATAAAAAAAGAAGATCTTAATACATAATCTAAAAACTTATTAATTTATTGGATTTAAATTAAGAATTTTGCACGTGTCGAAGCATTATTTCAGGCATTAAATCGCTAATGTTACTACTATAGTGAATTATGCTCTTAGAAAATCGCCTAAATGTCATGTCATTCATTTTTTTTTGTTTAATAAAAAAAGAAGATCTTAACACATAACCTAAAAACTTGTTAATTTATTGGAATTAAATTAAGAATTTTGCACGTGTCGAAGCATTATTTCAGGCATTAAATCGCTAATGTTACAACTATAGTGAATTATGCCCTTAGAAAATTGGTCGAAAATCTGTATTGGATGGTTAGTAACCCGACAACAAACAATTCAAAATTAAATTTCGTGTGACATTTTCAGCATCTAATTTAACCGTAGGTCTGCGGTTATCGTCGGTGGAATATACTCGTTTTACCTGGCCCGCGTGAGTGTCGACAAGAGGCGCTATGAGAACATGAAAATTAGGGAACGCATGCGACAAGCGAACTCTGGTCAATACGAAGACAGTTACAGGAAGTTCTCTACCGTAGATACCAGTGCACACAAGGCTTAGTGAACGCGTACGGACAATAATAAATAAACGTTTGATAAAAAGATGTCGCAAAAGGAGGCGCAGAACATGCAGTTGATCCAGGAATTGGAGATCGAAATGATGGCCGACATGTACAATCGATTGACCGCCACCTGCCACAAGAAATGCGTCCCTCCGATATACGGGGACGCGGAAATCGCCAAAGGCGAGGCCGTTTGCATCGACAGGTGCGTCGCCAAATTCCTGGACATCCACGAGCGCATCGGCAAAAAACTGGGCCAAATGTCCATGCAGGACGAGTCCCTTTTGAAGAAATAGACGCTCGACTGTCGATTAGAGTAAACGTAGAACTTTCCTTTTGCCATGTTGTCGTGTGTTATTAGTTTGTTGTTTACTAGTTAATAAAAATTCATGAAACATTGAAGTATGTAATAAGATTTTTAACGCTTAACAACTAATCCATAGTAAAAACGCCCTTTTTCGATCGCTTGGCGGGTTCCTCTTCGGGTTTGAAATGGTTCGCAGTCCGTTTTCGGATGTCCTCTACTCCTTCTTCGGAGGCCGCCCATTCCAGCACCAATCTTCTACCGTACAAGTGAGTACTTTGCGATAGAGCTTCGAAAGCAGCCTTGAAGTAACAGAAAAATTATGTATTTCTTCGGCGTGTAATAGAAATAATCTCACCTTTGCATCGGATGAAGTTGTATATTCGACAAACGCGAACCCCCGATGATTGTCTAAGCCGGATCCCATTTTCTTCGGCAATCTTAGAGCTCGTATTTCTCCGAATGTACTGGAAATAAAGGCGTATTTTTATTACTTACATTTATGCGATTCTAGAGATTATAACGTACGTAAAAAGCGCTTCAACTTCAGCCTTTTTAGCCTGGAAGGCGATGTTTCTAACGAGTATTTTCGATCCGGTTTGTTTCTTTAATTTCACCGTTTTTCTAGTGCTCTGCACGTCGTTTCTACAATAATATATTTACAAAAAAATACAAAAAATACAAAAAAATATACTTCATAGTTCGCTCGGATCTCTTCAATTCCAGCGATTTGTCATCTAGAACGCTCTGCTGTAGAGTTTTCAACGCCTTATCGGCGCTGGCTTTGTAAATGAATTGGACGAATCCGTAGCCCAAAGAAAGCGGATTGTTGGGATCTTTGGCGTCTTTTTTAGTGGCCACTGTCGCGTAACGAATCTTCCCGCAACCTTCGAAATGCTGTAATTTCAATTAATAATTTTCCTACTCTATTACATAAAAAATAAACTAACTTTTCTTAAACCTTCATCGGTCGTTTTGAAGTTCAAATTTTTAACGAACAGCGTGGTTTCCGGTTCGGGTTCTGTATCAGATTCCGAATTTTCATCATCATTGATTTCTTCGTTTATTTGTTCGTTATTTATCGGTTCATCTTCGGTTTTTGGTGTAGATTTTTGCGAATCTTGCAGACTATTGTCAGGTGCCCATTCCAGGTACAATGGCATATTTTTAAATTTTGTATACGCTAATCGAACGAACGCTTTCCTGGCTTCGGAAGGTTCCAAAAATTCAACAACAGCTAGAAAATATAAATACTTAAACTACAAAGATTTCACTATTGATTTTTTAATTACCGGTTATCCCACTAGGAGGTAAAATAACTCTTCCTACATCGCCGTGTTTCTGAAACACTTCTCTAATTTCTTTCGCTTCCGTTTTGGACGGTAAATTCTTCACTAATATCACCGTTTTCGATTTCTTTTTCGACTCCTACAAAACAATTAATACAACATTTATTACAGTCGACTATTTCGGTGCATCTCACCGACAGTGTTGATAAGTAGTTAAAAATGTAGTTCAACTACTTTTAATGTATTTAAATAACCAACTAACTAATTTTGTAAGTCCGGACTCTTAAATACATTTAAATACATTTTTGTAGCATTTAACTACATTATTTAAATACATTTTCAAATAATTTATTGTTTCTCTATTTGGTACCTGAATTGTTTATATAAATTCCTTTGCCTTATTGGTAACGAACTTATTTTAAATTAGAGTTAAATTCATGGAATTTTGTCGCTACGAATGCTAATAATACTAGGAAAAATAACTTTATGAGATGAGTTTATTTGCAATACCGACCAATAGCTTTACTATAGAGGATACTGGGCAACTCCCTTTTGGGGTACTTTAAATTATTTAAGGGTTACGATTTACGAGTTATTCAACGCTGAGCGAAGTTAAAGTGTGTTTCAGTTTGTACTGCTTTGGTAAAGTTTTTTTTATACAAAAATGGAAAATAGTGACACGATATTTTTAAAATCGTGGAAATAAACCGGGAAAAAGTCAAAGCGAAGTGTCTACTATGTGTTGATTCAACGAGCGAAATTCATAGATCATCAAAATCATTTTATCCTCAAAAAATATTAATTATTTAAATAGATACCTGAATTGTTGTTTCGATCTAATCTACAAAACTTATATAAATTCCCTTGCCCTTATTGGAAACGAGCTTATTTTAAATTGGAGGTAAATGCCACGATTCGTGGAATTTTTTCCATACAAATTTAGTTTAAATACTTTTAACTACAATTCCGATAGTTAAATACGTAGTTAAATGATTTAGAATAAAATGTATTTAACTACAGGGTGGCATATTAGTATGGAAAAGCTCAATATATCTGTTATTATTGAAGTTATCAACAAAACTTCGTTACAAAAGTTGTAGATCTTTTTAAGCTGCATATTTTGAAATTAGTTACATTTATACAGAGCGTCCCGTTTTTCCGTGGTAGATCAAACTTATACTTTTTTAAATGGAACACCCTGTTTTTTATTTAAAAATTGAATTTAGCTCGTTTTCAGCTTTTCCAAAAATATCATTTTGTATAACGTTGTACTGAGTGATTTAAAAGTTATGACCACTTTTATGACCACAAGTTTACCACTCTTAAAAGAAATCTTAATTTTTTTTCTTCAATTTTCCGTTCTAGTTTTTTTTAATTGGCATATCTCGAAAAGTGTTAACTTTAGGTATAGGGAATTGTTAGTAAGAATGAAAGTACTTCAAAAATACTTCCTGTTAAGCGATATAAAATATAGGGTGATCCATTTAAATTAACAGAGAAAATGTTACTTTTGGGTTTGGATCCACCCTGTAAGCAGTATGATTAAAATTGACAAAAAAATATTCATTTTGTTCATTTTCAGGATATTTGTAATGTTGTTGACACTTGAAATTTATGTTCAATTCAATCCATTTAATTTCTACAGAGTGGTAAACTTAGTACGATTTTCGTGGAAAAGTAGTCATAACTTTTAAACCACTCAGTAAAACGTTATACAAAATTATATTTTTGGAAAGCTGAAAACGAGCTAAATTCAATTTTTAAATAAAAAACAGGATGTTCCATTTAAAAAGTATAAATTTGATCTACCACGGAAAAACGGGACGCTCTGTATAAATGTAACTAATTTCAAAATATGCAGCTTATAAAGATCTACAACTTTTCTAACGAAGTTTTTTTGATATCTTCTATAATAACAGATATATTGAGCTTTCCCATACTAATGTGCCACCCTCTATACACCGTTGGAAATTTAATTTCGCATAATTGGGAAATCAATGTTAAATTCTTAGCCGGCTGAAATCCAGTCTACCAGTATACATTTCAATAGAACGTCGCGATGAATTCTAATAAATTTAATTGTTCTACTGGATCGCACGCCGCGATTTGTAGAGGTACAAAGTTATTTGTGTTAGGTATGAGGTACAAAATTATTTAGAAACTATATTTAATAGTTTTTTTGGGGGATATTTCAAAAAAATATGTGTATCGGTAGGTACAGTTTTGAAAGAGCAACAAATCTTCTTGAAATAAGGGAAAAAATAATTCAATTTTCAGCTAGAATTATACCTCAGCTCAGTAATATGAGATGACATCTGTATGACAGGTTTGCCTATAGTTTAGCAGAAAGCGGTGGACTATTTTTTAGAGTTCTTTTATTTTCTGTTTTAAAATAATCTTTAAGTTTATTTTTGGAGTTTCCTTTTTATTATTTTCTTAGAATTTACTTTCTCTTTCAAGCCATTGTGGCAAAAAGACATCTACATAATTCTATTTTAATATTAGTGATATTTTTTCAATAAATTATCGTTTAAAAATTCTCAATTCTTTTTAATCGACTCGACGTTCACCCATCCGAACCCGTTTTGATACTGTCGAAGTGTTGAAACCGTCGAAATTATTTGATTTTTAATCTAACCAAGCCAAAGCGCGGTGTGAAGTCCAGTAGAACAATTAAATTTATTAGAATTTATCGCGACGTTCTATTTAAATGTATACTGGTAGATTGGATTTCAGCAGGCTAAGAATTTAACATTGATTTCCCTATTATGCGCGAATAATTTTCCAACGGTGTATACATATTTAATTACATTTTTTACAAGTACTTGTAATTGTAGTTAACTACATTATACAAAGTAGTTTTTAACAACACTGCTCACCGAATTAAACGCGTCCAAAACCACACCGTGTTCTTCCAAATACTTCCTAGTTTGGGCGGCTATTTGGGTTTCGCCGAGGGCCAATCGAACGGCGGCGCTTCCCGTCCCATCGGGCCCCACAACGGCCTCTTTAGTTGTACCGAAACTATCGGCGATCACTCCGGCAACGGCGTTGTGATCCAAAAACAAGGAGTTCCAGTTGTGCGCAGAACCGGCTTGGGCCTTTTGCTGTGCCCATTTCTTCTTCTTGAAATTCGACGAGTCTGTTTTGACATTCTATTTACTTCGGTGAATTGGGATAAATTGCGATAAATACCTTCTAAATTCTCTTCGTTGGAGTCCTTGGATTTGCCGGGTAGTAAATGGAGCATTCTACCGTGTAAAATTGTACCGTCCAATTCGCAATACGCTTTTACGGCGTGCTCGGGCATTAGAAATGTAATGGTCCCGAAGCCTTTTAATTTTTTCGTAGCCGAATCGATCGGTAGATTTACTTCGGTTAATGGACCTAAAAAAGCACAAATATTCAACCTTTTTTTATACATATATTCGTTTTATTTACCGTATTTATTAAACAATTTCTCGATGTCTTCTTCGGTGGTGGTGTAAGCTAAATTTCTTAAGAATATTCTACCGGATTCGCCTATGCTCTCTTCGTTTTTTAATGATTCTTCTTGATTGCGCCATTTGCTTTTGAAAGTGTTTGTTTCTTCGGAATTATTGTTTGTTTTGTTGTCGTTTTCGTTTGTGTATTTCACTACGGAAATTTGTTTACCGTCTGAAATGAGGAAATGCTTTAGATTTAAATAAATTTTGAATTTTTTTATACTTACTAATAAAACTACGGTTTTTTATTAATGCTTTGTTTGCCATTCTTTCCGCTTTAAATCCTACATAAGCGATTCCGTGGATGTTCCTCGGTATTCTAATCGTGTAACAAGATAGGGGTTTGAAGAAATCTTTAATATCTTTCTTCTTTATATTATAAGGTAAATCGCGTAACTAAAAATAAATACTGTGTAATTAAAATAAGAGTTTTTGCTATAATCGAATGCTTACTTTCAGTGTGAACAATTTTATCTTCTCTTTGATTTTCTTTTGCATTTTTTCTCTGGGTTTTTTCTCGCCTTTTATTAGCTTTTTCATGTATTCTAAATCCGAGATTTGTTCATTTGCAATTTTTGAGGTATCTTCAATTTCTTCATCATCATCACCATCCTCTCCATCGGATTTATTTTCCTCTTCTACATCATCTTTTTCTTCGTCAACATTTTCAGTTAGTTTATGGAGCTTTTCCATTTCAGTTGGTGCATTGACTTGCAAAAATTCTTCGAATAGAGGATCATCTTTGTACTGAAATTGTACTCGATAATTATTCTGAAATTACTGAGTAAAATTTTTAATAGATTACCTTTTTTAATAATTGCTCGGCTTCATCTTGTTTCTTTTTGATTTTAATTTCTTTCGCAGGTTCTGCCTGACTATTATTAGCAATATTTTTAGATTTTTTATTTATTTCACTATCTGGCGCATATTTACTCCACGATTTCGGTTTATCTTTATCACCTGAAAGAGATTGCTCATAGAAAACTTTCAATAAGTACTACAAAGTTCTTTTTTATCCTACCTAATGCACTGCAATTTTCCACAGTAATTCTACTGGTATTTATGAATGTTTTATTTAGAGATTTAATCGCTTCATTAGCTTCCTCTTCATTTTGGTATCCTATAAACCCGAATTTCCTGAATTTCCCATCTGGAGTGTATTTTAATTGGATATCGGTTACTGTCCCTTTTTGGCTAAATATGTTTTTCAACGTTTCTTCCGTTACCTATAATAAAAGCAATGATAACTGTATACGTAATAATTAATGTACTTACATTTTTCGGAAGGTTTTTCACGATTAAACGAGACATTTTCTATTATTTTTTCGAATTCAAATACTGCGTGTCAACAGCACTTAAAAGTAAGGTTATGTTGTTATTGTCAATGTCACTTTCTTCTTTTTTTGATGGTTTCAATAATTTACATAAAACGATGAAGTTTTTTCCAAAAGCCAGACCATAGAGAAAGAAAGATGAGAGAGTTCGATCCTTTACTAAAAATTGGCATAATGCATATACCTATTAGTATACACCGTGTCTAAAGTCGAGCGCTACATTCGTCCGCCGATTCATCGCGCCGAAGCCGCGCCTCTCCACAGTTCGACTGATTCTCTCTTTCTACTGTTTGCAGCGCTCGAACATGGACACTCTGTATACTGCTAACTCCCTATCTATTCCATGAGAGAAAATCGTAGCGATTAAAGAGAGAGATCCGACCCTTTATGGTGTGCTTAAACGTTTATACGCAAGCGCGTTAATTTTAAAAGGACCAATAGCGAGTAGCTGAGGCCTAAAAAGAAAAGAAAGAAAATAATACTTGAAATCGTGGTTAAATTCGGTAACCTGACATATTTACACAGGCAAGTCAAAGTCGATTTTAAAATTATATCAAAAAATATACCAAAATAAAAGCTAGCACGTTTCTGACGTTTCATTTGCTCTGTCAAAAGTAGCCAATCAAGAAATCTTTCACTTGAGCATGCGCATAAATAAGCAGGCACACTAAAGTATAATGTTTGCTACGGGTTTTAGACCGTAGTAAGCAGTATATACTAATAGGTATATGGCATAATGTTGATGGTGCTGCCTCTAACTCCGGTCGTCAATTTATCGCGAACTAATCAAGAATGACAGTGTAGATTTCTTCTATATTTAAAAACAAAAAATGGCGGTAAATTTAAATTTTATTTCTATAATTCTATTTTATTTTCTTACATTTGATAATTGTGTAGTCATTCAATAGCCGTTTCTCAAGCAAGAAAAACGACTATCAAAAGCATACACAATTTACAAATTGGAATATTTAAAATAATACAATTAATTGATTTATGTAGAAATTTATTAATTTAAAATTATACACAATACAATTATATACGATAACTACGAAGAAATAAAATTTTACATTAAAAATAAGTGCCTACTAATATTTAAAGGAAAAATCACATTTATATCACAGAAGTTACGAAAGGATATTTACATACCCTAAATTTAAATTGAATTATTTTAGTAAAATTGGTTATTTCTAAAGTTATACAACGTTAAAGTTGGTCTTATTCCTCAGCTCCCAGGGTCTACACCTTCCAGTTCTTATATCGTACGTTATCTAAAACAAAAAAATATCAGCAGCATCGAATTCAGGGAAAATAACGAATAGTGAGAAATAGTTGTTAGTTTTTACCATTTTCCCGATAATACAATGGCATACAATAATACAATTGGTACAATGGCTCCAACAAGTTGACAAAAAACATCTGATTTATGATCTTTGCAAGAAAGTGTTCTTTGGTGTTGACATTTTAAATGAGCAAACACTCATTAGACAATTAAAAATAAACAAGTATATAAAAACTCACCAATTTAGGTTATACACAAAAATGGCGCCTACCTACACTACTCACGAAACTTATGTAAAAAGACCGGCATAAGTGCATAACACAACTCAACAAGAACGGCAAGCAAAACTACCGAACGAAACAAACCGAAATTCCGTATCGTTTGCGTTCGGTCCTCTATGTGAAATTGACCAATCAAAAAAAATTAAATATATTTCATTTTTCGATAGCAGCGCCTCTTATGGGGTCTTCAAAATGAATCGTGTAGTCCGATATTTCCTATGCTTTAAACAGTCTCTTATATTTTGTCTATGAGCCAGACTTTTCGGTGTACAAATCTCAAAAAATATAAGAAATATCGTTTCCAAATTTTCACAATACATTTCTATTACTCATCACTAGGTCATAAAGAATTTTGGTTACCGTCTGATAGAAAAAAAGATTGAAAAATGTCTACTTTCAAACGCTTGTAATTTCGTTATTTTTGCGTAAATCTTTAAAAAAAACCTTTATGACCTACAGGAAGGTTCACTCTATCAGATGCAGTTCATATTATATTTCAATAATTATTCAAAAATTGAGATTTGTACACCGAAAAATCGTTGTCATTGCTGCCAACTGAAATTGGGTTACCAAAACTCAACGCTCCACAATTGGCCATGGAACTGAAAAGAAGAGAAACAGTTTAAAAGAAGAAGATTCAAACTCGAAAGTATTGAGGTTATGTTTGTATTGATGTTTGTGTACAAGAAATACTACATTTTAATGATAAGTTTCTGTTGAAAACGAATATAAAGTAGCGTTAGTGGACTGGTAAAAATGTTTTCCATATGCCGGCAGAGCCATCCCGCCACAGGCGTCGAACACGCGATATCCTGCTTCTTTTTCAACAAAGTCGAGAAATGTTTAATAACAGCGGGCGCTAATACACTCAAAGTATTCCGTCTCGTTCCCGATGCGGATTCCAGGATCAAAACCGAACGTTATTCAGGTAAACGCGCGCTAATTACCCGCTTAATTTTCAATCTGTAAACGAATTTTCCTCTTCAAAGAATTCTACCCTCCCAAGTCCAAGCTGGAATGTATGGCGCAATACACTCTATTCGGCAACATCGTGTCCATTCAAAGAGTATCGCTCACGAATTTCCAAAGAGACGCTTTACTCTTAGCCTTTTCCGATGCAAAGTTATCGGTCGTGGAGTACGATCCGGAAAACCACGATTTGAGAACTCTGAGTTTGCATTACTTCGAAGAAGATGATATGAAGGTATGCTTTATAATTACAATTTCGAGGAAATAAGTACATTATTTTTAGGACGGTTGGACGCATCATCACCACGTTCCCTTAGTACGAGTGGATCCGGAAAATCGTTGTGCGGTTATGACTGTGTTCGGTAGAAAATTAGTCGTGTTGCCATTTCGAAGGGACACTTCTATAGACGACAGCGACGCCGACGTGAAACCGATGGCGTCCAGTACAGGCATAGCAAAAGGCCACATTCTCGCCTCCTACATGATCGTCCTGAAAGATTTCATCGAAAAAATCGATAACATCATCGATATACAATTCCTGCACGGTTATTACGAACCTACTCTGCTCATCTTGTACGAGCCTTTGAAGACTTTTTCCGGGTAAGCGGTTTGTACTAACAGTTGGTTTTTTATAGTGATAAATGTATTTGTTTTAAGGCGAGTCGCTGTGAGAACTGACACTTGTGCAATGGCCGCCATTTCTATAAATCTGCAACAGAAAGTGCATCCGGTTATATGGAGTGTTGCGAACCTACCGTTCGATTGCGTCCGGGCGGTACCCATTAAAAAACCTATAGGAGGAACTTTAATATTAGCTGTGAATTCTTTGATATACCTCAATCAAAGCATACCACCTTACGGTGTGTCGTTGAATAGCGTAGCCGAGTCTTCTTCGAATTTCCCCTTAAGTACGTATTAATTAATTAATTTATTTATTTATACATATAAAACTACAAAACAACATGAAGTTGGTACAGTAGAGTAAAAAGAAAAAAAAATATAACATTATATAGATATTAAGAATATACAAAATAAATGATAAGGTAAAGATCTAGAACTCTAGAAATCTAGTTAAAAATAAATGGAAGAAAATAAGCGATCGATTATTTGTTTAGATATTTCTTGACTTCAGTTTTAAATCTGTCCATCTTTTTTAAATTTCTCAAAGAATTTGGAAGTTCATTAGAGTTTTTAAAACAACTGTAGCTTGGTAAATTTCTGCCTTTTTCACTTCTCACTTGATATTGAATTTCAATTCTGTCTGCATTTCTGGTGTTGTAGTTGTGGATTTGTGAAGTAATTGTTGGAATGATCGAGCTTTTTAGATTTTTTATCTTGAAGGCCAATTTACACTTTTCTAAGGCTGCTGTTTTGTTGATAGGTAAAATTGGTAGAGAAGCATATAATTCACTAGTTCTAGTTTCATATGGTATATTGTATGTATTTTTTATAGCTTTATTTTGCAATCTTTGAATTTTATTTAAGTTAAATTTTGATGTATTTGACCATATTGGTATTAAGTAGAGAAGAATAGAGTGAAAGTAAGCGTTGTAGATCATTAACTTTGTTTTATTTGAAAAGTATCTGTTAATTGCTTTAACAGCTGCAACCAAACTGCCAAATTTTTTGAATATGTTGTCAATATGCTCATTCCAAGATAATTTTTCATCCACTACCAGTCCCAAGTATTTATGTTGGCGAACTTTTTTAATTTCCTGATTATTTATAACGATTTGTAGCTGTGCGAGGTTTCTTCATTTGTAATTAAATTGTATGTAGACAGTTTTTTTCTTCATTTAGCAGTAACTTATTTGCACAGAGCCACGAGGAGAATGTTTCTAGATCATTATTGATTTTGGATTGTGGAGTTTCTTGATCTTTTTCCGAGTAAATGAAGACTGCATCGTCAGCAAACATTAGATATCTTGCATTCAGGTGGACTTTTTGCAAGCCCTCTACATACATTAAGTACAAAAAAAGGTCCGAGGACAGTTCCCTGTGGCACTCCACTTTTACTTGGAATTATTGAATTAAAGTTACGAGTTTAATCGAGAGTTATTTCGCAGAGCCTCAAGATGGATTGAAAATTACATTAGATTGCGTACAAGTCGGCTTTTTGGACGACGAATCGCTCGTGTTGTCTCTAAAAGGAGGCGAATTATACGTGTTAACTCTACTAGCGGATAGCATGAGGTGCATCAGAAATTTCCACTTCGAAAAAGCGGCTGCCAGCGTGTTAACGACCTGCGTAAGTTCTCAATTCCACAAGAGAACAATGTGATTTATACTTCATCCATCCAAGCAATGGAGTAACCAAAACAAGTTTAGACGCTGGATCAACGCTTGATCATCAGCGATTGGTCAGCATAAGGAGGCTTTTTTATTTTACCCAATAGATGCGAACGTGCTTGATGATCCAGCGTCTAAACCTCGTTTTGGTTACTCCGTTGGTTCGAAGGATGAAGTATAGTTATTTTTTTTTTGTAAGTAGATATGCGTGTGCGAGAATAACTTCCTGTTTTTGGGCTCACGGCTGGGCAATTCGCTGTTGTTGAGGTTCACCGAGCAAGCCAACGAAGTGATAACGTTGGACGACAACGACGAGCCGACGGCGAAACGATCGAAAAACGATCTCGAACGAAGCGAATCGGACAGGATGCTGGACAGCCTGAACGATTGCATGGCCAGCGACGTGCTGGACATTCGAGATCCCGAGGAATTGGAAGTGTACGGAACGCAAAAACAGGCCGGTAATAAAACGTTAGTAACAGAGACAACCAAGGAGACTGGTAACTCCAATATAAAATATATTCGCTTCAGTCTATCTCATTCTAATACACAATGATTCCGTGCGCTTTATCTCTATCATCATGGCTAAAGGTAAGTGCAGATGGAGCTGTAATCGAGATCTAAGATGCAACACATTCTAGATACCTGCTTTATATCTACTGCATTTTCATGAATCCACAATAGATCGCAGCATAGGGTAAATTGACAGATTGTGGGATTTACAATTGGTCAAAACACGAAACGCTGTGAAAATTATGAAAAATCTTCCATTTTTATTTTCTCGTGCGTATTGTCTTTTGAGTTTTGAAAGTTTGGATTGTGTTTTGGATTGTGTTTTGAATATTTTGGATATTTTGAATACAATTTCATTATTTGTCTGATTTTAATTGTTGCCTATAAACTTGTCAAGCTAGTTTATTTTAAATAAAATTGTAAGCATAGTTAACGGTCAATTTCCTTAATTCTCAATTTTAGTTCCTAATTCTTTACTTCTACAAACTTAAATATATATATTTTTAAGAATTAGGAACTAAAATTAAGAATTAAGGATTTGGTTAACTCTTAAAATGAAAAAAATCAAAAATTTAAATTCAAATTTCCCGGTTATTTCTGGCGATTTACATCAGCGCCATCTACGTTTACCTTTAGCCTTGTTTACAGCCGACCGAATAAATATAACACACTGAGTTTCAAGTCTCTTGGTTGTCTCTGGTTAGTAAACTCCTGGATAAAATTGACGCGACATGATAAATTTGACATATTTTTTATGCTATTTTTTGTTTGAATTTATGATCCGATTTGGATGATTTTTATTTGTATACTGGGTGACAAAAGTAAAAGAACACCAAGAAACAAATTTTATTTTTCATTCAAACTGTAAAGAGTGTGTACAGCACCACGGTGGTGCAACACATTATTAATTTTTTTTTAAGTTTTGTTGTTAATTTGATGAATTAATTTTAATCATTTGTTTATTTTTCTCTTATACATGTAACTAGAATAAATAGTTAAATTTCAACAACAAATTTTTTGGTGTTCTTTTACTTTTGTCACTCAGTATATTATAGGTTGGTTCTTTGACAATGTCATCATTTTCGCTGTTTATGATAAAATGTTCCTTTTCGATTATACCGGGTGTAATAAAAATGTAATGTTTTTTCCGAAAATTCGTATCACCCTGTGGAGTATACTAATAAACGAGACATATAGCAGTTGACATTAGACGGTAGATCCATCTTTTGCAAACATTTTCTTTTTTGATTTACTTCATTTTCTCTGTTATTAAAGGAGATACGCCGTTTTATAGCGTAACATGTTTTAATAGACTTTATTATTCACAACATTCATTGTTAAATGTTTTCAAGTAGGCTCTGGACCATTTTTGACATTTCAAGCGATGTGTCAAAATCTAATACATTATTTGTTATTTTAATCTTGAAAAATGAATCGTCCAAAAAATTTATCGACTGAAGAAGCAGTAAGAGGCTTAACTTTGGTGGATGAGGGCTATTCAATGAGTAATATTGCAATGAAGCAATAATTCGAAGTAGAGGTGGGCATACACGTTATTAGCATTATAAATTCATTAATTTTATTGTTTTTTATTTATGTTCTTTTCTTGTTTCACTCGTTTCCAAAAAAAATGTGTTTAATAAACTCTTAATTTTACTTTATGAAATAAAGTAATTCCTTAATTTTGTTTTCATTCATCAAAGCGAGCAGGAATTATTTTGTTATACAGATAACAAATAATGTATTCGATATTGACACATCGCTTGAAATGTCAGAATAGGTCCAAAGCCTACTTGAAAACATTTAACAATAAATGTTTTGAATAATACAGTCTATTAAAACATGTTACGCTATAAAACGACGTATCTCTTTTAATAACAGAGATAATGAAGTAAACCAAAAAAGAAAATGTTAGCAAAAGATGGATCTACCGTCTAATATCAACTGCTATATGTCTCGTTTGTTAGTATACTCCACAGGGTGATACGAATTTTCGGAAAAAACATTACATTTTTATTACACCCGGTATAATCGAAAAGGAACATTTTATCATAAACAGCGAAAATGATGACATTGTCAAAGAACCAACCTATAAAACAAACAAAAAATCATCCAAATCGGATTATAAATTCAAACAAAAAATAGCATAAAAAAATGTGGCAAATTTATGATGTCGCATTAATTTTGTCCAGGAGTGTAGCTTCCGGAAGGATTTAAACAGTTTCGTATCCTCCGTAGGTATCCAAATAACGAGCTACATATTCGAAGTGTGCGATACGTTACTGAACATCGGACCCTGCGGTAACGTTTCCATCGGAGAACCGGCTTTTTTGAGCGAAGAATTCAACACCAACCTCGATTTGAATTTGGAATTGGTCACCACGGCGGGCTACGGTAAAAACGGCGCTCTGTGCGTTTTACAGAAGAACATCCGACCTCAAATCGTCACTACATTCACGCTACCCGGTTGCTCTAACATGTGGACCGTTAAAAGCGGCGAAGACAAGCACGCTTTTTTGATTTTGAGCCAGGAGGATGGGACGATGGTAAACTCGAATCGACTCTTATGCCTGATTTCACCAACATGTTCTTAGGCATTTACTAACTAGGTAATTCCTAAGGTAGGAATTACTTGAAATTGAATATTTACCTAAATCGAGTTTCACCAACATTAGAAATCCCTTGCTAAGAAATACCTAGGTAAAAATTTGATTTCGACTATTTTTTGAATGTTATTGGTAGCATTGCTCAATTTTGACGTGTAAACCGAATAAGCAGAGATCGTAATTGAATAGGTGTGATCTTTTATTCAGCGATTGAACAACCGATGTCATCAAACTGTTCATTTATTCAGCGATTTTTTAAACGTTTGTCATCTGTCAACGATTTTTTTCTCATCGATGAAACAGCGATTAGTCATCTGATTAATCGGATTTTGAAGAGGATGGATCTGGTTGACAGATGAATTGTAACCCATATTTTTCATTCCATGATCGGTTTCGGTTATGATCTGATGTTCCATGTTGGAGTTGTGCATTGAACGTGCATTAAATTTTTGAATTTGTTTTGCTGGTTTTGCAATTTGCAATGGATTCCGAAATCTGCTATTGCATGAGTTTTATTGATTTCTTTGTTTATTAAAAATAGTGTCAATAACTCATCACTGTCACTGTTATTTGAGGACTCTTCACTTTCAGGTTCTGATGATGAATCGGATGAATATAACATATTTTTTGCAATCAAATAAACCTCCATTTTTGATAATTTCCCTCACATTTAAAAATTCAAATTCAAATTGTCAATGTCAACGACAACGTCAAAATTTCCAACCATCCAGCAATTTGTTCCTATATTCACATAAATCAATTCCATCAGGAATCAATCATGACGTCATTTTACATTAATCATAGGTGAAACGGAGATGGAAAAAAGATCATACCTAATATGTTGAGGGAAAAAAAGAGATTTTGATCATCCGGGCCATCTTTAAACTATGTTAGTTATTTTTAAATCTGCTGAAGATGTTGTCTGTACATTATTAGAAAAATAACCGTTCCGATTTGTAAAATATTTTTACATCTTCTTTTCCAGGACTATGGATCTTTACATGCATGTGTACGGTCAATAGTTCCAAAAACTTCCTGTGTATCAAATTAAAAATCATCTTCAATTCTTTGTAATATTTGTAATGCCGTATTTTTATATATCGAAAAAGGCGAAAAAAAAATCAGTTTCGTCCAATTTCTAAAAACTCTCCTCCCATTTTAAATTTTCATCTAAAGAGTCTAAAAACAGTCAAGACTTAAGTCACATGAAATCACATGAAAAGTATGGTTAAGTATTTCCTAAATGTTTTAGGCAAACCCAGTGAGATGTCCTAACTTTAGGCATTTCCTATTACCTTTAAGTATTACTTAGTGCATGGTGAAACGCAAATTGTACTTAGGAAATCCTAAATCTGGTTTAGGTATTACCTAACTTTAGGAACTGGTTGGTGAAATCGGGCATTAGTACACTTGATCTGGAAATACACTGTGTTATTTATAAGATGTGACATAGGGATTCCTGTACAAATGTGTCAAAAGCAAGCTAACTTTTTTACCAAATAACGTTCGTAAAAAATAATGACAGATTTGAAAAGATCGTAAAAAAATAAGTCGAAATGGACATTAAATTTTATTAAATTCGTTCTGGTTTAATAAAAAAATGTATAATTAAGTTGAAAAAAGTCATACGTCATATGTCACTATCAAGTTTACGCTCTGAAGTTTGAAAAAATCAGCGATAAGGAATCTGGTTCAATCCCACGAAGTGCTGAAATTTTTTTTTTCATTTCTTTGGCATTTTTTGTTTTTTTTAATGTTTTTTTTGTCAAGAATAAAAATATGGCATCATCTTAAAGGTTCTACCTACTAACGAGATTTTGCGTTATTAAAATTGACACTTACTTGTCGAAGATTTCATTTAAATAAAAATAAAATTATATCTCAAATAAGCTCGCCCTATTTTAAATATTTCTATTTAACATTTTTTTAGTCAAAAACATTAGAAAAAAACCAAAAAAAAAAAAGAAAATGTCTACAGCGCGGGGATTGAACCACATTACTTCCCGCTAAAATTTTCAAACTTCAGAGCGTAAACCATTCCAGATATCTCCGCCCCTTTTAATAATTATTAGATAGTGACATATGACGTATGACGTTTTTCAACTTAATTATACATTTTCTAATTAAACCAGAACGAATTTAAGAAAATTTAACGTCCATTTCGACATATTTTTCGACGATCTTTTCAAATCCGTCATTATTTCTTACGAACGTTATTTGGTAAAAAAGTTAGCTTTTTTTTGACACATTTGTACCGGAATCCCTATGTCGCATCCATAGACCTATTAAGTATGGACCACTCTCGGTATTTTGAGGTTATTCAGCGTTCCCAATGATAGAGAGAGAGAGAGGTCCGTGAGAGATGGAGCTAGTTTGGGCTAAAAGTAGGCGGGACCAAAAAAAAAATATAAAATATATACAGGGTGTGTGGAAAAAGGCGATTAATCTGTTAAATTATTTATACGCTTAATATATTTAAATATTGTTTTTATCTTGGTATCCACTTGGACAGAAGAATGACCTGGAAGAAACATATTTTTTACAAGAGAAAGCATCTAGGTCTTAAATTGCGAAATCTGTACTGGCTAATAGGTAGGATGTTCCAATTAACAATACAAAATAAGAACTGTATTTGCAAATGCGTGGGAATTTAGGCTCAGCTGAAAAATGCATTTTGCTCGGTAGAAAAATAATAAATCCTCAACCATATTCTACCATAACCTATCCTCCTCTACCCCAGCTATCCTCAACTCTATTCTACCATAACCTATCCTCCTCTACCCCAGCTATCCTCAACTCTATTCTACCATAACCTATCCTCCTCTACCCCAGCTATCCTCAACTCTATTCTACCATAACTTATCCTCCTCTACCCCAGCTACCTTGCATTTCTGAAAACCGTAACTCACTTTGGTCTTTTGCTTTCCTACTATTGGCCAATGCATTGTCCAATCTCTCATTACCATATGCCCAAACTAGCTGCATCTCTCTCATTCATCGACAACACAACCTCTCTGTCTAAACCGCGTCCATACTTAATAGGTCTACCGTAGCATCTTATAAATAACACAGCGCATATCGAACTTATAGATTCTCCAAACGGGCCAAGAAATCAACGAGATCGACAACACCGGATTCGCCACGCACGGCCCCACCGTCTACGCCGGCAATTTGGGCAACAACAAATACATAGTGCAAGTGACTACGGTGGCGGTGAGACTGTTACAAGGTGTTGCGCAGCTACAACATGTACCGATGGATTTGGGCTCGCCGATCGTGCATATATCGAGCGCCGATCCCTACATATCGATCATGACCTCCGACGGGCAGGTGATCACTCTCATGTTGAGGGAAACCAGAGGAGTCGCGAAATTGGTCGTCAGCAAATCCACTTTATCCAACGTGAGTTAGACTTACCTACAGTCAGGGCCGGATTAACCATGTCGGGGCCGTTAGGCAATACAATTTTCGGGGCCCCTTTTTAACTGTTTGAAGATCATCAGCTTTTTTCAAGTTGATGAGTACGGTATGGATATGAGTAATAACAGCAGAAGTATTACACGACTGTTGCTTAACTCCTCAGGATTTTATATCAAAAGATTTGTGTAAAGAAACCAGAGGAGTCGTGAAATTGGTCGTCAGCAAATCCACTTTATCCAACGTGAGTTAGACTTACCTACAGTCAGGGCCGGATTAACCATGTCGGGGCCGTTAGGCAATACAATTTTCGGGGCCCCTTTTTAACTGTTTGAAGATCATCAGCTTTTTTCAAGTTGATGAGTATGGTATGGATGTGAGTAATAACAGCAGAAGTATTACACGACTGTTGCTTAACTCCTCGGGATTTTATATCGAAAGATTTGTGTTTGGGTTGATTGAGATGGTTTTAAAATGAATAGGTTTATAGGTGATGATCTAGGTATAGGTATAATTCATGTACATTTTTCATAGCAATAGGATCTACCTCTATTGAGTCTATTGTCTTTGAGGATACAAATTTTCCAGTTAAATTTTTACCGTAAGAAACATATTTTTTTTTGTGCGTTCGCGGGGCCCCTAGGCAATTGCCTACTCTGCCTAATGGTTAATCCGGCCCTGCCTACAGTTCAGTTTCAAATCGATATAAAGCGACTCATCCGTCAATGTTATGAAAAATGGTGCAGGAGTCATGTCACATTCAAATATCAGCGGCGCGGTATGAATATTAAATATGCTCATAATTAATAGCATTAAATTCAAATAAAATGAATTTATTTAATTTTTTCAAATAATGTTGTACCAATTGTTACCATTGTGTCAATTGTACCATCGATATAAGAACAGCCTATCCGAACATTTTCGAATATAGTAACGTCGATATTTCTACAAATATCTGTAATTATTTCTCGTATAACCAATATTGAAGCAGGTTCAGTTTCGTACACTTTGTGCTTCAAATAGCCCTATAAAAAAAAGTCTAAAGGTGTCAAATCTGGCGAGCGGGCTGGCCATTCCGTAGGACCTCGACGACCAATCCAACGACCATGGAAAATAGCATCCAAATAGTTCCTTAATGGTCCGGAGTAATGTGGTGGTGCTCCATCTTGTTGGAGTACAATATCCATATCGAATCCATATCCATATCGGTACCTAACTACAATGAGAACTAAACAACCGAAAACTAAATGAAAATAATTTGAACACCAGGAAAATCGAAAACTACAGAGAATATTTTGAACACTAGGAAAACCAAAAACTAAATGAGAATATTTTGACTAAACAATTAATGTTCGTTGACGTACTAAAATTTTTTTGGAATTTTCTTAACCAAAAATAACCTGTCAAACCTTATCGGTTTGTTGGGATTGCTATTTGGCATAGAAAAACAAATAATTCTAGAAAAATTGATATTAATTTGTTTGTATTCAGGTATTTATTAAATGTTCCGCCATTTTGTAATGGGTGCATATATTGACTTTATATTCCAGGGTTGTACAGTACTTGTCAGGAGCTTCAAAATGATGTGTCACAAGACCCCCTTTCTATTTAAATTTATTTCTCAATATGGCGCCCAGTCGCCATCTTGAAATTTTCATCTGTCAATTTTACTTCAAAATACAGTAATCACGCATTTATTTATTTATTTATACATATAAAACTACAAAACAACATGAAGTTGGTACAGTAGAGTAAAAAGAAAAAAAATATAACATTTTATAGATATTAAGAATATACAAAATAAATGATAAGGTAAAGATCTAGAACTCTAGAAATCTAGTTAAAAATAAATGGAAGAAAATAAGCGATCGATTATTTGTTTAGATATTTCTTGACTTCAGTTTTAAATCTGTCCATCTTTTTTAAATTTCTCAAAGAATTTGGAAGTTCATTAAAGTTTTTAAAACAACTGTAGCTTGGTAAATTTCTGCCGTTTTTCACTTCTCACTTGATATTGAATTTCAATTCTGTCTGCATTTCTGGTGTTGTAGTTGTGGATTTGTGAAGTAATTGTTGGAATGATCGAGCTTTTTAGATATCCATTTTTTATCTTGAAGGCCAATTTACACTTTTCTAAGGCTGCTGTTTTGTTGATAGGTAAAATTGGTAGAGAAGCATATAATTCACTAGTTCTAGTTTCATATGGTATATTGTATGTATTTTTTATAGCTTTATTTTGCAATCTTTGAATTTTATTTAAGTTAAATTTTGATGTATTTGACCATATTGGTATTAAGTAGAGAAGAATAGAGTGAAAGTAAGCGTTGTAGATCATTAACTTTGTTTTATTTGAAAAGTATCTGTTAATTGCTTTAACAGCTGCAACCAAACTGCCAAATTTTTTGAATATGTTGTCAATATGCTCATTCCAAGATAATTTTTCATCCACTACCAGTCCCAAGTATTTATGTTCGCAAACTTTTTTAATTTCCTGATTATTTATAACGATTTGTAGCTGTGCGTGGTTTCTTCATTTGTAATTAAATTGTATGTAGACAGTTTTTTCTTCATTTAGCAGTAATTTATTTGCACAGAGCCACGAGGAGAATGTTTCTCGATCATTATTGATTTTGGATTGTAGAGTTTCTTGATCTTTTTCCGAGTAAATGAAAACTGCATCGTCAGCAAACATTAGATATCTTGCATTCAGGTGGACTTTTTGCAAGCTCTCTACATCCATCTAAGTTGATCCGTTCAAAAAAATAAAAGGGGGAGGACGACATTAAAGAAATGCACTCTATAACTCTGTCGAATTTGTCTTTTACAGTCACCGCCGGTGTCAACGATATGCATGTACAAAGACACGTCCGGCCTGTTCACCAATCGCATACCCGAAGAATTCACGCAAGTACCTGCGCACGTGATCGGCGAACAGGAGACGAAATCCGAAGTGGAGAACGAGGACGATCTGTTGTACGGCGAGGACGATTTCAAGATGCCCTCGTTGAATCCGCCGGCGCCCAAACCGAAGGTCTACTACAACTGGTGGAAGAAATATTTGACGCCCAACAGGCCGACGTTTTGGCTGTTCGTCGTCCGGGATAATTCCAATTTGGAGATCTATTCCATACCGGATTTCAAATTGTGCTTCTACGTTGCGAACCTTTGCTTCGGATATAAAGTAAGCGAAACTCGCGGTTTTGTAGAATAATACGGTTGTCTCGTAACTTTTTAGCCAATCACGCACGGCCTCTCGTTACGTCACAAGAATTCGAGTGGCAAATTCCGAGCATCTCAAGTGTTATGAAAATAATTGTTTTTAATAATATTTATAGGGTAAAATATTATAAAAATTGAGACAATGGACAGGAATAATAACTAATAAAAGTATATTTTCCATAAATATATTAAAATTTAAAAGGAGGCAGTATTATTAGACATAAATTACATATGTCGATTATAGATGAACATTTATTTTTTATACCTATGTTTTATTAATTATTAAAGTTAGTTTCCAAATAATTTATCCAAATTAATGCATGATGAAAAATAAATGATCGATTAAAATAAAAGAAGCTCAGTAAAATAATATAATAATAACATAGTATTTGGCTAAATAACAAATAGATGTACTGTACTATTGAAGAGGGTTTAATTAAATAAGGGGAGAGTAGAAGTAGTGGAAAGTGGAAGGGGTAGCTGATGATAGGGTAGAAGGGGGTAAGTAGGTGTAGTGCAGAGTAAAAGGGGTACATTAGGGTAGGAGGGGGTAGGTTGGGTTAGCGGAGGGTAGAAGAGGTAAAAGGGGGTCGAGTAGAGGAGAAGGGGGTAGCAGAGTGTAGATGGAGGCAGCGAAGGGTAGGAGGGGGTAGGGTGGGCTAGAAGGGTTGTTTAAAATATTTACCGAGCATTTGTATATTTTTAACGCAAATTTTATTAAAATTTTGAACATAATTACTATGCAAATTCAATATTTTATTGTATTGCGATGTTTTAATAATAATTATTAAGCATTTTTCTCTATTTACAATGCATTTTTAATCATTTACACACCCTAATAGAAATAAATAAAATCAATTTTTATAAATTACTGTATAAAAAAGAAATATATTATAATATTTAGATAAGTTTAATTCAAAATGTGGAGAAAACTATTGAAACTCGTATCAGTCAGCAGACTCTAGCATACCGGTGACGTATTCTCCCCTCTTTTGCCTGCAAAAGTGAGGTAACCGTATTATTCTACAAACCGTGAGCGAAACTGTCAAAATTGACGTTAATGACGTAAGTTTAATAGAGGTGGGAATCGATTGTTGTGTTATAGAGGTGCAGTAACGATTGTTACAAAATAAGCGTTATTTTTGAAGCACCTTCCGTTTTACAAATTTTTAATGCCCGATTTCACCAACTAGTTCCTAAAGTTAGGTAATACCTAAACCGGATTTAGGGATTTCTAAGTACAATTCGCGTTTCACCATGCACTAAGTAATACCTGAAGGTAACAGGAAATGCATAAAGTTAGGACATCTCATTGGGTTTGCCTAAAACATTTAGGAAATACTTAATCATACTTTTTATGTGATTTCATGTGACTTAAATCTTGACTGTCTTTAGAATCTTTAGATGAAAATTTAAAATGGGAGGAGAGTTTTTAGAAACTGGATGTAACTGATTTTTTTTTCGCCTTTTTCGATATACAGTGTGTCCACGGATGGGGTTGCTATAGGAGAAAAAATTTTCATTTTACTATAAAAAGTCATTGTTTATAAAAATGTTTGCTTCTTTTAAAAATGAGAATAACACTGAAAAATTTTAGATTGGGTCTACAGGGTGTTGCCAAATTAAGAAAACATGAAAATACCTCAAGAGAGAAGTACCATTATTTTTTATTTTACACAAAATTTTTATAAAAGAAAGTTGTTTATAATCTAAAATAAAGCCTGAATTCAAATTTTCAAATGTGTAAGATAATAAAAATTATTTCGTTCTTTCTTGAAATTTTTTCCTGCTTCTTAATTTACTAACACCCTATACATCTTATCTAATGTTTTGATATGTGAATCTCATTTTCTCGACAAGTTAATTTTTTTATAAAGAATGGCTTTTCGTCGTAAAATTAATAATAACCATTTTTCTTATCTGGTAAACTTTATCTAGGGACACACAAAATTTGAATTTAGTTTGCAAATTTGTATTCAGGCTTTATTTTAGATTATAAACAACTTTCTTTCATAAATATTTTGTGTAAAATAAAAAATAATGATACTTCCCTCTTGAGGTATTTTCATGTTTTCTTAATTTGGCAACACCCTGTAGATCCAATCTAAGATTTTTCAGTGTTATTCTCATTTTTAAAAGAAGCAAACATTTTTATAAACAATGACTTTTTATCGTAAAATGAATAATAAAAATTTTTCTAGATTAGATTTAGGTAAGTATTCGATTTAAGTAATTCCTACCTTAGGATTTAACTAGTTAGGAAATACCAGTGATGTTAAAATTACTTTATAATATGTAATTAATTACAATTACTTTTGGCAATTTGTAATTAATTGCAATTACAATTACAAAATTTGCGAATGTAATTACAATTAAAGTTACAATTACAATTACAATTACTTTGCTTTGTTGTCAGTTTTAAATAATTATTTAGGGATTTGCAATCAGAATTGAACTTTCCACGCATTGAAAATATTAAATAAGTACTTTTGTGTCCAATGTAATTGAAATGTAATTGTAACGAAATGAGTAATTGATTTACAAATGAACTACACTTGAGAAGCTTATAATTAATTACCGCCTCAATTACAATAAAACTAATTCAATGACTTTTTCAATTACTTGCAATTAATTACTTAACAACACCGCTAACAACATGTTGGTGAAATCGGGCATAAAAGTACTCATTTAGGAATCGTTATTTTTTTTTTTTTAAGGTATTAGTAGACAGTTTGGAATCGGTATCGCCCCAATCAACTTCAGCCCCGTGCGACGCCCAATTCCAGGAACAGTACCAGGTCAAGGAGTTGCTGATGGTGGGACTGGGCAACAACGGAATGAGACCCATGTTGTTGGTGCGATTGCAGAAAGATCTGTACATATACGAAGCGTTCAGATTTCCCAGGGGCAATTTGAAGTTGCGCTTCAAGAAGACCAAGCACAACATCCTGTACAGTCCGAATTCGGAGGGGGCGATAGAGACGGAGAATTCGGATTATTTCACGTTGCAGGAGAAGATCGTGAGATTGCGGTACTTCGATAACATATCGGGTTACAACGGGGTGTTTATATGCGGATCGAATCCGCATTGGTTGTTTTTGACGGCGAGGGGAGATTTAAGGACGCATCCGATGGTGATCGATGGGGAAGTGTTGAATTTCGCGCCTTTTAACAACGTCAATTGCCCGCAAGGGTTTCTCTATTTCAACAAAAAGGTACCTTACATATTAGAGCATGCATGTTATTTTAAGGTATGTGCAGAACCGGTTCCGGAAAGAGTGAACCCGGTTCCCGGTTCTTCCGGGAAATATACTAATCTCATTTCCAAAACTTCATGATCATGGCATGACGATTTTTTAAAAACATTAAAATTTGAAATGACTCTCTTTGAAAATGTGTGGTAGTCGTGGCACAAAGCTTTAGCTAGCATATAACTACCTAAAAGCAATACCGCTGACAAGCGTGGAGCCTGAGCAAATTTTTTTCTCAGCAGGTAAAATTAGCAATCGTCTGCGCAGCTAAAGCTTGTAATATATGTTGATTACGCAAATATAAACTATTTTTCATATTTTTAGTGATAATCCTAGGTTATTCTGAAAAATTCTCTCTGATTTATTCAAATTTTTAAACAATCCTAAATTTTATCAGCCGGAACCGGGAGAACCGGTTCACCCGGTTCTAACTGCTTTCCAGACCCGGTTCTCAAAAATCTGGAACCGTGTCCGGTTCTGCATGCCCTATTACATACAGGGTGGCACATTAGTATGGAGAAGCTCAATATATCTGTTATTATAGAAGATATCAAAAAAACTTCATTACAAAAGTTGTAGATTTTTTTAAGCTGCATATTTTGAAATTAGTTACATTTATATAGAGTGTCCCGTTTTTCTGTATTATATCAAACTTATACTTTTTTAAATGGAACACGCTGTTTTTTATTTAAAAATTGAATTAAGCTCGATTTCAGCTTTCCAAAAATATAATTTTGTATAACGTTATACTGAGTGATTTAAAAGTTATGACCACTTTTCCACGAAAATCGTACTAAGTTTACCACTCTGTACAAACTAAATGGATTGAATTGAAAATAAATTTCAAGTGTCACAACATTACAAATATCCTGAAAATGAACAAAATGAATATTTTTTGTCAATTTTAATCATACTGCTTACAGGGTGGATCCAAACGCAAAAGTAACATTTTCTCTGTTAATTTAAATGGATCACCCTATATTTTATATCGTTAACAGGAAGTATTTTGTAGTACTTTCATTCTTAATAACCATTCCCTATATCTAAAGTTAACATTTTTCGAGATATTCCAATTAAAAAACAAACTAGAACGGAAAATTGAAGAAAAAAAATTAAGGTTTCTTTTTGATCGAAGTACACGTTACAGAAAGAAGTAAGAAACGTCAATTAAATACTATCTGGTATTATTTGTCGGTATTGCCTCCACAATTTGTAAAAATTAGAATACAAAATGATTTTTTCTATTGAACAAATATTGATGGTTATGATTTGGGTATTGGGAGAAAGTTTAGAGAATTTGTTGGCTTGCCAAAAGGATTTGCCATGAGAAGACATCCTGGAGGAATACAACCTAACAAAAAATCCTTTGAAAAATGTCTAGATTGTCTCAATCGTACGGCTCGAGAAGCCATAATGTGAAAAAAAACTATTCTAAACGAACAAAATGGACCAAATTATTATTAATAATTAGTATTAGCAATTGTTATAAGTCGCAATAGACACAATAAAGTTATTAGTACCTAAACGATTAGCGATTAGTATCTGGTGATAGGTCAGTCCAATTAAAGAATATTGAAATATCTCGAAAAATATCAAATTTAGGTACAGGGAAGGTTTATTAGGTATAGACAATTTTTACCAGAACTTCGGTTATTATAAAAAAGAAAGCTTAATTTTTTTTCTTCAATTTTAAGTTCTAATTTTTTTAATTGAAATATCTCGAAAAGTGTTAACTTTAGGTATAAGGAATGGTTTTTTAAGAATGAAAGTACTTCAAAAATACTTCCTGTAAACGACATAAAATATAGGGTGATCCATTTAAATTAACAGAGAAAATGTTACTTTTGCGTTTGGAACCACCCTGTAAACAGAATGATTAAAATTGACAAAAAAATATTCATTTTGTACATTTTCAGGATATTTGCAATGTTGTAAAATTGAAAATTTATTTTCAATTCAATCCATTTAGTTTCTACAGAGTGGTAAACTTAGTACGATTTTCTTGCAAAAGTGGTCATAACTTTTAAACCACTCAATATAACGTTATTCAAAATTATATTATTGGAAATCTGAAAACGAGCTAAATTCAATTTTTAAATAAAAAACAGCGTGTTCCATTTAAAAAAGTATAAGTTTGATATACTACAGAAAAACGGGACACTCTGTATAAATGTAACTAATTTCAAAATATGCAGCTTAAAAAGATCTACAACTTTTGTAACGAAGTTTTGTTGATATCTTCTATAATAACAGATATATTGAGCTTCTCCATACTAATATGCCACCCTGTGTATTATTACGAAAACAAATCGCTTATTTGATAGTAAATATTTTCAGTCCGAATTAAGAATCGGCGTTCTACCTACACATTTGAGCTACGACGCCCCTTGGCCGGTGAGAAAGGTCCCCTTAAGGTGCACCCCGCACTTCGTCAGCTACCATTTGGAATCCAAGACCTACTGCCTGGTAACCAGCCTCTCCGAACCCACCATACAGTATTACAAATTCAACGGGGAAGACAAGGAACTGTCCATCGAAGACAAAGGAGACCGGTACGAAATACTTTCGCTAAATAACCCATACAAGGCTTTATATTGTATAATGTAAATTTAAATAATTGTTGGCTTTAGAAAAAAACCACCCCGTATATCAATTTTTCGGATTTCCGTAATGAAAAAACACCCTGTACATCAAATTAAATGTAAACATATCCCGTAGTAACGGAAATGACAACTTTGACAGTTTGAAATTTGTTCATCGCCGCTGTCATTAGTGTAGGTTTTTTAAAAATAATTTGATCGTTTCTCCGTTTTTGGTAAGTACAAATGACCAAGAAACGTATATTTTTGCGAATTTTTGCAATTTCTTTTATTCTCGTCTATTAAAATCGACGAAATTGTCAAAATAACGAAATATCTGTCATTTCGGTGTTAGTTCCGTTTAAACGAAACGAACGGGCAACGGCCATCAAATAATTTCTTTGGAAATCTGTCAAAAATTTTACATTTTTAATTTCGATTTACGGACAAAAACTAATTTAGCCAGCGAAAAGAGGTCGATTTTCGTAACCAGCGAATTTTTTTATTCTATAATTTAAAGTGACACGAGTTCAATCAGTAAAATTCGCATAGTTCGTAGATGATGACGTCATAGAGGTAACTAGATTAAATTAAAATTATGATAATTTAGAGTTTAATTTAAAAATTACCAAATATTTCGGGTAGTTAATGATCGTTAATTAATCGATATTAAATTTTGTACTATTATTTTGCAAAAAAAGGTCGACAACATCATTGGTAATTAGATTAAAATGAAATTATAATCAAAAACTGGACATTTTTTAAGAAAACTGAAAATATCTCAGAAACGGTGATAGTTAGGTATAGGGAAATGTTATGAAAAATGATTCAGTAAGAAATAGGCTTCCCATTAGATATTATTAATACAGGGTGTTCCATTTAAATTAAGCGAGTAATTTTTATGTTTGCGTTTTAACTCACCCTGTATACAAATTGTACTTTTGTCAAAATGTAACTAATTTTTGTGAAAATAGACCATTTTCAAAAAGTGCTGACACAGAAAAACTCACATTATCTGATACAGATTCTGATATACAGAGCCTTGAAGTCATGACGATTTGAACATAAAAATGGCCATAACTTTTTAAATACTCAGTATAGTAATATGAAATCTTATATTGAGAAACTCGTGAAAACGAGCTGAAATCGAATATGAAATAAAAAATATATCATTGCCTTTAAAAAAAGGTATATTTGGTATGGCTTCGATTTATGGGCCACCCTGTATATTTCAAAATAATTTTAAATTATGCGCCTACAGGTGCTCAACATTTTTCCTATTTACCATTTTTTCGTATCTATTATAATAACTGAGTAAATGAGCTTTACCGCACTATTGGGACACCCTGTATAATATGTGATATGTGATTTCAGATTTCCGTATCCGCATCAAGAAGTGTTCAGTTTGTGCCTGTTCTCGCCGGTATCTTGGGACATCATACCGAACACGAAGCTGGATTTGGACGAATGGGAGCACGTGAATTGCTTGAAAAACGTGGCCTTGGCCTACGAAGGAACCCGGTCAGGTCTTAAAGGATACATCGCGGTGGGTACGAATTACAATTACGGCGAGGACATAACGTCCAGAGGACGGGTAAGTTAAACTTAAATACGAAATTAATTTGTAGTAAATAGATATCTACTTGCCGTTTTAGATATTAATCTACGATATCATCGAAGTGGTGCCGGAGCCGGGACAGCCTTTGACTAAAAATAAATTCAAAGAAATCTACGCGAAGGATCAGAAGGGGCCGGTCACGGCCTTGTCTCAAGTGAAAGGTTTTTTGGTATCGGCTGTAGGACAAAAGGTGATTGTATTTTATACCTTTGTATAGTGAAAAAAATGAAGTTTTTGCGTTTTTAAGATATACATTTGGCAATTGAAGGACAACGATTTAATAGGAGTGGCTTTTATCGATACGCAAGTCTATACGCATCAAATTCTCACCATTAAAAGTTTGCTCTTAGTAGGCGATGTGTACAAATCGATATCTCTGTTGAGATTTCAGGAGGAATATAGAACTTTATCGTTGGTGTCTAGAGTAAGTGAATAAAATGCATTAGAATACCGCGTAATATGTGCTTTTATTTAGGATTTCAAACCATGCGAAGTCTACGCGGTAGAATACATGATCGATAATTCATCGTTGGGATTCCTAGTTTCGGACAGGGAGAAGAATTTAGTGATTTACATGTATCAACCGGAGTCGAGGGAATCGTTAGGAGGTTAATAACGTTGCATAAGTCGATTTTTTTAAGGCTAAAAACGATTGTTTGTAGGGCAAAAACTGTTGAGGAAAGCCGATTTCCACCTGGGCCAAGCGGTGACCAGTTTCTTCAAAATAAAATGCAAATTAGGCGAGTTGGGCGAGGACAAGAAACATTTTTCGGGCGCCGATCGGAGGTTCATCACGATGTTCGGTAATTTCTAACGATTTGATGAATGTATACGAATACAAATTGATTTCATTTTAGCAACGTTGGATGGCGGTCTCGGTTATTTGATGCCCATTCCGGAGAAGACTTACAGGAGATTGTTGATGTTGCAAAACGTGTTGTTGTCTCAAGGGGCGCACATCGCTGGATTGAACCCCAAAGCGTATAGGTACGTTTAATTTATCGCAATATTGTATGGTTCAAGTGAAAATGAAAAGGATTTTTTTTTCTGTTAATTTAGGACTTACAAGAGTTGGAGGAAATTACAGAGCAATCCGGCGAGATCTATCATAGACGGGGATCTGGTGTGGAATTTCTTGCATCTTTCCATACCGGAAAAATCCGAAGTGTCCAAGAAAATCGGCACGAAATTGGAAGAAATTACCGAAGATTTGACCGATATTCATAAGCTTACGAATCATTTTTGAATGTTTTTGTTAGTTGCGTTCGTTCCTAAATGTTTATATATCTACAATTTTTTTGAAAGAAGAGTAAACTTTTATTTAATTTTATAAAATAATCACAGATTATAATATTGCTCGAATCCGTTGTCTATGATACACGTTTTAAACTTTAAATTTGGCCATGTCACTGGTAAATTTTCTTAGACAAATTACCTAAAGTAGCCACGTGTAGAAGATTAAAATGTGATCTAGAAAGCGAACTCAAACCTTAAAAATCAAAGAAACATTTACTAAAATAAACAATAATTATTTGCAAAATTCAATTCAAAGTGATGAGTTGTCGAATTCTACAAAAATACAAAAAACGAATTACAGTTTCACATCGAAATATTTTAAATTTTCACGTTTGTTCATAATCGTCACAAAAAAAAAACAATTCAACTCGCATCAAAATAAAGAGTTATCATTGTACCATTGAATTAAACCAGTCTTGTGGGGAAAATCGAAACTTCAACCTCTTAAACTATAACTTCTCAACGTCAGCATTTTGGATTTTTTGCCTTGCACTTCGTTTTGGACCTTTTTATTACTCCCTGAAACATTTTTTTTAATTACTACTAACATTCAGAACGAGCACTTAGTCTCTCTACCTTTCTTCTTTATCGGGGTCCGCTTGTTATTGACTTTCCTCGAGTTCCTTTTATTGTTCGTAGATTTGTTTTTCTCGCGCATTTTCAAATAAACCGACATCATAGCCTGCGTGTAACCTTCTACATGTTGTGCGGGATTACTAAAAATTCATTCAATTATTACATCTAATTTTACAAGCAACTTTACGAACCTCTCCGTTCTCTGTACATAGGAATCATTCTTTTCGATGCATCTGTAATATATATCCAGCATCGCGTACGTAGGATTCATCGCTTCGACATCCTCCGAAGTCAAACACGAAAAATTATCATCGTTATCGTCCGTTATCTTCCTTTCTCTACCTTGCTTTATGATGTTCTCCGGATCGGTGAGGATCTTCGACCAGCTCATCACGACGTTCTGAACCTTGATGTTCTTCCTCAGCTTCGGCCTTTTGAACACTATATTCGAATCTAACGTCTGCAGGGGGCTGCTCTTCAGGAAACCATCGCAAGCCGGCGCCTTCGATTTGTAACATTTCACTTTCTTCGGTGGATTTCCCCAACCTTCGACGTTATCGAAATCTAAATTGCAGTCGTTTTTGTAACCGTAATCCTTCTTCGCTTTAGAGAATATGTAGCGACAATGTTCGTAGTCCGGTTCTTCCTAAAAAAATCACACAAAATTAGTATACTCGATTAATCGTTAAACACAACCGACTTACCTCCAATTGTAGCTTATCCATGTACTGGAAATAGTCCAAAACGAACCGCGGATAATTACTCCCGAAGCACAAACTCAAGAAATCCTTCAAATATCTGAAACACTTCATCTTCTTGCGCTCGACCTCATCGACCTGCTCGAGATCTTCGATCCAAGGCAGCGACCCCGTGAGCCAATACACCATGTTATACGCCAAACACTCGAGGTCCGAGCGTCGCGACGGCACCCCCTTGTGGGCGTCCCTCGAACAAAACAACACCGTCCCCGCGTGGGCCTTCCGGTTGTCGGGCTCCTTGTGCTCGCCCGTCGACAGCGAGTACTTCGAGGCCAGCCCGAAATCGATCAGGTACACTCGATCGAGTGTCCGATCGTTCGTGGCGGCCGCTCGGTGTCGCTCCATGTTGAGCTCGTGCTCGAGCAGCATCTCGTCGAGAGAGGTGTTCTCCGAGTAGTCGACGACGTTGTTGCGTCTCAGATCTCTCGCGGGTTTCCTTCGAACGGGCTTCAATTGCCTCTTCGGGTATCGCCTCGTGGCGGTCGTCTTTTCGCGGTCTTTTACTGGGTGGGAAGTTCTGGTGGTGGCCAATGTTATGTTGGATGCTTTGATGTCCGAGTGGATGTATCCGTGCGAATGGATGTACTCGAGTATGTCTAGTATTTGCAGGCATACGTTCGATACTGTTTTGATGTTGAATATCCGCTTTTCTTTAAGTATTTGCTCCAGATTCGTTTCGTATTTCGGCAACAAGAGGAAGCGGTACTTCTCTTTATTGTGGAAACAAGAGCCCGAGCCTATGTAATGTGGCATTCCGAGGTTACTCATTTTTTTGGCCTCCTTCCATTCCTCGACTACAAGAACACAGGATTATTTTTTAATAACACTATTCGTTTGTATTTACTTACTGTTTTCTAGTTTTCCGATACGCAAATAGCAATTAATTTCAGCGAATAGAGGTCCGCTGGAATGTTTTTCGACTTTAGCCACGTACGAATTATCTAATACTTTTCCGGCGATGCTTCGCGAGGCTTCGTATATCTCCCCGAAGCCCCCTACGCCTATCGCTTTTCCCAATTCCCACGTTTCACCGCTGATGTCCGTGATCAATTCGCCCCGTTGAAAGTTGGCGCTCTTAATGGAACTGTCGGAGCCCTTCTTTTTGGGCGGCTCGTCTTCGTCGTCTTTGTGTTTGTGGTTTATTCTCGGCATGGTGGAGATGTATTCGCTGGAAACGATAAGGAATTCAGTCTCGAAACCGTTGGTGTACGAAAACAAGAACGGGCATTTAAAATCTATAAATAGCACTCCGGTGGGAACGGTTGAAGTACGCTCTGCGGGCGATCGATTTAACATAAAACTGTAATACCTTTAAGTAGATAGGGATTTGTAAGAAACGATTTACTAAATAATTTAACGCTGTAGTTAATAAATGGGTATATTTGTATTAGATATACATTTCACCGCCATCTTCAATACTCTAATAATGGTTACTTAGCTAGCTTTCAGCTGTCACCACCATGGCGCTGCTAACTACTTCTTCTTTTTTAAATACATTACATACATTTCAAAAGTGTTTTTTGGTGGCCAGATTGCCAAAGGAAATCAAAACACTCGCACAGTGCACCAAATGAAACAAAAATTTTGCTTTCTGTGCACTTTCAGTGCGCACTAATGCATTATTTTACCAATGGAAAACGCCAGAAAAATTTGAAGCGATTTGACAATAATGACATTAATGACAGTGACATTTGAGGTTAGGTTCGGAAATTTAGCGAAGAAAAACCTCTAAAACATGCCGAAAAAGAAAACGGGCAAACGGAAAAAGGCCAAGAAGCAGAACCCATGGCGCTGCTAACTACATCTACTTTTTAAAATACATTAAAAAATTTGAAACGATTTGACAATGACATTAATGACAGTGACATTTGAGGTTAGGTTCGAATTAATCGTTGAGGAAGTAGAAAATTTATCGAAGAAAACCTTCTAAAACATGCCGAAAAAGAAAACGGGCCAACGGAAGAAGGCCGAGAAGCAGAAGCTTCGCCAGAAAGAGATCCGAACGGCCAAAGGTAACGTCGAATTGGCCGAGCACCCTTGCAACGTATCCATGGAATGCGATAGATGCCACAGGTAAGTCACCTCGAAAATTACCAAAAAAAACACCCAAATTTCCCCTTATCAAATTCAAAGGAAACAGAAAAACCGAGCCTTCTGCTACTTCTGCCAAACGGTCCAGCGACTCCCGACGTGCGCCCAATGCGGCAAGATCAAATGCATGCTGAAAACCGGCGACTGCGTCATCAGACACCCCGGCGTCTACACCACCGGAATGGGCATGGTCGTAAGTACAATTCACAATCGATCGCTTCCACATACAAATCACCGTTTCGATCCGTCCGAAAAAGGGCGCCATCTGCGACTTCTGCGAAGCCTGGGTGTGCCACGGCAGGAAGTGCCTGCAGACGCACGCGTGCTCCTGTCCCCTGCAGGAGGCCGTCTGCGCGGAATGCGAACGCGGCGTCTGGGACCACGGCGGCCGGATATTCCGCTGTTCGTTCTGCAACAATTTCCTCTGCGAGGACGATCAATTCGAACACCAGGCCTCCTGCCAGGTGCTCGAGGCCGAGAACTACAAGTGTATGTATATTTACGATTACGCCTAACGATGATACTAACGCTCGTAATACGATCTGTAGGCCAATCGTGCAATAAATTGGGTCAATATTCCTGTCTGCGATGCAAGACGTGCTACTGCGAAGATCACGTGCGAAGGAAGGGCTTCAAATACGAGAAGAACAAGGGAATACCTTGTCCTAAATGCGGTTACGAGACGTCGCAAACGAAAGACTTGAGCATGTCTAGTAAGTGTCTTGTAATCGGGCCCCCATTCGATTATTTATTTATTTATTTTCGCAGCTCGTAGTCACAAATTCGGCAGGCAAGGACAAGCCGGCGCGTACGATGATGATAACTACGATGACGACGATGATGATCGAGCCCAATCCAGTTATTATGCTTACGATGACGAGGACGATGACGAGGAGGACGACGATGATTACGAGGACGATGATGAAGACGACGAGGATGAGGATGATGATGATGGCGAGGAGGACGATGAGGATGGCAAGAAGATCGTTTAGAAACGAAAGGCCTAAATAAAAATAACGTGGTTGTTGAAATATTTTCCAATAAAAAAAACATTTCCGAATTCTGGAGGGTTCTAAATGGTTCTAGACTGTTCTACATAATTCTGGAGCATTTCAAATGATTCTGGAGTGTTCTAAATGGCTCTAAACAGTTCTAAAAGCTTATAGATAGCTTTAAAAAAATTTCGGTAGCGTTCTAAATGGTTTCGGACAGTTGTAAATGATTTTGAAGCGTTGTAAATGGTTCTGGACTGTTCTAAATGATTCTAGACAGTTCTAAATGGTTCTGAAGCGTTTTAAATAGTTGAAGACAGTTCTAAATGTTTTTGGAGATAAGAAGAAACTTGAAAATGAATAGGAGGTTTAGAAACAAAAAGCGCAAATAAAATAACATCATTATTAAAATATTTTCAAATAAAGTAACACTTCCGATTTCTGGAGAGTTCTAAATGGTTCTAGACTGTTCTACATAATTCTGGAGCATTTCAAATGATTCTGGAGTGTTCTAAATGGCTCTAAACAGTTCTAAAAGCTTCCAGAGTTTTAACATTTTTTGTAGCCTAAATGGTTCCAGACAGTTGTAAATGATTTTGAAGCGTTGTGAATGGTTCTAGACTGTTCTAAACGATTCAAGAGAGCTCTAAATGCTTCTGTAACGTTCTAAATGGTTTTAGTCAGTTCTAAATGGTTCTGAAGCATTCTAAATAGTTGAAGACAGTTCTAAATGTTTTTGGAGATAAGAAGAAACGTGAAAATGAATAGGATGTTTAGAAACAAAAAGCGCAAATAAAATAACATGATTATTAAAATATTTTCAAATAAAGAAACACTTCCGATTTCTGGAGGGTTCTAAATGGTTCTAGACTGTTCTACATAATTCTGGAGCATTTCAAATGATTCTGGAGTGTTCTAAATGGCTCTAAACAGTTCTAAAAGCTTCCAGAGTTTTAACATTTTTTGTAGCCTAAATGGTTCCAGACAGTTGTAAATGATTTTGAAGCGTTGTGAATGGTTCTAGACTGTTCTAAACGATTCAAGAGAGCTCTAAATGCTTCTGTAACGTTCTAAATGGTTTTAGTCAGTTCTAAATGGTTCTGAAGCATTCTAAATAGTTGAAGACAGTTCTAAATGTTTTTGGAGATAAGAAGAAATGTGAAAATGAATAGGATGTTTAGAAACAAAAAGCGCAAATAAAATAACATGATTATTAAAATATTTTCAAATAAAGAAACACTTCCGATTTCTGGTGAGTTCTAAATGGTTCTAGACTGTTCTACATAATTCTGGAGCATTTCAAATGATTCTGGAGTGTTCTAAATGGCTCTTAACAGTTCTAAAAGCTTCCAGAGTTTTAACATTTTTTGTAGCCTAAATGGTTCCAGACAGTTGTAAATGATTTTGAAGCGTTGTGAATGGTTCTAGACTGTTCTAAACGATTCAAGAGAGCTCTAAATGCTTCTGTAACGTTCTAAATGGTTTTAGTCAGTTCTAAATGGTTCTGAAGCATTCTAAATAGTTGAAGACAGTTCTAAATGTTTTTGGAGATAAGAAGAAATGTGAAAATGAATAGGATGTTTAGAAACAAAAAGCGCAAATAAAATAACATGATTATTAAAATATTTTCAAATAAAGAAACACTTCCGATTTCTGGAGAGTTCTAAATGGTTCTAGACTGTTCTACATAATTCTGGAGCATTTCAAATGATTCTGGAGTGTTCTAAATGGCTCTAAACAGTTCTAAAAGCTTATAGATAGCTTTAAAAAAATTTCTTTTGTGTTCTAAATGGTTCCGGACAGTTGTAAATGATTTTGAAGCGTTGTAAATGGTTCTAGACTGTTCTAAATGATTCTAGACAGTTCTAAATGGTTCTGGTCAGTTCTAAATGGTTCTGAAGCATTCTAAATAGTTGAAGACAGTTCTAAATGTTTCTGGAGATAAGAAAAAACTTTAAAATGAATAGGAGGTTTAGAAACAAAAAGCGTAAATAAAATAACATGATTATTAAAATATCTTCAAATAAAAAAACATTTCCGATTTCTGGAGGGTTCTAAATGGTTCTAGACTGTTCTACATAATTCTGGAGCATTTCAAATGATTCTGGAGTGTTCTAAATGGCTCTAAACAGTTCGGTAGCGTTCTAAATGGTTCCGGACAGTTGTAAATGATTTTGAAGCGTTGTAAATGGTTCTAGACTGTTCTAAATGATTCTAGTCAGTTCTAAATGGTTCTGAAGCATTCTAAATAGTTGAAGACAGTTCTAAATGTTTTTGGAGATAAGAAGAAACGTGAAAATGAATAGGATGTTTAGAAACAAAAAGCGCAAATAAAATAACATGATTATTAAAATATTTTCAAATAAAGAAACACTTCCGATTTCTGCAATGTTCTAAATGGTTCTAGTACTGTTGTATATAATTCTGGACCATTTCAAATAATTCTGGACCATTTCAAATAATTCTGGACCATTTCAAATGATTCTGGAGTGTTCTAAATGGCTCTTAACAGTTCTAAAAGCTTATAGATAGCTTTAAAAAAATTTCTTTTGTGTTCTAAATGGTTCCGGACAGTTGTAAATGATTTTGAAGCGTTGTAAATGGTTCTAGACTGTTCTAAATGATTCTAGACAGTTCTAAATGGTTCTGTAACGTTCTAAACGGTTCTGGTCAGTTCTAAATTGTTCTGAAGCATTCTAAATAGTTGAAGACAGCTCTAAATGTTTCTGGAGATAAGAAGAAACTTGAAAATGAATAGGATGTTTAGAAACAAAAAGCGTAAATAAAATAACATGATTATTAAAATATCTTCAAATAAAGAAACATTTCCGATTCCAAATAAACTGTTTAAAATTTCCAAAAAAAAATTATGGCACTTTTCTATTTCTATAATATCGTTTAGATTGCGTTCCTCCTTCCGGTTTTTGTCGAAAAAACAAATCAGGTAACTCGAAAATTTTTTCACTCGTCAAAAACACTGAACATTATCGAGGATTATCTGGATCTCCCTCAAAAAACCGCTTCCTCTTGAGCGTTGGGCCTCTTCGATCGGATCTGCAGCACCTGGATGAGATTGGCTTTCTCCCGTTCCAGCAGGGAAATTCGTTCGCTCTTCTTGCTCACTTCCTGTTAAAAGAAAAAAAAACGAAAATGATTTTTGTTAAAAACTCTTTGTTAATAAACACTAGTTTGCAATTTTTGGACAATTGGAGCTCGTCTAGTTTCTTTAATTTGTCCGAAAAGTTCTTTGTAAATGATTCTGGGGCGTTCTAAATGGTTCTTAAAAATCCTAAATGTTTCTATTCAGTCCTGAATGATGCTGGAGTTTTCTAAATGGTTCTAGATTTAAAAACTCTTTGTTAATAAACACTAGTTTGTAATTTTTGGACAATTGGAGCTCGTCTAGTTTCTTTAATTTGTCCGAAAAGTTCTTTGTAAATGATTCTGGAGCGTTCTACATGGTTCTTAAAAATCCTAAATGTTTCTATTCAGTCCTGAATGATGCTGGAGTTTTCCAAATGGTTCTAGATTTAAAAACTCTTTGTTAATAAACACTAGTTTGCAATTTTTGGACAATTGGAGCTCGTCTAGTTTCTTTAATTTGTCCGAAAAGTTCTTTGTAAATGATTCTGGGGCGTTCTACATGGTTCTTAAAAATCCTAAATGTTTCTATTCAGTCCTGAATGATGCTGGAGTTTTCCAAATGGTTCTAGATTTAAAAACTCTTTGTTAATAAACACTAGTTTGTAATTTTTGGACAATTGGAGCTCGTCTAGTTTCTTTAATTTGTCCGAAAAGTTCGTTGTAAATGATTCTGGGGCGTTCTAATTAGTTCTAGTTACTTCTAAATGATTCTAGAGCGTTCTACATGGTTCTTAAAAATCCTAAATGTTTCTATTCAGTCCTGAATGATGCTGGAGTTTTCTAAATGGTTCTAGATTTTGCAGCTTACTAAATCGTTCTAGATACTCCTAATTGAATCTAGAGCGTTCTATACAGTTTTAATTAATTCTGGAGCGTTCTAAATGGTTCTATGATAGTTCAAAATGATTCTAGAGCGTTCTATATAGTCTTAATTAATTCTGAAGCGTTCGAAATGGTTCATAATGATTTTAGGGCGTTCTAAATAGTTTTAAATGACTTTGGAGCGTTCTAAATGGTTCTAGATAGTTCAAAATTATTTTAGAGAGTTCTATATAGTTCTAATTAATTCTAAAGTGCTCTAAATGGTTCTAGAGAGTTTAAAATGATTCTCAAGAGCGTTCTAAATAGTTCTAAAGGATTCTGGAACGTTCAAAATGGTTCTATGATAGTTCAAAATGATTCTATAGAGCGTTCTAAATAGTTCTAACTAATTCTAAAGCGTACTTAATGGTTCTAGATAGTTCAAAATGATTCTACAGCTTTCTAAATAGTTCTAATTAATTCTAAAGCACTCTAAATGGGTCTAGATAGTACTAAATGTTTCTGGAGCGTTCTAAATAGTTCTAATTAATTCTAAAGCGCTCTAAATGGTGCTAGATAGTTCAAAATGATTCTGTAGAGCGTTCTAAATAGTTCTAAAGGATTCTGGAACGTTCAAAATGGTTCTATGATAGTTCAAAATGATTCTATAGGGCGTTCTAAATGGTACTAAATGATTCTGGAACGTTCTAAATGGTTCTAGATATTTCAAAATGATTCTATAGAGCGTTCTATATAGTTTTAATTAATTCTAAAGCGCTGTAAATGGTTCTAGATAGTACTAAATGTTTCTGGAGCGTTCTAAATAGTTCTAATTAATTCTAAAGCGCTCTAAATGGTTCTAGATAGTTCAAAATGATTCTACAGCGTTCTAAATAGTTATAATTAATTCTAAAGCGCTCTAAATGGTGCTAGATAGTTCAAAATGATTCTCTAGAGCGTTCTAAATAGTTCTAAAGGATTCTGGAACGTTCAAAATGGTTTTATAATAGTTCAAAATGATTCTATAGAGCGTTCTAAATGGTACTAAATGATTCTGGAACGTTCTAAATGGTTCTAGATATTTCAAAATGATTCTATAGAGCGTTCTATATAGTTTTAATTAATTCTAAAGCGCTCTAAATGGTTCTAGATAGTACTAAATGTTTCTGGAGTGTTCTAAATAGTTCTAATTAACTCTGGAACGTTTAAAATGGTTCTATGACAGTTCAAAATGATTCTACAGCGTTCTAAATAGTTCTAATTAATTCTAAAGCGCTCTAAAAGGTTCTAGATAGAACTAAATGTTTCTGGAGCGTTCTAAATGCTTCTAGACAGTTCTAAATTGATTTTGGAGCGTTCTAATGGGTTCTAGTTACTTCTAAATGATTCTGGACCGTTCTACGCATGGTTCTTAAAAATTCCTAATTCGTTCTAAATGGCTCTAGATAGTTCTAATTACGGTGCACAAAACTTTGTAAATCTTACCTCTGTGAGAAGCCTGTTTTGGCGTTTGAGCCGATCCGCGAGGTCCTCGTGAGCCGGATGGAATCGATTAACAGCGAGGTTCATGTGCAAGGGCAATCCCCCGCGCTCCCAGCTCTCGGTTAGAGCCGATAGATGTCGATTGACCTCTAAAACCCTCGCTCTACGCAGCTCTAATCTCTCCTGTTGGGCTTCCGACCAATGCTCCTGTGCATTAAAAACGTTTTTATATTGCAGGAAGTCTAGTTGTTTTGTAGTAAAAGAATTTTACAGTTATTCTTGTAAATAATCAAGCTAAGCTATTAAGTGGACAAGTTATGTGATGTTTACTTAGACAAAACGAGTGTTAAAATGAAGATTCTCCGTGCGGCATGGCCTACTTTCACAATTTTAGAAACTTTTACCCATGATATTTTATGCGAATTATTCGTATGCACTGTTCTTATTCTCAAAGATGATAAAGTTGGGTATAATTCTTCGAGTAGGTACTCTATTGATTTCTTTTCTAAACTTTGATATAAGGTAGACTGGGGCAAATGAAAAAATGGGGTAAATGTTATATTTTTACCGATTATATTAATGTTTTTATTATTTTTATAGTTCTTTTGTGCATTAGACAGGGTTTGTTTATTATTTTTTCTTTATTATTTTGTAGCTCTGTTATTTGTTGAAATAAATAAATAAACAGCATATCAAATTTTAGAGGAACCAAATAATTGTTTACAATTGCCCCATATGTTTTTCTATATAATTATATTGCACTTTAGAACCGTTTGTTACATTTACCCCGTACCATGGGGTAAATGTAACATATTGTCAACATTTTAAAAAATATGTAAAATGGTTTTCTTCCTTTTTCAAAAAAAACTTTTTAATACCTCGATTCTTTAGTTTAGGAAGTTGTGAATTTAATGTGGTATCAGCATTTCTAATAAAAGAAAAAATAAAGCCACATTTTAGGATTTAATTTGAACTATTCAAATTTTTCAACCGATTTGCCCCAGTCTATACCTTACGTAAGTTTTTATATACACCTTGCTCCATTTCCGATTGCATTATGGTCATTTCTACGAGTGGAACAAAGAAAGATTATTAATATGACAGGTTGTCAGAGTAAAAAGTTGCAATGACACAAATGTCACTCTTTCCTTTTCCTTTGTAAGTGTCTAATGGAAGTTGTCTTTATCGCACCCATGGATTATGTAACCTATATTGCAATCAAAAATGAAGCAACCTGTATAGACAGAAATTACTTGTAATATTAATGAGTATAAAGTTCCTAGTTAAAGACGCGTCTTTCATTTGACAGATTTACATTGTTGTTATAGAGTAACTAAGGAGATTCTTTCAATTGACAGTTTTACATTGTTGTTATGGAGTAACTAAGGAGATTCTTTCATTATTTGACAGTTTTACATTGTTGTTATGGAGTAACTAAGGAGATTCTTTCATTATTTGACAGTTTTACATTGTTGTTATGGAGTAACTAAGGAGATTCTTTCAATTGACAGTTTTACATTGATTGTTATGGAGTAACTAAGGAGATTCTTTCATTATTTGACAGTTTTACAGTGTTGTTATGGAGTAACTAGGGAGATTCTTTCATTATTTGACAGTTTTACAGTGTTGTTATGGAGTAACTAGGGAGATTCTTTCAATTGACAGTTTTACATTGTTGTTATGGAGTAACTAAGGAGATTCTTTCATTATTTGACAGTTTTACATTGTTGTTATGGAGTAACTAAGGAGATTCTTTCATTATTTGACAGTTTTACAGTGTTGTTATGGAGTAACTAGGGAGATTCTTTCATTAATTGACAGTTTTACATTGGTTGTTATGGAGTAACTAGGGAGATTCTTTCAATTGACAGTTTTACATTGTTGTTATGGAGTAACTAAGGAGATTCTTTCATTATTTGACAGTTTTACATTGGTTGTTATGGAGTAACTAGGGAGATTCTTTCAATTGACAGTTTTACATTGTTGTTATGGAGTAACTAAGGAAATTCTTTCAATTGACAGTTTTACATTGTTGTTATGGAGTAACTATAAGGACATTGTTTTGCGTTAAAGAGACCCTCTAAAGCCGCGTTTAAAGTTAAAGAGAAGATCTTTCAAGAACTACTATTTGTACCCAGGACCGTACCCCTCGATAAATTCGAAAACTCACCGCATGCCCCGTCCTGCCCAAATCCCTCATCTTCTCCTGCACGATCCCCATCTGCCGCACGTACCACTCCCGCGCCCTTTCCACCGCCCCCAGCCCTTCGGCCAGCACCTCCTTCTCCTGCTCCATCTGCTTCATCCTCCTCAACATGCTGTAGTCCACGCCGTTCTGCAACGTGTGCCTCCTCGGCTCCCGCCTCCTGCCGCCGCCGCCCTTCTTGTTCTGACCCGCCTCGTTCGTCGCGCCGCCCTTCTGGTCCCCGTCCCCGACGCTCCTGCCGGCCCCGATGCCGCGCTTCCGCCAATCCTGCAACGCCGACCGGATCTCCTCGCGGTCCAAGTTGCCCCCGAGCGCCGCCGCCGATCGCGGCGGTTTCGGCGGCCCGAACAGCGCCGGTTTCGGCGCCGCCCTCGCCGGGAAATTGAGCGCGGCGTCGCCCAATTGGGCGGCCGACAGCGCCCTGCGTTGGTGCGCGGTCCAGGCGGCGGGGGCGGCGGCGGCTGGGGGCGGGTCGGGGGCGGCGGCTGGGGCGGCTTCCAGCTCGGGTTTCTTGTCGGCTTGGTTGCGCAGCAGGCTGATCTTCAAGCCGGCGCAGAAGCGTTCGAAGGTGAGGCGGCCGGTGGGCGGCGTGACCTTTCTGAGGCTGTCGATGACCCCCTTGGGGGCGTTGTCGGCGCGCCAGCGTTGCTCGATGTCGGCCAAACGGACGAAGCCCGTCCGTTTGTCGTCCATTATGTCGAAGAGGGTGCGCATGGCGTCGACGAAGCGCTTGGGGAGGCCGTCCAAGGTCGACGTAGGCGATGACATTTTATCACGGCCTACTTACTCATATACCTATAACTACTATACCGTTAATAATGGTCTAAAACCGTAGCGAACCGTAGCAAAGGTTTGTTCCTACAACAGTCAGAAATAGTCGGTGGTCGTCGGGAGTCTGCGCAGTAATAATTTAGGCGTTCCAACAAACTCCACAGATATCTCTGATTCTGACTTGGTTGACAATTTATTGTTCCAACAGTTCGAGGGACTGGTTTTGTGATAGTCAGAAAAATTTGCTGATAGTACAGAGATTTAGAATCCGGCGCAAGCGCATTTTTAATTCGGGTTTAATTTGTATTTCTGAATATTAGGTTATGTTGTTTGTTGTTTTTGTTTGATACTTGGTGAATATGTAATAAATGTAAAGACTGTTCCATCAAGAAATCGGAAATTTGATTACACCATTCAATCATAAACCGCGCATGCGAAATAGAAGAGTCAGAAACTTATTGGTAACAAATCAGTGACTTTTTGTAGGAACAAACCTATTATGCTGTGGTGTGCTTGCTTATTTATGCGCATGCTCAAGTGAAAGATGCGTTTTGATTGGCTACTTTTGACACAGCAAATGAAACGTCAGAAGCGTGCTAGCTTTTATTTTGGTATATTTTTTGATATATTTTTAAAATCGACTTCGACTTGCCTGTGTAAATATGGCAGGTTACCGAATTTAAACACGATTTCAAGTATTATTTTCCTTAATAGGTACATGCCTAGGCATATAGGAAGAAGGAAAATAATACTTGAAATCGTGTTTAAATTCGGTAACCTGCCATATTTACACAGGCAAGTCGAAGTCGATTTTAAAAATATATCAAAAAATATACCAAAATAAAAGCTAGCACGCTTCTGACGTTTCATTTGCTGTGTCAAAAGTAGCCAATCAGACATCAAAAAGTATAAATAAGCAAGCACACCACAGTATAATGTTTGCTAAGGTTTTAGACCATTATAGAGTAACTAAGGAGATTTTTTCATTATTTGACATTTTTACATTGTTGTTATGGAGTAACTAAATAGATTCTTTGAATTTGACACTTTAACATTGGTTGTTATGGAGTAACTAAGGAGATTCTTTCATTTGACAGTTTTACATTGGTTGTTATGGAGTAACTAAGGAGATTCTTTCATTTGACAGTTTTACATTGGTTGTTATGGAGTAACTAAGGAGATTCTTTCATTTGACAGTTTTACATTGGTTGTTATGGAGTAACTAAGGAGATTCTTTCATTATTTGACAGTTTTAACAGCAAAACGCATCTTTCACTTGAGCATGCGCATAAATAAGCAAGCACACCACAGTATAATGCTTGCTACGGTTTTAGACCAATATTAGCGGTATATACTCTATTTCCAAAATAGTAGGCACTAAATTCTCGGAAATATTGTCGCTTTTCTTATTTATTACAGCAATCCTTGCTCTTCTAATTATTAGTCTCTTGCTGATTTTCCCGTCAAACACACTTGTAGCCTACGATATTTTCCGTACGCCACTGGGAGAGACCCATTATCTCAATCATTTCTGAGAATTTAGTGCCTACTATTTTGGAATTAGTGTATAGTAGATACTTACAATACGCGCTTCACTTGAATTTATCCATGGCACATTCGATGATCCGCGCGTTCTCTTCTCTACTTTTCTACCACAGCGCACTTTGTTTATATCACTATTTAGACGAACTAACAATTTCCAAAGCACACTACAATCTGTGGGTGTTTATTATTACTATAAGGGTTTCTTTTATGGGTTGTTTAGCGAAGAAAGAAGCACGAGACGCGAGCGAGCGATAGAATGAGAGTGGTTGTAATGAATAAGAGAGTGGAGTGGAGTGACCGGTTCGAGGTCGAGGGATTCTGTGGCGACTGAATTACTGAATATATCGGTGATGACGAATTGTGAAAACAGGTAAAAGGCGAGTTCGGTAGACCAGAAGAGGGGAATTCGGACGAATATGGGAGTGTTGTGTTGTGGGTACGGCGCGGAGCGTGCTGTGGTTTTCGTGTGTATACGAGGGACGCGCTATAATTGTGCGATTGTTGAGTTGTAGATGTTCGTTGGAGGGTGTTTTTTTTTTTGTTTTTTACGGGTTTATTTGAAGAAAAATGAAGCGGAGGTAAATGGTAGCTTGTGTAACACAACGAGATTTATCGGAAAATCGACGTTTCGAAACCCGGGAAAGTTTCCTTCATGGTAAAAAAAACGAAAAATTTGTTCCGGTTTAGGAATTCTTTTCACCAATTTTTGGCATTTCTTTACCTAATTTTTTGGCGAAGTTATAAGAAAAAGGAAAGTAGGCGAATCGGGGGATTCCGGGAATTTTTCTTTAATTAATAAAATATTCTTTAATTATCTGCTAATTATCTCCTGTAAACCTCATTTCTTTACCTCAATTTTTAGCGAAGTTATAAGAAAAAGGAAAGTAGGCGATTCGGGGGATTCCCGAATATTATTTGAGAGGGAAGTGACGTCACACGTCAAACGTCATTGTTTTTGACAGGAAAAAGTAAGGAATCCGATGTAAACGAACACGCCCGATCGAAAAATCGAGCAAAGTTATAAGAAAAAGAATAGTAGGCGATTCGGGTGATTCAGGGAATTTTTCGCATTTTAAGGGATTTCCTCGGAAAGTATTATTTTGAAACTTTTCTAAAATATTCTTTAATTTATTACTAATTACTTGCCGCAAACCGCGTTTCCTTACCTCAATTTTTAGCGAAGTTATAAGAAAAAAAAAGTAGCCTACTTGGGGGATTCCCCAAAACCGTTAGAGAAAAATATGACGTCATAAATCGTCTTTTTCGACCAGAAAACTAACCGAATCCCATGTAAACGAACACGCCCGATTTTAAAATCGACGTTTCGACTTTAGAGAATATCATCTTCAGTGTCAAAATAAGCAAAACAACCTTTCTTTTTCGGTTTTTTTCACTTTTTTCAAATCGAGTCATATCGTTTTACCTCAAAATCTCCCAAAATATTCTCCATCCTTTTCACCATTTGCCTATAATCGTTTCCCATGAAAACCACATTTTGGGATTTTTTTTAAACACAGTTCAAAACAGGTTTAGGCTGTTAAAGGCCTTTGTTAAAAGGGGTCGCAGCCCCTTATAAAATGCGAATGTACTATATTGGACGAGTTTATTATACCTACAAACTCACAATTACACAAATACTGCAAACTAAATAATGTAACAAATATTCAATAACAAATGTATAAATTATAATTAAAAATCACAATAAAGTAGGACACTCAAACAATCGCCTCACCTCCTGCACAGGTTAATACTTGCAGGTTTATCTCGAACATGCCTCGTTTATCCCTTATATAAAATTAATAATTTGTGCTAAAACATACAGGGTGGCACATTAGTATGGAAAAGCTTAATTCAGTGTGTCTACATAAGCACCATATGGAAAACTTTTTTTATTATTAATTTTACGAAAAAAAGTTATTCTTCATAAAAAGTTCTGCATGTTTTAAAACTTAAAATACAACCATCAGATAACAATTTTTTTAATCCGTAGACGAGGTTTGTCAAAAAAATGTGTTTTTTGCTCAGGAGTAAAGTACCTTTATTTTTGAAAATATCGGAAATTCATGTTATTAAGAAAAGTTGATCAGGACTAAAAATTACATTTTTTAATGTTTTTATGTAGTCGATAATTATTGTAAAATAAATTATTTTGTTATCATTTATTTCAATGCATAATCAAACTAATGCAATATAGAGGTTAAGAGATGTAAATATAATCAAATTTTTAACGAATAAAGAGATAACAGATAACAATTTCCAATATTTTCAAAAATAGATTTACTTTACTTTTGAGCTAAGTTCATATTTTCTGACAAACCTCGTATACGACTGAAAAAATTAGATATCTGATGATTGTATTTTAGGTTTTAAAACATGCAGAACTTTTTATGAAGAATAACTTTTTTTTGTAAAATTAATAATAAAAAAGTTTTATGCATATGGTGCGAACTTAAGTAGACACACTGTATATCTGTTATTATAGAAGATATCAAAAAAATTTCATTACAAAAGTTGTAGATCTTTTTAAGCTGCACCTTTTAAAATTAGTTACATTTATACAGATTGTCCCGTTTTTCTGTAGTAGATCAAACTTATACTTTAGTACTTTCATTCTTAATAACCATCTCGAAAAGTATTAACTTTAATAAAAAAATACTTCCTGTTAAATTTAAAATAACGAAGAAAATGTTACTTTTGCGTTTGTATTCACCCTGTAAGCAGTATGATTAAAACTCACGAAAAATATTCATTTTATACATTTTCAGGATATTTGCAATGTTGTGAAATCTAAAATTTATTTTTAATTCAATCCATTTAGTTTTTACAGAGTGGTAAACTTTGTACGATTTTCGTGGAAAAGTGGTCATAACTTTTAAACCACTCAATATAACGTTATACAAAATTATATTTTTGGAAATCTGAAAACGAGCTAAATTCAATTTTTAAATAAAAAACAGGATGTTCCATTTAAAAAAGTATAAGTTTAATCTACTACGGAAAAACGGGACACTCTCTATAAATGTTACTAATTTCAAAATATGCAGCTTAAAAAAATCTACAACTTTTGTAATGAAGTTTCTTTGATATCTTCTAAAGGGTGTCCCTGAAAGTGTGGGAAATCTCTTGGATCCATATAGAACATGAAAAAATAAGAAAAGAAGTTCCTATAAAAATTTTCCCTACAGGCCCTCCCTACGAAAATATGCGTCCTTGAAGTGCGCCACTGGAAATAGGTTTTCCTTAAATATCTTCTAAAGTACTTGATATAATTTAACAAAAATCTAATATGATGGACACTAGTAAGGACCTCACAAAATAGTGTCCTTGAAACATATTTAACTTGTTTTGTTTAGCAGGGCCGGGCTAAGGTATACACCTTAATGCCTAAATTTTCAACATCCTGTATGATAAAGACTTAAAAATCATAAATCTGGAAAGCTTGAACTTTAAACTGGAAAAAAGGTACTCCTCTCAATAGTCGATAAAATGAACTGTTTATGCATTAAGGTGTTAGCCTTAGCCCGGCCCTGGTAAACTAAAAAACCTAAATATGTTTCAAGGACACTAATTTTTGAGGCCCTCAGTAGTGTCCATCGTATTAGATTTTTGTTTAATTATATCAAGTACTTTAGAAGATATTTAAGGAAAACCTATTTCCAGTGGCGCCCTTCTGGGACTCATATCTTCGTAGGGAGGGCCTGTAGGGAAAATTTTTATAGGAACTTCTCATCTTATTTTTTTATGTTATATATGGATCCGAGAGATTTCCCACACTTTCAGAGACACCCCGTATAATAACAGATGAATTGAGCTTTTCCAAACTAACGTGCCACCCTGTATATATGTATCAACATGTTTCGAAAACGATCGAACTGCTCGAGTTCCAAAAGTGTCGGCGACGTTTAAGTGAATATAGGTAAAAATTCGACTAGAACTAAAACCTTTTAAATGACAATTAAGTTTTAATTCGCCTTCCCTGTTTTCCCACGGCATTTCTGCCGTTCTTGTGACCGTTTCGGACGTCCGAATAACGTGGAGGTTTCGGACGGGTTTCGAACACGACATCGGAATCGGTATCGCTATCGGAAAAATGACCTTTCTTCGAACCATCTAAAACAATTCATATATTAATTATAATATAGAAAAAAAATAGTCTATTTGTACAGAATGATGTAGGGAGGAGTAGAGGATGGTAGAAGTGTACAAGGGTAGGGTGAAAGGGAAAAATGGCCCTTCTTAGAACCATCTAAAACAATTCACATATTAAATATATACTGCTCCACAAAAGTTAAGGAAGTTCACAAATAGTGAGATTAATTTAAAAGTTTTTGAACGCCAAATTTAGTACGAGTTGTATAGAGGAAGGTAAAAAATCCATTCTATTAAGAGAGAAAACATTTAATTTCGCATATTTGAAAATTTGGTGATCAAAAAGTCTGTAACTTTTAAAATAATCGCAATATTTTCGAACTTCCTTAACTTTTGTGGAGCAGTTAATATAGAAAATAAGAATCTACTTGTACAGAATGGTGTAGGGAGGAGTAGAGGATGGTAGAAATATATAGGGTGTTAATTTTATGCCGATACTTCAGGATGTGAATATTTGGATGATTTTAAGAAGAAAAGTTTATATCAATGTATGTCCTAAACCTCTTAGTTTTTGAGCTACAGGTTGTTGAAATTTTAGAAAAAAAAAAACTTTTCTATCATAATTTTCTTATTACTCCAGTTATTTTTAAGAAATTTTGTATACACATTTTAAATATTAAGGAGCATTTTTTGAGGCGTAAGATTTTTTTGTAAATTTTCACCAGTGACGTCCGTATGGGGTTTGAACTGAATATTTGGATGTTTGAAAAAAAAATGGTACACCACTGCTTTTTCTATAAACTAAAATTATTTTTAAAATCCTCATTTATTTTGTAGCAAATTCGGTCAGAAGATTTATTTTCGTAAGACGCCCAATTTTCGCGTAAAAAAATAAAAACCAAAACCATTTTTTCATCCAAATATCTATCCAAATCATCCAAATATTCACATCCTAAATTTTTGGCATTTAATTAATTAACTCTCTATATACAAGGATAGGGTGAAAAGGCAAATGGCCCTTCTTCGGACCATCTAAAACAATTCACATATTAAATATACAGTGCATTTCTTTAATGTCCCCCCCCCCCTTGTATTTTTTGAACGGATCAACTTAGAAAATTGAAATTTAGGATAACAAAACTAATGCATGATTACTATATTTTGGAGTAAAATTGATGGATGATAATTTCAAGATGGCGACTGGGCGCCATCTTGGGAAATAAATTTAAATGGAAAGGGGGGTCTTGTGATACATCATTTTGAAGCTCCTGACAAATACTCTACAACCCTGGAATATAAAGAATATCTGTGCCCATTTCAAAATGGCGGATCATTTAATAAATACCTGAATACAAACAAATTAATATCAATTTTTCTAAAATTATTTGTTTTTCTATGCCAAATAGCAATCCCAACAAACCGATACGGTTTGACAGGTTATTGACATCATATACCTATTAGTACTATACCGCTTACTACGGTCTAAAACCCGTAGCAAACATTATACTGTGGTGTGCCTGCTTATTTATGCGCATGCTCAAGTGAAAGATGCGTTTTGATTGGCTACTTTTGACACAGCAAATGAAACGTCAGAAACGTGCTAGCTTTTATTTTGGTATATTTTTTGATATATTTTTAAAATCGACTTCGACTTGCCTGTGTAAATATGTCAGGTTACCGAATTTAAACACGATTTCAAGTATTATTTTCCTTCTTTTGCATTTTAGGCCTCAGCTACTCGCTATTGGTCCTTTTAAAATTAACGCGCTTGCGTATAAACGACTAAGCACACCACAGTGGGTCGGATCTCTCTCTTTAATCGCTACGATTTTCTCTCATGGAATAGATAGGGAGTTAGCAGTATATTACTAATAGGTATATAGTAATCATGCATTAGTTTCATTATCCCAAATTTCAATTTTCTTAGTTGATCCGTTCAAAAAAATAAAAGGGACGGGGGGTGGGTGACATTAAATAAATGCCCCGCACAACCGCTCAAAACCACTCACAATGCGCCGAATCCTCCGAATTCCCGATCAACCTATAACTACTCGCCTTCGTCGCCTCCCCCCTCCTACCGCACCACCTACAACACGCGTGCACCGCCCCCCACGCCGCCCCCACCGCCGCCGACACGCCGCACGCGGCGCCCACCACCACGTACAACACGCTCCAACCGCAATCCGACTCCTCCTCGTCCCAATCGCCCCAAAACCTCTTCCACAAATCCTGCATCCAAAACGCCTCGCACGAGCACCGCCTCGTCGCCTCGTCGCACGCCCCGTGCCCCGAACAATCGTTCAGACAAACGACGGTGCGCAGCTGACGCACCGCGACGCCCAGCAAACCGGCGTCGACGCGCAGCTTCCTGCGCAGATGGCGCACCACCTCAACAGCACCCACCGGTTTCCCATCTTTATCTTCCACGTAGAAGATGATGGTGGATTCGCCGGCGCCTGCGCCGGGTCGCAGCGAGCGGACGCGCAGGCGCGAACCGTCCGGCGCGAGCAGAGCCAACTTGCCGACGAGCGTCCGGTATTGCGCCTGCGTGGGCGTCGCGACGTCGACGACGATGCGCGACGAGTAGTAGAGCATGGGATCGTCGAGGACTGTGACAGTGATGGAGTCGGTGTCGCTGAGGCCTTGTTCGTCGAAGACGGTGAGGTTGAAGAGGTATTTGCCGGGGGCGGGATCGACGAGGATGAGTAGGGGGGTGTCGTCGGTGGTTTCGGCGATGCGGGCGAAGGCGGGGGAGGCGTCGTCGCGTCGCCATTTCCATTTCACTACCGCCCAGTCGTCTTTGGAGTTGGAGCCGTTTAGGGTGATGGCGTTGCGGGGTAGTTGGACGGTGATGTCGGGGCCGGCGTCGGCGGTGGGGCGTTGGTTTTTGTCTGGAAAAGAAATATGGAAGGTATTTTGTAAATGCTAGAAAGGAAATATCGCTATATATAGGGGGTGTCTGCTATAAAGACCGCCAAATTTCAGGAGGTGGTTATACAAGTAATGATGAACAAGAAATGTCCTATAACGTTTTTTCGAAAAGTCGATAGTTTCTCTTTTATTTAACATTTCATTGTTTTAATATTTTTTGGTTTTTTTTCCAAAAAGACTGAAATATCACATTTATTCGTATAGTCAAATTAATTTTGATCATATACCGTAAAAGTGCATTAAATTTGCTATAAAAAAATATTTATCAGAGTTTTAAAAAAATCAATACTGGGTTGTTATAAAAGATTTAATTGTTATGAATATGAAATGAACATAATTATATGTATCTTTTAATGGTCGTAAAGCCAACAATTTTATAAATTTCAGTTTAATTTAAGTTTTTTTTTTTAGTAAAAACTACTGTATTTAATAAGCTTTTTAGAGGTATACTTAGATTTTGAGTTACATTTTTTTTGTAGAAATTTTAAAGATATAAAATTTAACAGCATAAAAACTTTTTAATACCTCGATTCTTTAGTTTAGGAAGTTGTTAATTTAATGTGGTATCAGCATTTCTAATAAAAGAAAAAATAAAGCCACATTTTAGGATTCAATTTGAACTATTTAAATTTTACAAACCGATTTGCCCCAGTCTACCTTAATTCATTCTACATAGAACTATCAAGAGCCATATATACAGGGTGTCCCAATAGTGGGGTAAAGCGCATTTACTCAGTTATTATAACAGATACGAAAAAATGATAAATAGGAAAAATGTTAAGCACCTTTAGGCGTACAATTTAAAATTATTTCGAAATATACAGGGTGGCCCATAAATCGAAGCCATACCAAACCATACTTTTACCGAATACTTTTACCGAACCATACTTTTTTTTGCAAAAAAAGGTCGACAACGTCATTGGTAATTAGATTAAAATGAAATTATAACATCAAAAACTGGACATTTTTTAATAAAATTGAAAATATCTCTGAAACGGGGACAGTTAGGTATAGGGAAATGTTATAAAAAATGATTCAGTAAGAAATAGACTTCCCATTGGATATTATTAATATAGGGTGTTCCATTTAAATTAAGCGAGTAATTATTATGTTTGCGTTTTGACTCGCCCTGTATACAAATCGTAATTTTGTCAGAATGTAACTCTTTTTTGTGAAAATCGACTATTTTCAAAAAGTGCTGACACAGAAAAATTCACATTATCTGATACAGATTCTGATATACAGGGCCTTGAAGTCATAACGATTTGAAAATAAAAATGGCCATAACTTTTTAAATACTCAGTATAGTCATGTGAAATCTTGTATTGAGAAACTCGTAAATACGAGCTGAAATCGAATATGAAATAAAAAATATATCATTGCCTTTAAAAAAAGGTATGTTTGGTATGGCTTCGATTTATGAACCATCCTGTACATTTCGAAATAATTTAAAATCGTGCGCCTAAAGGTGCTCAACATTTTTCCTATTTACCATTTTTTCGTATCTATTATAATAACCGAGTAAACGGGCTTTACCGCACTATCGGGACACCCTGTACATAACGATTCACAAAAAAATACATCCAATCACAGCGTGCTTACTCTGATCGACGGTCACGTAAACCTTATCGCTGGCCACGTTCCTGTTGTCGTCGGTCACGCTCACTTTGAAGGCGTACGAACCCTTCGTCAGGCCCGTAACGTTCGTTTTGCTGGCGTTCGAACGTTCGAAAACGACCGAAGACGGTCCTTCTAATTGTTCCCAAGCGAACGCCATGATTTTATTGTCGTCGGTGCTGTTCGAAGCGTCCAATACGATCCACGTTTGCGGCAGGCTTATCGTCGCGTTCACGCCCGCGTTCGCCACCGGCGGTTTATTCGTCGGCGGTTTCACGAAAACGTGCACCTAAAAATATATAAATTATACTAAATTATACTAATAATTCATAAAAAATAACGGTTACATTGTAACGCAAGTTCCCGCCCATCTCTATACTCGTTACTTCGTTCCCATCTCTATCAATAAGGTTTTGACAGTTGACGTTTTTTTTTTCACTGCTATTACAATGAAGATTCATCTATTACGCTATATCTGTGCGTACAGAAAAGTACAGAAGTACTTGTTGAGAGAAGAAGAATTGTTTAAAAATTCTTCTTCTCTTTTTTCGAATGCCTATATACATGCATACACCGTTGGAAATTTAATTCGCGCATAATAGGGAAATCAATGTTAAATTCTTAGCCGGCTGAAATCCAGTCTACCAGTGTACATTTCAATAGAACGTCGCGATGAATTCTAATAAATTTAATTGTTCTACTGGACTTCACGCCGCGATTTAGTACTTTTTGTACTTTTTGAGTTTTTTCGAAAAAACCGTTTTTAAATTGTCTTCAAGTTTGTAACGCGAAAACTCGGAAACTATCATCTTTTAGAAAAATTTAAAAGCGAAAGTTTATAGATACGACTTTTTTCTATCTACCAAATATTTTTCCCATTTTCTTAATTATTATTTATCGAATTATAAAGATTTTTCGAAATCGATGCATAATTTACGGCTGTCGTCGAACCGGAAGTGAAAACTTTCAGATCTACGATGACGTACGATCATTCCCGAATGAAAGACAAAATGGACGACTTTTGCGTTTCTATGGATACGTTGACATTTAATTTGATGTACAGGGTGTTTTTTCATTAAGGAAATCGGAAAAATTGATATACGAGGCGTTTTTTTTATCTTAAGTGAAAAATTATATTTAATTAAATTGAAATATACACCGTTGGAAATTTAATTTTGCATAATAGGGAAATCAATGTTAAATTCTTAGCCGGCTAAAATCCAGTGTGTACATTTCAATAGAACGTCGCGATAAATTCTAATCGTAATAATTTGAAATAATCGATAAATTTGAAACAGTAAATACATAACAATAAGTAAACAATAATGCACGGTATAAAAGTAATAAATTCAAAAAATCTTGATTGTTACACAACATTGACATTTTTGCTATAATTTCAAGAACTGATTTCATTTATCGCATTGACATAAGGTCATCAAATGGCTAACTAGATAAGTCAAAAAAAAAGAAAATTTATACCTTATTTAATAAAACTTCGATTATTTCAAAAACTACTGGATTTGGGTATAGGAAACACCCATATGGATCGAAATGCCTTAAAAAACTGCATTGGTCACTGTTAAAATATACAGGGTAATCCATTTGAAATAACAAAGTTATGACCACTTTAATTTGGCCAAGTTTGTCAGACAATTTTAAACGCCCTGTACATGGATTCTGAAAATACAGTTTAGTTTCATTTAGTAGTATGTCTGGACATCATCGATACTCAATTTCAAGCTTCTACCTGCATTATTAACAGAGATATCAAAGAAAATACATTCGACTGTTTTTCCAAAAAATATCAAAAAAATTGTAATATCTTAAAAATGGTGCATTTTTGGCATATGGTGTTATCATCAAAGTCTAGTTAAAAAAGGCCATAGAATTCAAAAATGACGTTAAAAATGACACTTTCCATATAAAATAACGAAGTTGGTATCAACTTCCGGTATAACCGGAAGTGTAATCAAAATGAAAATATTCTAGATCAATTCTACCTAATGGACGGTTACCGTGAAAAGCCCTGTATTCTCTATGGAACAAACCTTACCTCGGCCGTGCTGGATTGATTCGCGCTATCGGTGACTTTGAGAATGAACGTGTACAGTCCCTGCTCTAAATTGGAGAGTTTCAATAGAGGCGTACGAGTGTCTTGCATGTCGACGGCCTTCTGCGCATCGTCGGCGGATTTCGTCCATTCCCACGTCGTTATGGCGTGATCGTCGATGCTCATGCTACCGTTCAACGTTATGGAATTGTGAGGCAAATAGATGATCTTATCCTCTCCTAAAAGAAACTCCAACAATTGAGCAGTGTAGAGCAGAGTGTGGTAAAACAAAACGGATCGAAGCAAAGTTGAATAGAGTACAACAGAACTGGGTAAAAGAGAGTAGAACAGAGCAGTGCAAAGCAGTGTAAAACAAAGCAGAGTAGTATTGAACAGAGTAGAGCAGAGTAAAGCAAATCGAAGCAGAGCGAAGTAGAACAGAACAGAACAAAGCTGAGTTAAGTAGAACATAACGGAGCAAAACAGAGCAGTATAGAGCAAAGTAAAGCAGTGTATAAGTAGAATCGAGCATAGCAAAGTAGAACAGAACAGAGCAAAGGAGAGCAGAGTAAAGTAGAATAGAACAGAGCAGTGTAGAACAAAGCAAAACAGAATATAACAGAGCAGAGTAGAACGGAACAGAGCAAAGCATAGCAGTGTAGAACAGAGTAGAGCAGAGCTAAGAAAAGTAGGACAGAACAGAGCAAAGCAGTATAGAACAAAGTCGAGCAAAGTAGTGTAGTGTAGAAGAAAGTAGAGGAATTCCGAGCAAAGTAGAACAGAACAGAACAAAACAAAACAAAAGACAGTAGAATACTCTACAGACAAGAGTAGAACAGAGCATAGCAAAGTAGAACAGAACAGAGCAAAGGAGAGCAGAATAAAGTAGAATAGAACAGAGCAATGTAAAACAGAGTAAAGCAAAGCTGAGCAAAGTAGGACAAAACAGAGCAGTGTAGAACAGAGTAAAGCAAAGCTGAGCAAAGTAGGACAGAACAGAGCAATGTAGAACAGAGTAAAGCAAAGCTGAGCAAAGTAGAACAGAACAGAGCAGTGTAGAACAAAGTAGAGCAAAGTAGCGTAGAACAGAACAGAGCAAAACAGAATATATCAGAGCAGAGTAGAACGGAGCAGAGCAGAACTAAGAAAAGTAGGACAGAACAGAGCAAAGCAGTATAGAACAAAGTCGAGCAAAGTAGAGTAGTGTAGAAGAAAGTAGAGGAGATCCGAGCAAAGTAGAACAGAGCAACACAAAACAAAACAAAAGACAGTAGAATACTCTACAGACAAGAGTAGAACATAGCATAGCAAAGTAGAACAGAACAGAGCAAAGGAGAGCAGAGTAAAGTAGAATAGAACAGAGTAAAACAGAGCTGAGCAAAGTATGACAGAACAGAGCAGAGCAAAGCAGTATAGAACAAAACCGAGTAAAGTAGAGTACAAAACGAACCATAACAGTAGAATACTCTACAGGCTAGAGTATAATAGAACAAAGCAATGTAGAACAGAGTAAAGCAGAGCTGAACAAAGCAAGACAGACCAGAGTAAAGCAGAGTAGAACAAGACAATGCAGAACAGTGTAGAACTTAGTAGAACAGAGTAAAGCAGACCAAAACAGTGTATTACAGCTTACCAGCGTTGGCTTCGGGAGGGTAATCGGTACCGGCCAGTACTGTTATATTGGCAATTTGACTGCTGGTTTCCTTATCGCTATCGGTTACGGTCAATTTGAACGTGTAATTGCCGGGTTTCGTCAGATCGTTCAGCTGCAACGTCGGAGCGTCCTTCAACTGTGGCTCGTAACCTAAAATCGTGTATACAAATTGCTCATTAATAGATAGGAAAAAATTTCCGGGGGAATTTTCGGGGATTCGTTCGTACCATTAGACCTATTAAGTATGCACTATCGGTATTTTGAGGTTATTTAGCGTTCCCAATGATAGAGAGAGAGAGAGAGAGAGGTCCGTGAGAGATGGAGCTAGTTTGGGCTAAAAGTAGGCGGGACCAAAAAAATATATAAAATATATAAAGGGTGTGTGGAAAAAGGCGATTTAAATATTGTTTTTATCTTGGTATCCACTTGGACAGATGATTGACCTGGAAGAAACATATTTTTACAAAAGAAAGCATCTAGATCTTAAATTGCGAAATCTGTACTGGCTAATAGGTAGGAGGTTCCAAATAACAATACAAAATAAGAACTGTATTTGCAAATGCGTCGGAATTTAGGCTCATCTGAAAAATGCATTTTGCTCGGTAAAAAAATAATAAATCCTCAACCCTATAGACCTATTCATTTTTACCTGTGCTGCGCGCGCATACTGTGGATAATTAATTTGACATCTAAACGAACAAACGAACGCACCTCAGGTACAATACGGTTCTGACAACCAGACAACGACAACTTAAGACATACTTCAGACGTCATTTGTCATTATCCAATAATCTGTCGGATTTAATTTGTAATGGACTCGATACAAATCGAGTACTGAACTCGATAAACAAACAAACATCAAACGGAAACAAGCAACAAAATAGGGTTAAGATTGAAGATGGTCTCTTCTTTTTTATATTTATTTCAGTTTTCTTCTAACATATACCTATTACTACTATACCGCTAATAATGGTCTAAAACCGTAACAAACATTATACTGTGGTGTACTTGCCTATTTATGCGCATGCTCAAGTGAAAGATGCGTTTTGATTGGCTACTTTTGACACAGCAAATGAAACGTCAGAAATGTGCTAGCTTTTATTTTGATATATTTTTAAAATCGACTTTGACTTGCGTGTGTAAATATGGCTGGTTACCGTATTTAAACACGATTTCAAGTATTATTTTCCTTCTTTTCTTTTTAGGCCTCAGCTACTCGCTATTGGTCCTTTTAAAATTACCGCGCTTGCGTATAAACGACTAAGCACACCACAGAGAGTCGGATCTCTCTCTTTAATCGCTACGATTTTCTCTCATGGAATGGATAGGGAGTTAGCAGTATATTAGTTAATAGGTATATGTCATCTAAGGATCATTCAATGGGTCTGTCAATCAGCAATGAAATAGGCCAAATATCTCATCCTTCTTGCACTTACGTTTGCGCAGATTTTAAATGGTTCCACAGATTGCGCGTGAAACATATTTGCTTCTTTTATTCTCTTACGATGATCTAATAACTCCATCAATCTCTTTCGTAAACTGAATAGGTCTATTCTACCATAAGCTACCCTCCTCTACCCCAGCTACCTTGCATTTCTGACAACGTAACTCACTTTGGTCTTTTGCTTTCATACTATTGACTAATGCATTGTCCAATCTCTCATTGCCATATGCCCAAACTAGCTGCATCTCTCTCATTCATCGACAACACTACATCTTTGTCTAAACCGCGTCCATAGTTAATAGGTCATATGGTTCGTACCGACGGGGCCCTGTTGGAGTTCCCAATGCCAAGCGACGATCCCGTCGTCGTCGGTGCTCGAAGAGGCGTCCAAAACGGCGGCGGAATTCGGCTGTTTTATGGTCTGATTGGCCGGAGTTATGACGATAACGGGCGGTTTGTTGATCCTATTGGCCGGTAGGACTGTGACGTTTACGAAGGTTTCACCGTACGATGTCGGAGCGGAGGCTGCTACCTGGATAAACGTACGCAAATTATAGGAAATTAAACCTCTGTCGAGCTAGAAGGATCAAATCGTTCTGTCCTACTTTGCTTAGCTCTGCTCTACACTCTTTCTACACTGCTATGCTTTGCTCTGCTATACTCTGTTTTGGTCTGTTCTGTTCTACGCTATTTTGCTCTACTTTGTTCTAAACTGCTCTGTTCTGTCCTACTTTGCTCAGATCTGGTTTACTCTGTTCTACATTGCTCTGTTCTATTCTACTTTACTCTGTTCTCCTTTGCTCTGTTCTACTCTTGTCTGTAGAGTATTCTACTGTCTTTTGGTTTGTTGTGTTCTGTTCTGTTCTGTTCTGTTCTGACCTCTGTCAAGCTAGCAGGACCAAATCGTTCTGTCCTACTTTGCTTAGCTCTGCTCTACACTCTTTCTACACTGCTATGCTTTGCTCTGCTATACACTGTCTTGGTCTGTTCTGTTCTACGCTATTTTGCTCTACTTTGTTCTAAACTGCTCTGTTCTGTCCTACTTTGCTCAGCTCTGCTTTACTCTGTTCTACATTGCTCTGTTCTATTCTACTTTACTCTGTTCTCCTTTGCTCTGTTCTACTCTTGTCTGTAGAGTATTCTACTGTCTTTTGGTTTGTTGTGTTCTGTTCTGTTCTGTTCTGTTCTGACCTCTGTCAAGCTAGCAGGACCAAATCGTTCTGTCCTACTTTGCTTAGCTCTGCTCTACACTCTTTCTACACTGCTATGCTTTGCTCTGCTATACACTGTTTTGGTCTGTTCTGTTCTACGCTATTTTGCTCTACTTTGTTCTAAACTGCTCTGTTCTGTCCTACTTTGCTCAGATTTGGTTTACTCTGTTCTACATTGCTCTGTTCTATTCTACTTTACTCTGTTCTCCTTTGCTCTGTTCTATTTTTGTCTGTAGAGTATTCTACTGTCTTTTGGTTTGTTGTGTTCTGTTCTGTTCTGTTCTGACCTCTGTCAAGCTAGCAGGACCAAATCGTTCTGTCCTACTTTGCTTAGCTCTGCTCTACACTCTTTCTACACTGCTATGCTTTGCTCTGCTATACACTGTTTTGGTCTGTTCTGTTCTACGCTATTTTGCTCTACTTTGTTCTAAACTGCTCTGTTCTGTCCTACTTTGCTCAGCTCTGCTTTACTCTGTTCTACATTGCTCTGTTCTATTCTACTTTACTCTGTTCTCCTTTGCTCTGTTCTACTTTTGTCTGTAGAGTATTCTACTGTCTTTTGGTTTGTTCTGTTCTGTTCTGTTCTGTTCTGACCTCTGTCAAGCTAGCAGGACCAAATCGTTCTGTCCTACTTTGCTTAGCTCTGCTCTACACTCTTTCTACACTGCTATGCTTTGCTCTGCTATACACTGTCTTGGTCTGTTCTGTTCTACGCTATTTTGCTCTACTTTGTTCTAAACTGCTCTGTTCTGTCCTACTTTGCTCAGCTCTGCTTTACTCTGTTCTACATTGCTCTGTTCTATTCTACTTTACTCTGTTCTCCTTTGCTCTGTTCTACTTTTGTCTGTAGAGTATTCTACTGTCTTTTGGTTTGTTGTGTTCTGTTCTGTTCTGTTTTGACCTCTGTCAAGCTAGCAGGACCAAATCGTTCTATCCTACTTTGCTTAGCTCTGCTCTACACTCTTTCTACACTGCTATGCTTTGCTCTGCTATACACTGTTTTGGTCTGTTCTGTTCTACGCTATTTTGCTCTACTTTGTTCTAAACTGCTCTGTTCTGTCCTACTTTGCTCAGCTCTGCTTTACTCTGTTCTACATTGCTCTGTTCTATTCTACTTTACTGTTCTCCTTTGCTCTGTTCTACTTTTGTCTGTAGAGTATTCTACTGTCTTTTGGTTTGTTGTGTTCTGTTCTGTTCTGTTTTGACCTCTGTCAAGCTAGCAGGACCAAATCGTTCTGTCCTACTTTGCTTAGCTCTACTCTACACTCTTTCTACACTGCTATGCTTTGCTCTGCTATACACCGTCTTGGTCTGTTCTGTTCTACGCTATTTTGCTCTACTTTGTTCTAAACTGCTCTGTTCTGTCCTACTTTGCTCAGCTCTGCTTTACTCTGTTCTACATTGCTCTGTTCTATTCTACTTTACTCTGTTCTCCTTTGCTCTGTTCTACTCTTGTCTGTAGAGTATTCTACTGTCTTTTGGTTTGTTGTGTTCTGTTCTGTTCTGTTCTGACCTCTGTCAAGCTAGCACGACCAAATCGTTTCTGTCCTACTTTGCTTAGCTCTGCTCTACTCTTTATACACTGCTATGCTTTGCTCTGCTATATACTCTGTTTTGGTCTGTTCTGTTCTACGCTATTTTGCTCTACTTTGTTCTAAACTGCTCTGTTCTGTCCTACTTTGCTCAGCTCTGCTTTACTCTGTTCTACATTGCTCTGTTCTATTCTACTTTACTCTGTTCTCCTTTGCTCTGTTCTACTTTTGTCTGTAGAGTATTCTACTGTCTTTTGGTTTGTTGTGTTCTGTTCTGTTCTGTTCTGACCTCTGTCAAGCTAGCAGGACCAAATGAGCAGAATCAATTCGGACCTATTGCATTATTTAGTGTTTATTTTGTGCTAATTTGTGCCACTAAAAAAAAATTTGTGCTACGTGCCGGTTTGACAAAAATCGTGGCGCTGCTGGGTTAATATTAAGCTAGCAGGATATCTGGTTATCTGTATAACAAAATAATTCCTGCTCGCTTTGATGAATGAAAACAAAATTAACGAATTACTTTATTTCATAAAGTAAAATTAAGAGTTTATTGAACACATTTTTTTTTTGAAACGAGTGAAACAAGAAAAGAACATAAATCAAAAACAATAAAATTAATGGATTTATAATGCTAATAACGTGTATGCCCACCTCTAATTCGAATCAATGCTTCATTGCAATATGACTCATTGAATAGCCCTCATCCACCAAAGTTAAGGCTTTTACTGCTTCTTCGGTCGATAAATTTTTTGGACAATTCATTTTTCAAGATTAAAATAACAAATAATGTATTCGATTTTGACACATCGCTTGAAATGTCAAAAATGGCCCATACCCTACTTGAACATATTTAACAATGAATGTTTTGAATAATACAGTCTATTAAAACATGTTACGCTATAAAACGGCGTATCTCTTTTAATAACAGAGATAATGAAGTAAACCAAAAAAGAAAATGTTAGCAAAAGATGGATCTACCGTCTAATGTCAACTGCTATATGTCTCGTTTGTTAGTATACTCCACAGGGTGATACGAATTTTCGGAAAAAAACATTACATTTTTATTACACCCGGTATAATCGAAAAGGAACTTTTTATCATAAACAGCGAAAATGATGACATTATCAAGGAACCAACCTATAATACAAAAAAAAAATCATCCAAATCGTATCATAAATTCAAACAAAAAATAGCATCAAAAATGTGACAAATTTATGATGTTGCGTTAATTTTGTCCAGGAGTGTATTAAGCTAGCAGGACCACATACAAAAATTTAAAAAAATAAATAAAAAAAAGGGTATAAATACAACGGCCAGAATATGTGCTAATTTGTGCCATCCAAAACAAGCAGCTAAATAGATTAATTCCCCTTGAAATAAGGGTGAATTATATTTATCACGATTAGGCTCAAGAGTAAAGTACCCGTTTTCACGAGCAAAGTTCAATTTGTACCGGTACATTCGAAGCATACTAATTTGTTCTTCACAAATATACACTTACGGATTTTGTACCTCTTACCCCTTCTCTGAAAAACCACCCCCGATAGCAATTTGCACGAGCAGAATTCAATTTGAACTGAATTCTGTTGAACTGGTTCAAATTGAATTCTGTTCATCGAAACGGGTACTTTACTCTTGAGCCCAATCGAGGTAAATATAATTCGCCCTTATTTCAAGGGGAATTAATCTATTTAGCTGCTTGTTTTGGATGGCACAAATTAGCACAAATTCTGGCCGTTGTATTTATACCCTTTTTTTTATTTTTTTTTTTTATTTTTGTATGTGATCCTGCTAGCTTAATACACTGCTGGACAAAATTAACGCAACATCATAAATTTGCCACATTTTTTATGCTATTTTTTTGTTTGAATTTATAATCCGATTTGGATGATTTTTTTTGTATTATAGGTTGGTTCCTTGACAATGTCATCATTTTCGCTGTTTATGATAAAATGTTCCTTTTCGATTATACCGGGTGTAATAAAAATGTAATGTTTTTTCCGAAAATTCGTATGACCCTGTGGAGTATACCAGCAAACAAGACATATAGCAGTTGACATTAGATGGCAGATCCATCTTTTACTAACATTTTCTTTTTTGGTTTACTTCATTATCTCTGTTATTAAAGGAGATACGCCGTTTTATAGCGTTATATGTTTTAATAGACTGTATTATTCAAAACATTCATTGTTAAATATTTTCAAGTAGGGTATGGGCCATTTTTGACATTTCAAGCGATGTGTCAAAATCGAATACATTATTTATTATTTTAATCTTGAAAAATGAATTGTCCAAAAAATTTATCGACCGAATAAGCAGTAAAAGCCTTAACTTTGGTGGATGAGGGCTATTCAATGAGTCATATTGCAATGAAGCATTGATTCGAATTAGAGGTGGGCATACACGTTATTAGCATTATAAATCCATTAATTTTATTGTTTTTGATTTATGTTCTTTTCTTGTTTCACTCGTTTCAAAAAAAAAATGTGTTCAATAAACTCTTAATTTTACTTTATGAAATAAAGTAATTCGTTAATTTTGTTTTCATTCATCAAAGCGAGCAGGAATTATTTTGTTATACAGATAACCAGATATCCTGCTAGCTTAATATTAACCCAGCAGCGCCACGATTTTTGTCAAACCGGCAGGTAGCACAAATTTTTTATTAGTGGCACAAATTAGCACAAAATAAGCACAAAAATAACGCAATAGGTCCGAATTGATTCTGCTAATTTGGTCCTGCCAGCTTGACAGAGATAGTAAACCAGCAAATAGAGCGTTTAAGAAACCTTACTTTGAACGAATAGACTCCTTCGATGAGCTGCTCCAAATGCAATTGCCCTTCGTTCTGGTGTTTGACGGCCGTACTGCCTTCGGGTTGGTGCAGAGAGATCCACTCATATTGGTACTTTTCGTCCGATTTACCAGGCACAGTGGCTTCGAGTTTGACTTCGTTGACGGGCAAACGAACTACTCGCGACTCCGCCTTGACTGCGATCGGTTTCGGGGTGACCGGGCGAGATTGGTTATTGACGTCTATTATTCGCTCGGATAGTAGACTGGGGACGCCTTCGGGGAGCGTGGTTTCGTCGAGGTTCGGGTAACATTCGCCCCGTTCGTTGCGGTAGAAACCCTCCAAGCAACCGCACATGCCTGGAAAATTTACGAAGATATTTGGTTTGTTCCTACAACAGTCAGAAATAGTCGGTGGACGTCAGGAGTCTGCGCAGTAATAATTTAGGCGTTCCAACAAACTCCACAGACATCTCTGATTCTGATTTGGTTAACAATTTATTGTTCCAACAGTTCGAGGGACTGGTTTTGTGATAGTCAGAAAAATTTGCTGATAGTACAGAGATTTAGTATCCGGCGCGAGCGCATTTTTAATTCGGGTTTAATTTGTATTTCTGAATATAGGTTAATTATTAGGTTATGTTGTTTGTTGTTTTTGTTTGATACTTGGTGAATATGTAATAAATGTAAAGACTGTTCCATCAAGAAATCGGAAATTTGATTACACCATTCAATCATAAACCGCGCATGCGAAATAGAAGAGTCAGAAACTTATTGGTAACAAATCAGTGACTTTTTGTAGGAACAAACCTATTTATGTACGTAAAGAACATTCGCGCTCGCTAGGCGATGACGTCGTGAGCCAACGTGTTGCAACGTTGCCGGGTTGAAATGAAAATGTTGATGTGACAGATATATTTCATTTAAAGGTTATGTTAACTTTCGTTGTTTAGTAATTAATAAGATGAAATGCATTAGGCTGCAATACGATTGACGGGAGAGGTGTTTATTTGCAACGCTTCACAACCCTATAAAACAGAAATATACATTTAAAAAAACTATTCGTAAGTTTAACATAACCTATAAATTTCAATGTGCTGAACTATCGAAAATATTGATCGGGAATTAATCGGGAAAAAAGGGCCTACATCGTCCTGTTCCCTCCCAAAATGGGTCGAAAAACACGGAAAATCGCGGGAGAAACTGTCGATAAATGTAAATAAACCGCACGAAAAACTATCTAGAACGAACGAAAAATACAAAAACTACTCGTAAACTCGAAAAAATACAGGAATATCGCGCAAAAACAACAAATTGTAGTCATAACCTGTCAATGTGTCAACTACAAAGCGCCGCTAAATATTGCAAATGTTGAGACTAATGCATGACAACATCGCTTTCGACTTTCAACTAGGCATCGTTAAATTCCCCTAGTCAAATGGTAGAATTAACATTGACACTAGGGAAATGTCGAACTGCGTGGAAATTAATGACGTCGTCTAAAAATGACGTCATTGCCTAGCGAACGCGAATGTCCTTTAGTGTTAATGTTAATTCTCCCATTTGACTAGGGGAATTTAACGATGTCTAGTTGAAAGTCGAAAGCGATGTTGTCATGTATTAGTCTCAACATTTGCAATATTTAGCGGCGCTTTGTAGTTGAGACTTTGACAGGTTATGACTACAATTTGTTGTTTTTGCGCGATTTTCCTTTATTTTTTCGAGTTTACGAGTAGGTTTTGTGTTTTTCGTTCGTTCTAGATACTTCTTCGTGCGGTTTATTTACATTTATCGGCAGTTTCTCCCGTGATTTTCGGTGTTTTTCGACCTATTTTGGGAGGGAACGGGACGATGTAGGCCCTTTTTTCCCGATTAATTCCCGATCAATATTTTCGATAGTTCAGCAAATTGAAATTTATAGGTTATGTTAAACTTACGAATAGTTCTTTTAAATGTATATTTCTGTTTTATAGGGTTGTGAAGCGTTGCAAATAAACACCTCTCCCGTCAATCGGATTGCAACCTAATCCATTTCTTCTTTTTAATTACTAAACAACGAAAGTTAACATAACCTTTAAATGAAATATATCTGTCACATCAACATTTTCATTTCAACCCGGCAACGTTGCAACATATTGGCTCGTGACGTCATCGCATAGCGAGAGCGAATGTCCTTTATTCGGTGAATAAATGTTAATTTACCCGATCTCGAATTGGGATATATAGGCATGCATATTTCGTTCATCGAACAGTACCCCCCGACGCCCACTTCGCAGTTGGAATCTTCGCCCGATTGTTGGTTGTTTACGATATTCCTAAGGACGTTCTTGAAACGTTTTCGGTCGCTTAAAAAATTCAAAATGGCCTTATCTTCCGGCCTCGGCAGCAAACCTACGAGAGATTATTTAATATGCGAGTAATTAATACGTGCGAATCGGTGGCACCTTCTTGAAGTAACACCTCGTCCCAGCTCCGCAAATCGACTGGTTTTACTAGGACCAATGAAAGTTCGTCGGAGTTGTTCGTGTTAGGGTTGATAGTGGGTAGACAGAGCTCGTTGGTGTGGCAATCGATGTGATAGCATTTCGTGCTGAGCATAAAAGCCACATTGCATTTTTCCTTCAAACAACATTCCAGCACGCAGGTTTTCAGTTTCGATGCGCCGGGCACCTCGTTGAAAATACCTGCGATATTGGTTATTTTGGAATTATCTGTTAAAGTGTGATGTAACAAGTTAGATACCTGCACTCAAATTGCCTCGGGGTGTATGACCGGTGAAGACTTTCTTGTAGATCTGCGGGCATTGGTCGTCGATGTTGAAATTTCTGTATAGCTGGCAACATTTCAGGCATAATGCGATCACTATGAAAAATATCTGTACCTTCATTTTCTGAAAAATTGAAATTTATTTTGTCGCAAAATCGCTGCGTGTTTTAGCAAGTTTACCGGTCGATTGAAGCGTATAATCTTAGTAATGCGTTTAGAAATAATTGATCATTATATGTAAATTAAATTTTCTGAAAGAAAACTACAAAATTACAACACAATCAACCATCAAAACGAAATGCACAATTTTTTTTGTGTTATCGAGTTGTCAAAATTGCAGCTGTCAAGAACACATGACTTCTTCTTCTCACTCGGAAAAATCTTGCCTCTTACTGGTTAGTTATTCGCAATAGTAAATCGCTTAAGATTATAGAAATCAAATTTTCAGAAGGAAAACTATAAAATTACAATACAATCAACCGTTAATACAAAAGGAAATGTAAATGCTCAATTTTTTTTGTGTTAACGAGTTGTCATAATTGTAGCTGTCAAGGAAACATTACTTCTTCTTTTCACTCGGAAAATTCTTGCCTCTTACTGGTTAGTTATTCGCAATAGTAAATCGCGTCAGATTATAGACATAAAATTTTCAGAAGGAAAACTATAAAATTACAACACAATCAACCGTTAATACAAAAGGAAATGTAAATGCTCAATTTTTTTTGTGTTAACGAGTTGTCAAAATTGTAGCTGTCAAGGAAACATTACTTCTTCTTTTCTCACTCGGAAAATTTTAGCTTCTTACTCGTTATTCGCAATAGTAAATCGCGTCAGAATATAGAAATCAAATTTTCAGAAGGAAAACTATAAAATTACAACACAATCAACCGTTAATACAAAAGGAAATGTAAATGCTCAATTTTTTTTGTGTTAACGAGTTGTCAAAATTGTAACTGTCAAGGAAACATTACTTCTTCTTTTCTCACTCGAATAATTTTAGCTTCTTACTCGTTATTCGCAATAGTAAATCGCGTCAGATTATAGAAATCAAATTTTCAGAAGGAAAACTACAAAATTACAACACAATCAACCGTTAATACAAAAGGAAATGTAAATGCTCAATTTTTTTGTGTTATCGAGTTGTCAAAATTGCAGCTGTCAAGAACACATTACTTCTTCTTTTCTCACTCGAATAATTTTTGCTTCTTACTCGTTATTCGCAATAGTAAATCGCGTCAGAATATAGACATAAAATTTTCAGAAGGAAAACTATAAAATTACAACACAATCAACCGTTAATACAAAAGGAAATGTAAATGCACAATTTTTTTGTGTTATCGAGTTGTCATAATTGTAGCTGTCAAGGAAACATTACTTCTTCTTTTCACTCGGAAAATTCTTGCCTCTCACTGGTTAGTTATTCGCAATAGTCAATCGCGTCAGATTATAGACATAAAATTTTCAGAAGGAAAACTATACAATTACAACACAATCAACCGTTAATACAAAAAGAAATGTAAATGCTCAATTTTTTTTGTGTTAACGAGTTGTCAAAATTGTAACTGTCAAGGAAACATTACTTCTTCTTTTCTCACTAGAATAATTTTAGCTTCTTACTCGTTATTCGCAATAGTAAATCGCGTCAGAATATAGAAATCAAATTTTCAGAAGGAAAACTATAAAATTACAACACAATCAACCGTTAATACAAAAGGAAATGTAAATGCTCAATTTTTTTTGTGTTAACGAGTTGTCAAAATTGTAACTGTCAAGGAAACATTACTTCTTCTTTTCTCACTCGAATAATTTTAGCTTCTTACTCGTTATTCGCAATAGTAAATCGCGTCAGATTATAGAAATCAAATTTTCAGAAGGAAAACTACAAAATTACAACACAATCAACCATTATAATACAAAAGATAGACAAAATATAAGACATATTTCTTTCTCTATGATTTTTTTCCCAAAAATTGCAGCTGTCGAAATGACTTATTCCTCTTTCACTTGGAGCCTCTTACTAGTCAGTTATGTATTCGAACACAGCTCATTTTTCAACTTCTCGAAATACACCAACTCCCGAGGGTTAATAGACGGTTTCACGTCTACCAAAGAGCTTTTAAAATCATTAAAACCAACAACCACGTCTTCAGCAGTAACATCATCCGAAGAAACCAAACCTACAATTAAAAAAACAAAGCGATAAAACATACATTCACGTCATTATGACAAATCCCAAGTATCAAACCCCAACAAAAAAATTCATCCGAAAACGTGAACTAACAAACATGTGCGAAGAAGTAGAAAACAGTACCCTAGATATCAACAATTAATGAACCGATTAATACCGAAATACAAACACATTAGCGTTCGAAACCGAAGAACCGATGAACAGCGGGGGCAAAGGCAAAGACACCGGCAGCTGCCCCAAACAGTGCGCCTGCAGCCCCTGCAAATGCGACAAGAGCGGCCCCGCGCCCTGCCATTGCAAGCGCTGCAAATGCATAATTTGCTCGAAGAAAACCCCCAAAGATCAGGAGGACGGCGGACGGGAGCCCGTGAAATGCAACTGCGTGAATCCCTGCACGTGCAAACCTTGCAAAGACCCCACCAAGGCTAAACCCTCGAAACCCAAATCGGCGAATCGGCCAAAATCTTCGAGCAACGATCGCAAATGCTAAGTATGAATAGAAATTGTGGAAGTTTTCGTTACCGTTTTCGATGCTATTTACTAGTCTTCTCGCCGCTTCCAGCCAGGCGTTCGAGCATATACCGTAAAAATCCGCTCCCGTTATATTCTTCGGACAAACGCCTACGATTTCCTCCAAATTAACGTCCTTATCTAAGTTAAACCTGAAATTTCAACAACGTTAATTGTTGTATGGGCAAGAGAAATGCAATTATTAGCTAGTTTACCGCTTAGTAAGAGCCCTTAGAACCGATATTTTCGATTGGTCGTCAGTACAAGGCCCGATGTATAGTAATTTATCGAAGCGTCCCGGTCGCAGTAGAGCCGGGTCGATCAAATCCGGTCGATTTGTAGCACCTGGAATGTTATAAAAATGTTACTAAAAACGATACGAAACTTATAGCGTTTTCCGTTGGTAAAAAAGTGCGCACTGAAAGTGCACTCGAAAGCAAAATTTTTGTTTCATTTGGTGCACTTTGCGAGTGTTTTGACTTCCATTGGCAATTTGACCACCAAAAAACACTTTTGGAAATCAAAACACTCGCAAAGTCCACCAAATAAAACAAAAATTTCGCTTTGAGTGCATTTTCAGTGAGCACTTTTTTACCAATGGAAAACGCCATTAGGTTTCCACGGGTACACCGTGAAATATCCAAGAAACATTGTTTGGGTAGGATAGGGAAGGTTTGTCTAACTTAAGGTCCTATATTTCTGAGGTCTGGAATCGAAAAAGTGTCGAATAAAGGGTCGAAAAAGTGTCCCGATATTTGAGTATAAAACAGGGTTCCTAAAACAGCCGCTAGAAGGCGATGTTGTAAAGGATCACGGTTTTTTGCGTACGAATTACATAGAATTATCATTAAGAAAGGTTATATTCGAACTAAATATAAAGGGCTTTTCACGGTAACCGTGAATTAGAAGTATCTCAATAATGAAAAGATTTAAAAATCTGAAATTTTTGGTTATAGTATTTTTTGGATAATTTGAATTGATCTAAAATATTTTCATTTTGGTTACACTTCCGGTTATACCGGAAGTTGATACCAACTTCGTTATTTTATATGTAAAGTGCCAGTTTTAACTTCATTTTTGAATTCTATGGCCTTTTTTAACTAGACTTTGATAATAACACCATATTCCAAAAATGCACCATTTTTATGATATTATAATTTTTTTGATATTTTTTGGGAAAACTGTCGAAGGTATTTTTTATGATATCTCTGTTAATAATGCAGCTAGAAGCTTGAAATTGAGTATCAATGATGTCCAGAAATACTACTAAATGAAACTAAACTGTATTTTCAGAATCCATGTACAGGGCGTTTAAAATTGTCTGACAAACTTGGCCAAATTAAAGTGGTCATAACATTGTTATTTCAAATGGACCATCCTGTATTTTTTAACAGTGACCAATGCAGTTTTTTAAGACCTTAATTATTAAATGTCCGCCATTTTGTAGCAGGTGCAGATATTGACTTTATATTCCATGGTTGTAGAGTATTTGTCAGGAGCTTCAAAATGATGTATCACAAGACCCCCCTTTCCATTTAAATTTATTTCCCAAGATGGCGCCCAGTCGCCATCTTGAAATTTCCATCTGTCAATTTTACTTAAAAATATAGTAATCACGCGTTAGTTTCATTATCCCAAATTTCAATTTTCTAAGTTGATCCGTTCAAAAAATAAAAGGGGGATAAAGAAATGCACTGTACAAAACGTAAAATAGAAACTTACCTATAATGAAAATTGTTCCGGATTCGTTCAAACCGTCCATTTCGGCCAACAATTGGGACACCACTCTGTCCATGACGCCGCCCGAATCGCCGGATATCCCCCGATTGGGCGCCAACGAGTCCAATTCGTCGAAGAATATAATGCAGGGGGACGCCTCGCGGGCTCGTTGAAACACTTAATAGTTAGAAACATACAGAGTTGGGCAAAAGTCCGGAATAAAATTATTATCTTTTGAACCAGTAATTTAAACAAAAAACGCCGAAACACGTAAATTGATTTTATATTGTACGGATTTGTTGCCAATAAAATGATTTTTTTTTCTTCAACCCCTTAGTTGCAACCCTACCCAACTTTATTTTTTCAAATGCAAAGGTATGTCGTGTGTAGGGTCATTGAAAAGCCCGTGAAAAATGGAATCTAAAACATACCTTTTTTTTTATTTTTCTCATGTTGTTATTTGGAAATGAGCAAAAAATTCTTTTAAAAACAAATATGTTACAAATACTTTTTTAGTGGTATCGACGTGTGAATTAAGGCTTACTCTTAAGGCTCCAACGCAATGGTAAAACCTAATATCGGTAGCCTATCTTTAATTCTGAATGAACTTTTATTAAAAGCAGGCGAGCCTGGTCAGGCAAAACACCAAATTTTATTGATTTACCGTTTAAAACTGATAAGGCAATTTAGCATCAACATTCGTTGAAATTTATGTTTTAAGAAAAAACAAAAACATAAAATGGGTTTAAATCTAAGCCATTGTTGATCAGTGAACTTCAAAAAGGAAAACAGGTGTTGGCATTTTTGTACAAGTTTTTTTTTACCAAAGGTTCGCCTGTTTTTATTAAAAAGTCATTCAGAATTAAAGATATGCTATCGATATTACGTTTTACCAATGCCTGGGAGCCTGTCAAATAGATGGTGAAGGGCATTTTCAACATTGCTACGTCGATAGCACTAAAAAGGTATTTGTAACTTTCTTGTTTTTAAAAGAAATTTTTGCTCATTTCCAAATAACAACATGAGAAAAATAAAAAAAAAGGTATGTTTTAGATTCCATTTTTCACGGGCTTTTCAATGACCCTACACACGACATACCTTTGCATTTGAAAAAATAAAGTTGGGTAGGGTTGCAACTAAGGGGTTGAAGAAAAAAAAATCATTTTATTGGCAACAAATCCGTCCAATATAAAATCAATTTACGTGTTTCAGCGTTTTTTGTTTAAATTACTGGTTTAACAGATAATAATTTTATTCCGGACTTTTGCCCAACCCTGTATACCTATTAACTAATATACTGTTAACTCCCTATCTATTCCATGAGAGAAAATAGTAGCGATTAAAGAGAGAGATCCGACCCACTGTGGTGTGCTTAGTCGTTTATACGCAAGCGCGTTAATTTCAAAAGGACCAATAGCGAGTAGGTGAGGCCTAAAAAGAAAAGAAGGAAAATAATACTTGAAATCGTGTTTAAATTCGGTAACCTGCCATATTTACACAGGCAAGTCAAAGTCGATTTTAAAAATATATCAAAAAATATACCAAAATAAAAGCTAGCACGTTTCTGACGTTTCATTTGCTCTGTCAAAAGTAGCCAATCAAAACGCATCTTTCACTTGAGCATGCGCATAAATAAGCAAGCACACCACAGTATAATGTTTGCTACGGTTTTAGACCATTATAGAGTAACTAAGGAGATTTTTTCATTATTTGACAGTTTTACATTGTTGTTATGGAGTAACTAAGGAGATTCTTTCATTTGACAGTTTTACATTGGTTGTTATGGAGTAACTAAGGAGATTCTTTCATTTGACAGTTTTACATTGGTTGTTATGGAGTAACTAAGGAGATTCTTTCATTATTTGACAGTTTTAACAGCAAAACGCATCTTTCACTTGAGCATGCGCATAAATAAGCAAGCACACCACAAGTATAATGTTTGCTACGGTTTTAGACCAATATTAGCGGTATAGTAGATAATAGGTATATGGTTAGAAATTAGTCGGGAAAAATTTTGGGGGATATATTTTTTTTTGTATCGGTTTACCTTCTCGGATGTTTTGCTCGGATTGTCCCACGTACATGTTCAACAGTTCGGGACCTTTCACCGATAGAAAGCACAAATTGCATTCGGTGGCCACCGCTTTGGCGATTAGAGTTTTACCGGTGCCCGGCGGACCGAATAGTAAGATGCCTGCGAAATTTAACGTGTATAGCCTTAGATTATACAGTGAGGATCAAAAGTCAGTCGCCCCCCCTTTAACTTTTGAATGGTAAGAGCTTTTGTCGCGCAATTTGGGGTGTTTATATTGGAGTAAAAATGCTATTTTTTGACGTAAAAATGATAGTTGAAACTTTTAAAATGACAGTTAGGCGCCATTTTTATTTTTTTTTCTTATGGAAAGGGGGGTCAAGTGACACCTCGTTTTAAAGGTAATTTCATTCTTAAGTCAACCCCCAAATGTGAAATCATTTTAATAATGCGTTTTCACGTGAAGACCAATTTAGTTTTAACCCTCGGGCATATTGATGTATTTAAAAATTAATTCTGAACGTACTATATAAAATGTATCAATTAATTTTTGCTATGGTTTCTTGGCTCTGACATTTATTTGTCAAATTTAAAGTTGATGAAATTGACAGTTTTTTCGTTTAAAGGACGAGCCATTGTTTTAAAACCAAGATTTTAAAAACGAGGTGTCACTTGACCCCCCTTTCTATAAGAAAAAAATATTCAAAATGGCGTCTAACTGTCATTTTAAAAGTTTCAACTGTCATTTTTACGTCAAAAAATAGCATTTTTACTCCAATATAAACACCCCAAATTGCGCGACAAAAGCTCTTACCATTCAAAAGTTAAAGGGGGGGCGACTGACTTTTGGTCCTCACTGTATACTAACGTGGATAAGTAGACAGGGGTAAAATCTGTTGCCAACATATTCACGACGTACTTTTATAACCCGTCCTTGTTTGACACTCGCTAGTTTCTAACGGTGTGTCTTTGTCTTGGAATCTTTGACAATTTTGACGTATATAGTTAGCGCCAAATTTAAATATTCATGTTTCAAAACTATTTTAAGATGCTTGTTGTTTACCTCAGTGTTATGTATAAACCGCAAACACTAAACACAAACCAATCCAATAATCTAAAATCCAAATATAATAATAATACGACGCCATGACAGTTATGAAGCAAATGTCAAATGTCATAGTGTCAATGCCAGTGCCAGAAAAGGACGCATCGACATTGCCAAATGTCTAATAGCTATTTCTTATTTCTACTTTTCTTTTACTACAAATAAGTAATCGAGCAGCTGTTTTGTACAATAATTAGTTAATTAAAATGTATACGCATTTAAATATTATTACTGCATTTCAAAACAATTATTTTAGATAATAAATATAAATATTTTTATCGAACATTGTACGTAATAAAAGAGTGGAAAATTACAACAAATGTGTGAACCTGGCAACAAGGGCGAGTTTCCTAATGTATCTGTTATATACTTATAAATACGTTCAGATTTTTAAAGCGCATGCTCAATTGGTAGACCAAAACAAAGATAAATCTATGCTGAATTCCATAGAGCAAAAAAAGAGAGTATAATTTAGGCATGTTGTAGATGTTGGCAACAGGAATGCAAATGTAATGCTTATGGCATTGATGCATCCACGTTAGTATACAGGGTGTCTCAGAATAACTATTCCTAATTTTCAGAAATGATGAAGGGCACTTAAAAAAACATTTTTTATCAATACACTAGTGTCCGAAAATGTCTCGGTGTCAAGGAAAATTAGAGGTCTTTAAAAACAATCTCGGTTTTTACAGCAGGAAAGATTTTAGTTATTTTTTTACTAAATTGAAAAATTTAATCAGAGCAACCGGTCAAAAACGTCGGTCCTTTTACAATATTCGATTCGGTATTGAGATTTTTAAGTAGCGAAAACATCAAAACTATTTTTATGTTTTTAACAGCAAGCTACATTAATCTTGAATTCTAAATTATTGTGTCTTTATAATTACTAACCATAGGCCGAATAGCCCTGGCAACTGTTGTATTATTTTTAATACTAATGTTCCTGCTTCAATTTAATAATGTTGGATAGAGATTCGTTTTTAAATAAACTGCTCCACAAAAGTTAAGGAAGTTCGCAAATTTTGCGATTATTTTCAAAGTTACAGACTTTATGATCACCAAATTTTCAAATATGCGAAATTAAATGTTTTCTCTCATATCTGAGTGGATTTTTTGCCCCTACCTCTACAATTCATTCTAAATTTGGCGATCGAAAAACCTGCAACTTTTAAATTAACCTCAATATTTGTGAACTTCCTTAACTTTTGTGGAGCAGTATATTTCTAGTTTTCTTGACACCGAGCCATTGTCGGACACTAGTTTATAAATAAAAAATGTTTATTTAAGTGTCCTTTATCATTTCTGAAAATTAGGAATAGTTATTCTGAGACACCCTGTATATAATCTAAGTGTACAGCTTATCTCAAAACATGTTATTATCGAATACCTGAACGTTTCAATCCGGTTTTCTTTACGAAATCTGGATGCTTCAACGGTAGATTGATAGTTTTGATGATTTCTTGTTTAACTTCCGTTAAACCGCCCACGTCGGTCCAAAGTACTTTTGGTACTTTGGCTGCGCCTATGCTTCGATTGTAGCTCTTTTGCATGTATTCTAAAAATTAGATTGTTATACAGTGTGTGTCACGACGATGGACCATTAGAAGTATCTGGAAAAGTAGTGGTAATTAAAATTTGAAAATTTGTGTACAAGTATTAGTCGATGCGCTCTATTCAATGAAAATATTTTCAACTTTTCTTTACTTCCGGTTATACCGGAAGTGGACAGCAACTTTGTTATTTTAAATGGGACACCACATATATTAATATATTTTCGAAATGTACGCAAAATTTTTGAGTGCTTTTGTCTAAAAAACTTTTTTCAAAAATGCATACTTTTTGAGTTACTATTTTTTTTTTGAAAAATTTGCAGACCCTTATAAATTATTTTTTTACGGGGATCTCTTTAATAATATGTTTGCGGTGTCTGTAGGGTGGCCACTAGCAAGGTCAAAGGTATTTGAATCTGTGTTAAAAAACTTTTTATTTTATACAGGGTGTATATAAAACATGTGAAAAGTTGAACTTCAAAAATACCAAGTTTTTTGATTTTTTTAAATGAAACCATCCATGTTTTTCTATTTTATTGAAATCAGCGGTAAAAAATAAGGGAAGTTCATGTTTACTTCTCTATACCTAAACCTAATAGGTTTGAAAATATTAAAAATTTTACTTAGAACTTATTTTTCAGTCTTATTCTTAAATAATCCGTTTTTACAAGTTGACCATGTAAATTGTTTGTAATTAATTGGTTTAACTTGTAAAACCGAGTTAATTAAGAATAAGGCAGAAAAATAAGTTTTAAGTAAAATTTTTAATATTTTCAAAACTATTAGGTTTAGGTATAGAGAAGTAAACATGAACTTCCCTTATTTTTTACTGCTGATTTCAAGAAAATAGAAAAAAATTGGTGGTTCCATTTAAAAAAATTAAAAAACTTGGTATTTTTGAAGTTAAACTTTTCACATGTTTTGTATACACCCTGTATAAAATAAAAAGTTTTTTAACACAGATTCAAATACCTTTGACCTTGCTAATGGCCACCCTACAGAAACCATATCCATATCTTTAAAGGGATCCCCGTAAAAAAATAATTGATAAGGGTCTGCATCGGTCAAATTTTTCAAAAAAAAAATTAGTAACTCAAAAAGTATGCATTTTTGAAAAAAGTTTTTTAGACAAAAGCACTCTAAAAGTTTGCGTACATTTCGAAAATATATTAATTTATGGGGTGTCCCATTTAAAATAACAAAGTTGCTGTCCATTTCTGGTATAACTGGAAGTAAAGAAAAGTTGAAAATATTTTCATTGAATAGAGCGCATCGACTAATACTTGTACACATATTTTCAAATTTTAATTACAACTACTTTTCCAGATACTTCTAATGGGCCCTCGTCGTGACACACACTGTAGAAATTGTAATTAATTGCAATTACAATTACAAAATTTGCGAATGTAATTACAATTACAATTAAAATTACAATCACAATTACTTTGCTTTGGTGTCAGTTTTAAATAATTATTTAGGGATTTGCAATCGGAATTAAACTTTCCACGTATTGAAAATATTAAATAAGTACTTTTGTGTCCAATGTAATTGAAATGTAATTGTAAAATGTAATTGTAAGTGTAAAATGTAATTTTAATTGTAAAATGTAATTGTAATTGTAACGAATGGAGTAATTGAATTACAAATGAATTACAATTGAGTAATTCAATTACTATTACTATTCAATTACTTTTTTAATTACATGTAATTAATTACTTAACAACACTGGTAATTGTAAAATGCAATTGTAATTTTAACGAAAGGAGTAATTGAATTACAAATGAATTACAATTGAGGCAGCTTGTAATTAATTACCGCCTCAATTACAATAAAAGTAATTCAATTACTTTTTCAATTACTTGTAATTAATTACTTAACAACACTGGTAATTGTAAAATGCAATTGTAATTTTAACGAAAGGAGTAATTGAATTACAAATGAATTACAATTGAGGCAGCTTGTAATTAATTACCGCCTCAATTACAATAAAAGTAATTCAATTACTTTTTCAATTACTTGTAATTAATTACTTAACAACACTGACTATATGCATATAAACTGCTCCACAAAAGTTGAAGAAGTTTTCGCAAATTTTGCGATTATTTTAAAAGTTACAGATTTTTTGATCGCCAAATTTTCAAATATGCGAAATTAAATGTTTCCTCTCATATCCGAGCGAATTTTTTGCCCCTATCTCTACAATTCGTACTAAATTTGGCGATCAAAAAACCTGCAACTTTTAAATTATTCTTAATATTTGTGAACTTCCTTAACTTTTGTGGAGCAGTACAGGGTTGGGCAAAAGTCCGGAATAAAATTATTATCTGTTAAACCAGTAATTTAAACAAAAAACGCTGAAACACGTAAATTGATTTTATATTGGACGGATTTGTTGCCAATAAAATGATTTTTTTTTCTTTAACCCCTTAGTTGCAACCCTACCCAACTTTATTTTTTTAAATGCAAAGGTATGTCGTGTGCAGGGTCATTGAAAAGCCCGTGAAAAATGGAATCTAAAACATACCTTTTTTTTCTTTTTCTCATGTGGTTGGTTAGAAATGAGCAAAAAATTCTTTTAAAAACAAATATGTTACAAATTTCTTTTTAGTGCTATCGACGTGTGAATTAAGGTAGCAGATGTTGGGAATGTCCTCAACCCTCTACTTAATAGGCTCCAAGGCGATGGTAAAACCTAATATCGGTAGCCTATCTTTAATTCTGAATGAATCTTTATTGATTTTCCGTTTAAAACTGATAAGGCAACTTAGCATCAACATTTGTTGAAATTTATGTTTTAAGAAAAAACTAAAACATAATATGGGTTTAGTTCTAAGCCATTGTTGATTAGTGAAATTCAAAAATGAAAAAAAGGTGTTGCATTTTTGTACAAGTTTTTTTTTACCTAAGGTTCGTCTGTTTTTATTAAAAAGTCATTCAGAATTAAAGATATGCTATCGATATTACGTTTTACCAACGGCTGGGAGCCTGTCAAGTAGATGGTGGAGGACATTTTCAACATTGCTACGTCGATAACACTAAAAAGGTATTTGCAACTTTCTTGTTTTTAAAAGAAATTTTTGCCCATTTTCAAATAACAACATGAGAAAAAATAAAAAAAAGGTATGTTTTAGATTCCATTTTTCACGGGCTTTTCAATGATCCTACACACGACATACCTTTGTATTTAAAAAAATAAAGTTGGGTAGGGTTGCAACTAAGGGGTTGAAGAAAAAAAAATCATTTTATTGGCAACAAATTCGTCCAATATAAAATCAATTTACGTGTTTCAGCGTTTTTTGTTTAAATTACTGGTTCAAAAGATAATAATTTTATTCCGGACTTTTGCCCAACTCTGTATATTTTCCAACGGTGTATGCTTAACAATACTGAGTTAACACTAACCTACGGCTTGTGTTAGTTTATCCTGGTTGATGCATTCGGAGCGTTTCCGGGCGTAGTAAATCAAAGCCTTCAAATCTTCGTAGAAGAATCCGTGAGTTTTTTGGGCGATTTCGTCGAAATCGACGCCCGAATCGAGTTTACATCCGGCGGTGATCCATTTTAGGGCTTCCGCTCGTTCGTCGCCGGTGGGGGCTCGAATTTCGAAGGTTTCGAGGAAGGATTTCCGCAAATTCGACGGTATTGTATCCTGATCGGTACAGCAAAATAGCAGGATCGGTAGAGAATTGTTTTCGAACAAGATGTTTAATTCGTCGGCGAAATTGCCGGCGATGCGCTCGTCGTATTGCCCGTCGTTGTTTTTGCCGAAGTGCTGAAATTTCATTTTATAGTACATTATACAGTGCATTTCTTTAATGTCCCCCCCCCCTTTTATTTTTTGAACGGATCAACTTAGAAAATTGAAATTTAGGATAACAAAACTAATGCATGATTACTATAGGTTTGTTCCTACAGAAAGTCACTGATTTGTTACCAATAAGTTTCTGACTCTTCTATTTCGCATGCGCGGTTTATGATTAAATGGTGTAATCAAATTTCCGATTTCTTGATGGAACAGTCTTTACATTTATTACATATTCACCAAGTATCAAACAAAAACAACAAACAACATAACCTAATAATTAACCTATATTCAGAAATACAAATTAAACCCGAATTAAAAATGCGCTTGCGCCGGATTCTAAATCTCTGTACTATCAGCAAATTTTTCTGACTATCACAAAACCAGTCCTTTGAACTGTTGGAACAATAAATTGTTAACCAAATCAGAATCAGAGATATCTGTGGAGTTTGTTGGAACGCCTAAATTATTACTGCGCAGACTCCTGACGATTACCGGCTATTTCTGACTGTTGTAGGAACAAACCTTATATTTTGGAGTAAAATTGACAGATGAAAATTTCAAGATGGCGACTGGGCGCCATCTTGGGATATAAATTTAAATGGAAAGGGGGGTCTTGTGACACATCATTTTGAAGCTCCTGACAAGTACTGTACAACCCTGGAATATAAAGTCAATATCTGCACCCATTTCAAAATGGCGGAACATTTAATAATTACCTGAATACAAATTAATATCAATTTTTCTAAAAATATTTGCTTTTCTATGGCAAACAGCAATCCCAACAAACCGATAAGGTTTGACAGGTTATTTTTGGTTAAAAAAATTCCAAAAAATTTAAGTTCGACAACGAACATTTATTGTTTAGTCAAAATATTCTCATTTAGTTTTTGGTTTTCCTAGTGTTCAAAATATTCTCTTTACTTTTCGATTTTCCTAGTGTTTAAAGTAGTTTCATTTAGTTTTCGGTTGTTTAGTTCTTATTGTAGTTAGGTAGCACGTGAACTAACTCTAAAATTGCCAATTCTCGTCCATTGGAAGATGGAGCACCACCACATTACTCCAGACAAGTAATGAACTATTTGGATGCTATTTTCCCTGGTCGTTGGACTGGCCAGCCCGCTCGCCAGATTTGACACCTTTATACTTTTTTTATGGGGTTATTTGAAGCAAAAAGTGTACGAAACTGAACCTGCTTCAATATTGGTTATACGAGAAATAATTACAGATATTTGTAGAAACATCGACGTTACTATGTTCGAAAATGTTCGGATAGGCTGTTCATATATCAAGAAGTTAAAGGCAACCATTTCGAGCATTTTTTAACTAAACTCAGCTTATTTCCTCAAATTATGACATTAAACGTCGATGTATTCAGGTAATTAATAAATGTCCGCCATTTTGTAGCAGGTGCATATATTGACTTTATATTCCAGGGTTGTAGAGTATTTGTCAGGAGCTTCAAAATGATATATCACAAGCCCCTCCCTTTCCATTTAAATTTATTTCGCAAGATGGCGTCCAGTCGCCATCTTGAAATTTTCATTTGTCAATTTTACTCCAAAATATAGTAATCATGCATTAGTTTCATTATCCCAAATTTCAATTTTCAAAGAAATGCACTGTATAGAAAATTATATACGGAAATTCCTTAAATTTTTATTTATTTTTTTTTAACTAACTTTTCTAGATATCTTTTTTTTAACAAAAATTAAACTCTTTTTTTGAAAATATTGAAATTTATTGAAGAAGACAAATAATAGAAGGAATTTTCGTATAAAATTTCCTTTGGGCTAAATTTTAGATTAGGAACAAGATATCGAGATGCGGTTTTCGCGAGCTTGTTTAGGCATCATTTAACTAATTAATTATTAAGTTAATTGATAATTGACAATTTAAACAAAGTGTGGCAAAAATTTCCGATGCTCAGGCTTTATGAGTTACTTATACCTTCTACATTAATCAAATAAAAATTTTGAAAAAGTGTATACAGGGTGAAATATTAAGTTTGGAAAAATTTACCTCTTTTGTTGAAGACGGTCCTGAAATTTTTTAATTCTGAATATGCCAGTATGTTGCTGGTTCAAAATGTATACCTTTACCCAGTGATGTTAAAATTACTTTATAATATGTAATTAATTACAATTACAATTACTTTTGGCAAATTGTAATTAATTGCAATTACAATTACAATATTTGCGAATGTAATTACAATTAAAGTTACAATTACAATTACAATTACTTTGCTTTGGTGTCAGTTTTAAATAATTATTTAGGGATTTGCAATCGGAATTAAACTTTCCACGTATTGAAAATATTAAATAAGTACTTTTGTGTCCAATGTAATTGAAATGTAATTGTAAAATGTAATTGTAATTGTAACTAAAGGAGTAATTGAATTACAAATGAATTACAATTGAGGAGCTTGTAATTAATTACCGCCTCAATTACAATAAAAGTAATTCAATTACTTTTTCAATTACTTTTTCAATTACTTGTGATTAATTACTTAACAACACTGCCTTTACCAAAAAATGAACCAAACCGAAATAACCACCATAAAGATATAAACAAAAAAAAAATCGTCAAAATTCATAAACCACCCTGTATCTCCTTATAGAGAAGAAGCGAATAGAACTTTTAATAGTCGTATAATATTCACCTTAAGTACCTCTATACACTGTTACAAGTATGTACGATTCCCCACGACTCACCCTGTATATGGTAAAAGGAACTTACCTCGAAATTGTGCATGGATACCAAGCAAGGAGCGGCCATTTTGGCGTTGAAGAAGGCGTTGTGTAATTTCGTTTCGTTTTGCGCATAAACGTTGCCCATCAATTCGAAATTGTCGATTTTATAATGATGCATTCCGAGGCGATCAGCCAATGAGGACACGAGCAAGTCCTTGCCGCTTCCGGCGTTTCCTACCACCAAAAAAGCCGGTTTCAACGGCAATTTTACTGCAATAAAAAAAAACACTAATTACTCTACAATACTTAATTACGAGGGTAGGGCGAAGGGTTCTCGGTGTCGATGATTTAGAACAGTGTCGAACCGTTTAGAACGCGTCAAAACCATTTATAGCGCTCCGAAATGAATTAGAACTGTCTAGAACGCTCCAGAGTAAGTTAAAATAGTTTAGAACCATTTAGAACGTTCCAAAATCAATTGGAACTGTCCAGAACGCTCCAGAGTAAATTAGAACGGTCTAGAACCATTTATAACGCTCCAAAATCAATTAGAACTGTCTAGAACGCTCCAGAGTAAATTAGAACGGTCTAGAACCATTTATAACGCTCCAAAATCAATTAGAACTGTCTAGAACGCTCCAGAGTAAGTTAAAACGGTCTAGAACCATTTATAACGCTCCAAAATTAATTAGAACTGTCTAGAACGCTCCAGAGTAAGTTAAAATGGTTTAGAACCATTTAGAACGTTCCAAAATCAATTGGAACTGTCTAGAACGCTCCAGAGTAAATTAGAACGGTCTAGAACCATTTATAACGCTCCAAAATCAATTAGAACTGTCTAGAACGCTCCAGAGTAAGTTAAAACGGTCTAGAACCATTTAGAACGTTCCAAAATCAATTGGAACTGTCTAGAACGCTCCAGAGTAAGTTAAAACGGTCTAGAACCATTTAGAACGTTCCAAAATCAATTAGAACTGTCTAGAACGCTCCAGAGTAAGTTAAAACGGTCTAGAACCATTTAGAACGTTCCAAAATCAATTGGAACTGTCTAGAACGCTCCAGAGTAAGTTAAAACGGTCTAGAACCATTTAGAACGTTCCAAAATCAATTGGAACTGTCTAGAACGCTCCAGAGTAAATTAGAACGGTCTAGAACCATTTGGAACGTTCCAAAGTCAATTGGAACTGTCTAGAACGCTCCAGAGTAAATTAGAACGGTCTAGAACCATTTAGAACGTTCCAAAATTAATTAGAACTGTCTAGAACGTTCCAGAGTAAATTAGAACGGTCTAGAACCATTTAGAACGTTCCAAAATTAATTAGAACTGTCTAGAACGTTCCAGAGTAAATTAGAACGGTCTAGAACCATTTAGAACGTTCCAAAATCAATTAGAACTGTCTAGAACGCTCCAGAGTAAGTTAAAACGGTCTAGAACCAATTAGAACGTTCCAAAATTAATTAGAACTGTCTAGAACGCTCCAGAGTAAATTAGAACGGTCTAGAACCATTTAGAACGTTCCAAAATTAATTAGAACTGTCTAGAACGTTCCAGAGTAAATTAGAACGGTCTAGAACCATTTAGAACGTTCCAAAATCAATTAGAACTGTCTAGAACGCTCCAGAGTAAGTTAAAACGGTCTACAACCATTTAGAACGTTCCAAAATTAATTAGAACTGTCTAGAACGCTCCAGAGTAAATTAGAACGGTCTAGAACCATTTAGAACGTTCCAAAATCAATTAGAACTGTCTAGAACGCTCCAGAGTAAGTTAGAACGGTCTAGTACCATTTAGAACGCTCCAGATTTATTTAGGATTGTCTAGAAGGCCCCAGAATGATTTAAAATTGTTTGGAACACTTTAAAACGATTCATAATCATTTAGAACTGTCTAAAATCATTTAGAACGCTCAATTAGAACTGTTTATAATGCTCCAGGATCATTTGAAACTGTCTAGAATTAGAACCATTTAGACCGCTTCAGAATCATTTAGAACTGTCTAGCACAATCTAGAACGCTCCAAAATCAATTAGAACTGCCTAGAACAATCCAGAGTAAGTTAGAACGGTCTAGTACCATTTAGAACGCTCCAGATTTATTTAGGACTGTCTAGAAGGCCCCAGAATGATTTAAAATTGTTTGGAACACTTTAAAACGACTCACAATCATTTAAAACTGTCTAAAATCATTTAGAACGCTCAATTAGAACTGTTTATAATGCTCCAGGATCATTTGAAACTGTCTAGAATTAGAACCATTTAGAACGCTTTGTAATCATTTAGAACTGTCTAGCACAATCTAGAACGCTCCAAAATCAATTAGAACTGTCTAGAACACTCCAGAGTAAGTTAGAACGCTCTAGTACCATTTAGAACGCTCCAGATTTATTTAGGATTGTCTAGAAGGCCCCAGAATGATTTAAAATTGTTTGGAACACTTTAAAACGATTCACAATCATTTAGAACTGTCTAAAATCATTTAGAACGCTCAATTAGAACTGTTTATAATGCTTCAGGATCATTTGAAACTGTCTAGAATTAGAACCATTTAGACCGCTTCAGAATCATTTAGAACTGTCTAGAACAATCTAGGACGCCCCAGAATCAATTGGAACTGACTAGAACGCTCCAGAATCATTTAGAACTGCCTGGAACACTTTAAAACGATTCAAAATCATTTAGAACGCTTCATAATCATTTAGAACTATCTAGAACAATCTAGAACGCCCCAGAAACAATTAGAACTGTCTCGAACTAAAGATTTCGACTTAATAAGGAGAATAATGTAATTTTTCAACTGAAAATCGCTTTTTTTCATTGTCGAGCTGAGAACTTTTCACCTTACCCATCTCTATAAAAAACCTACCCCACCTCAATTAATCTAGAACACCTAATAATATAAAATAATCACAATTATTACATTTCTTTAGGAAAGGCTTGGTAGCCCGTTCGATCCGTTCGAAGTACTTCCCGAGTCCACAAGGAACAGCCGGGATTTTTACAGCAATTTCACCGCACATCACCATTTTACAACTTCTTTTCGGTATAAAACTTTGTATATTCGCGGCCTGTTTGATTGCAGTTTCGCCGATAACGCAATACATCGAATCGCTCGTCACCTCTTCGCTATCGCGGAACATTTTATTGCATTTGTAAAACACGCTGCCGATGTTGTTCGCTTTGTTGTTCGCATAGCGAACAACTTCGGCGAATTGGGCGATATCGACCTCTATTAATTCGTTTTTCCTCAGTAATTTGGGAGCCTCGAAGAACCGTTCGAGCAGAGCATCGGAGAGAGAGGTGTTGATATCGAAGGGGGAGTTGACGAGAGACAGGCTCACTTCTTCGGCGAATTTCGTGCTGTTCAAGTCGCAATTCAGCAATCTGACGTCGTCGGATAATCCTAGTTCGATTGAATTGTAATAAAACGTTTCGCTGACTAATAATTCGTTTTCTTCGCAAACCGACGTGGGAATCGGGTAAACGATTGTGTGGTTTTTGGTTTCGTCGCAATATAATCTCGAGGCTTTGTCGGTGATGTAGACGTTTCGAGGGTGCACCAGAACCGCTCGGTTTATGTCTTTAAATTGTACTCTATCGTGTACTGTTGCTTTGATGAATTCTATCGGGACGGGTTGGATTTTGTATCGAATTCGCCTTTTGATCGTCCTTAAATAGCATAGATACATGTAGAACGTAAACCAAAACGGATGCGTTTTAGGATAGAGCCAACGGGCAATTGCGAATATAATTTTGCAATGGGATAATTGTGTGTTGTTCGCCATTGTTATTAAATCGTACAAGAACCTGTAATTAAAAAAATGATTAGTGAAATTGAAAGTTAAAAAAGTTAAAAGAGGTTACGTACGTGTTTCATTACACAATTTATTTGCATTAAATAAAAAATAGACTTTGTAATCAACAATCAAAATGCACGAATACGTTGCTATAAAGTGAGGTTAGATCGAAACGTCAAAACACTCAATGTATTGTAAATTATGTTGCATATCTACAAGGCGAAAATTTGAAATCTCAATTATTTCGAAATTTAGTAACATTACAAGAAAATTGCACCTAGTTACGCGAAAAAAAGCGTATTGCTAATTAGGTTAAGTTTACAGTATATAGAAAAGCTTAGAAACTTAACTTTAGACCAAGTTGTATTCCTGAAAAGTCGAAGGCCATTAAACTTCAATGTGACATAAATAAACAACAATTTTTTTATACGAATCGCCCGGGATTCTAAGTTGTTGAAATCGAGGAGTGTATATCAATCTAATTCGGTGAAAATAATTAATTAAATAGCACCCGAACTCATATTTAAAGTATATAGGAAACCCCAGGAACTTAAGAGGGGGAGGAATTTCCTTAATTCTTCTAAATTTGTCTATTATAATACAAATAGTGTGCTTTATAGGGAAGTGCACATATATTCATAAATAACCCTTAATTTATCTTCCTAAAGCTCATATCTACTTGAGCGTATGCAACCAACATTACCAAAATATAATTTTTGGTATCCCCTAGCGGCAAATCGATGAAGTTTTTTTTCCAAAATCCAGATTTTTCTGTGTAAAAATCTCAAAAAATATAAAGAATATCGTTTCCAAATTTTCACAATACATTTCTATTACCCATCGCTAGGTCATAAAGAACCTTTTGGTTCGGCGTTTGGTTGGCGTCTGATAGAAAAAAAGATTCAAAAATGTTTACTTTCAAACGCTTGTAATTTCGTTATTTTTGCATAGATCTGTAAAGAAAACCCTTATGACCTACAGGCAGGTTCACTCTATCAGCTGCGATTCATATTATACCTTAAAATTAAGTAAAAATTGAGATTTGTACGCCGAAAAATCGGGCTCATTTTCATTACTGCCAACTGAAATTGGGTTACCAAAACTCAACGCTCCTCTTAAAAAATAAGGTTAGATCGAATCGAAACGTCAAAACGTCGTAAAACTTGTTGCCTACCTCCAAGGCGACCGTTCGAAATTACACATTCCATCGAAATTTACAAACATCACCACAAAAAATTACAGGTAATTACGCGGAAATACGAACGAACAACACAAATAAAAAAAAAAAATAAAAAACAAACCCATCGATACCATCGGCTCGGCTCGTTTACGCCGACCATTAGGCCGGGCGCCGAAGGCGCAGGCCCTAACCTGCTGTTTTGAATTGAACGAGCAGAAAACAGGGAGAAACACCCCCTCGCTAACGCTAACGCTATATCAACGAGGGTGCGTAATATTCTTCTTCGTAACAGCGCGATAGATACGGATTTTCCCGGACTGAAGTGCCGGTATATAGGTAAACAGTGATCGCGGGTGGCGAGTGCGCGATCGAGAAAAATCAGAAAATTTTCCAATTTCCGAAGACACAAAAAAACTTCGAATTTTATACAGAGTGGCGCTAATTTAACGAAGGGAAATTCAACGTACGAGTATGAGCAGTTAGCGAAGGTTTTTTTTTTACTATTTATTTTATAAATTCCGGTAAAATAAAATCCTCGGTGACTCATTACGGTTAATTTTCTTTATTTTCCATTCGGCCTTGCGCGATAGATATCGCATTGTAATTAAGCGTAAACAATTTTTTTTTATTATTATTCCAAAGTGATTCGAGTGCTGTGATTTTAGTTCTGTATACGGTAATAGGAATAAATATCGTGGAAAATGGGTTGTAACACGAGCAAAGAAACCACACCACAGGAGGAAAACGAGCAAAAGGAAAATCCCACCGGCGTCGATGAGGATAAAAAACAGATCAAACTTAGAGATGATTCGGAAACCACACAGAATCACGTACAGGGTGAGTTTCATATATAAATTTTACCATACCTAAAACAACCAATCGATAGAATTTAATTTTCCATAATTCATAAAATACATCAGGTACTTCGATGTTGAAGCGAGTGAAACGGGAATAGCAGCTATCTATTCGACACACATATATATTGACTTTCCATAAGTTTAGTCACGCAATTCCTTGTAGTCCTTTGTTCGCATTTTTAAAAACGAAAATCCATACAGATGAATCCATTTAATTAATTTCGCTTCGCGAGCTCGATGTAGCGAAATTTTCCCGTATTAACAATTCAATTAGAATTTTTTTTAGTAGATCCAGGTCGATTCGTTTTCATTGTTACACGGTAATTGGTATCTATTTAATGTATAGCGTGCTCGTACATTACTTTGTTGATGTAATTAATCATTGCACATGCTAGAAAATTACTGACAATATTCATTCGAAAAGTTTCTAAAGCGTTAGTGGGTCGTGACGTCACCGCCGGTGTTAGCTCGAACGTACTATATGCAGTGATGTTAAAATTACTTTATAATATGTAATTAATTACAATTACAATTACAATATTTGCGAATGTAATTACAATTACAAATAATGTTACAATTACAATTACAATTACAATTTCAATCACAATTACTTTGCTTTGGTGTCAGTTTTAAATAATTATTTAGGGATTTGCAATCGGAATTAAACTTTCCACGTATTGAAAATATTAAATAAGTACTATTGTGTCTAATGTAATTGAAATGTAATTGTAAAATGTAATTGTAATTGTAACGAAAAGAGTAATTGAATTACAAATGAATTACAATTGAGGATCTTGTAATTAATTACCGTCTCAATTACAATAAAAGTAATTCAATTACTTTTTCAATTACTTGTAATTAATTACTTAACAACACTGACTATATGCATATAAACTGCTCCACAAAAGTTGATGAAGTTTTCGAAAATTTTGCGATTATTTTAAAAGTTGTAGAGTTTTTGGTCACCAAATTTTCAAATATGGGTAATTAAATGTTTTCTCTCTTATCTGAGTGGATTTTTTGTTCCTTTCTCTATAATTCATACTAAATTTAGCGATCGAAAAATCTGCAACCTTTAAATTAATCTCGATATTTGTGAACTTCCTTAACTTTTGTGGAGCAGTATATAGGGTGTTAATTAATTGAATGCTAATGTTAGAGGATGTGAATATTTGATTGATTTTAAGAAGAAAAGTTTATATTAATAAATGTCCTAAACCTTTTAGTTTTTGAGCTACAGGGTGGTAAAATTTTAGAAAAAAAATAACTTTTCCATCATAATTTTCTTATTACTCAAGTTATTTTTAAGAAATTTTGTATACATTTTTAAATTATTAAGGACCATTTTTTGAGGAGTAAGATTTTTTAAATATTCACCAGTGACGTCCGTACGGGGTTTGAACTGAATATGTTTGGAAAAAAATGGTACACCACTGGTTTTTCTAATAACTAAAATTATTTTTAAAATCCTCATTTATTTTGTTGCAAATTCGGTCAGAAGATTTATTTTCGTACGACGCACCATTTTTGCGTAAAAAAATAAAAACCAAAACCATTTTTTCCCAATCTCATTTTGAGACTGCTTTTGATATTTTGTTTAAATTGGATAGGCGCCCACTATTCATGGAAACACTTTTTTTTGTGGATAAAAATTAATTTTCTACTATTATCAGTGACGTCCACGTCCAAAATTTCATAAAAATATCTGCTGTAAAAGAAAATTATGATAAAAAAGTTTTTTTTTTTGAAATTTTAACACCTTGTAGCTCGAAAAATAAGAGGTTAGGACATACAGGTTAAGAAGGAGATATGGAGATGCGGTTTTCACAGGCTTGTTTGGCAATTATTTGACTATTTTTCTCCAAAGAAAAAGTTATATCGTTGCATTTAAATTTGTGAGAAAATCGGTGTTTTTTGAGGTTATGTCGGAAAACCCCTCTTGAGGCCAAGCAAGTATTTGCAATAATATCTTATATAGTGTAAATTATAGACCGAAGAAAGCCCTTTTTAACGATTTTATTCATATGAAAATCCGTTCAGCCGTTTAAAAGTTATTAACATTTATTTGTTAAAATATTCAAACCTCCCCCAGCACTTTATTTTAAAAGATAAAGTCAAAAATATACAACAAAAAATAATTGAAATGAACTCAACTATCAAAATAAAACACATTTTTGCTACCTTTATTTAGGAAATTTTGGAAAAAAATTACTTTTAAAAGTTAAGATGGCAGATACTCCCCCTACCGGCAATTTTAGAAACTTAAAAATTATTTCCAGCATTTTCTTTTTGCCAATTTATTCATAAGACATTTTACCGCAAGTTTTTATGACAATTAGTTTGCGAGATATAGCCGAGAGCCATTCTTAGAGGACCACCCTGTACATTGATATAAACTTTTCTTCTTAAAATCATCCAAATATTCACATCCTGAAGTATCGCCATACAATTAATAAACACCCTGTATTTGTAAAAATTATTAAAAGGAATATACAGGGTGTCCCAATAGTGCGGTAAAGTCCATTTACTCAGTTATTATAATATCGATTAATGATTAATCAAATATCATTAGCAGGTACCCCAAAATTTTTAGTTATTCTATAATTTAAAGTGACACGAGTTCAATAAGTAAAATTCGCATAGTTCCTAGATGATGACGTCATAGAGGTAACTAGATTAAATTAAAATTATAATAATTTAATGTTTAATTTAAAAATTACCAAATATTTTGGGTAGTTAATGATCGTTAATTAATCGATATTACATTTTCTACTATTATTTTGCAAAAAAAGGTCGACAACATCATTGGTAATTAGATCTAAATGAAATTATAACATCAAAAACTGGACATTTTTTAGTAAAACTGAAAATATCTCAGTAACGGTGACAGTTAGGTATAGGGAAATGTTATGAAAAATGATTCAGTAAGAAATAGTCTTCCCATTGGATAT